AAACACTCCCATCCAAAACCCAACTAATACTCTGCTCTTCCCTTTCCCCCACCCTAGAAATCCGCACCGCATACTCATGCCACTGCGCACGCTCATACGGTATCCCCGACGAAGCAATCGCTAACGGTGACGATGTATTACCCCAGTGTATCGTACCCGTATTAATAGAAGCACCGTTTACCTGTTCCATGATATCCCATTCTGCGCACTGTGGCCAGAGACCATCGTTGCGGAAGGAAGAACCTAGAGTCCAGAAGGCGGGCCAGATGCCTTGTTGATGGGTTGAGGGATTGTTGCCCAGTTTGATGCGCGCTTGGAGGTGTAGTTGGTTATTGGGGGGACAGTGGAATGTTTGATGTGTGCTGAGGCGCGCGGAGGTCCATGTTCCCGAGGTGTGGAGTGGTGTGATTTGGAGGGTGGAGGTGTTGGAGAGGTGGGCGTTTGAGGGGGAGGATGTGTAGTGTTGGATTTCGTTGTTTTGGTTTGTGAGAGGGGTTTCGTATTGCCAGTTTTTTGGGGAGGCGGGGGAGCCAGCAGCGCCGGAGAAGGTGTCAGACCAGGTTAGGGTGAAGCCTGGAATTTGGGGGGCGGGGATTGCGTGGGTGAATGGGAGGGTGGTGGAGATGGAGAGAAGGGAAAGGAGGTAGGGAGAGGAGATGGAGAATGGATATTTCATGGTGGGATTGTTCTAATTTATCTCCTTTGTATCGATCCGGGAAAAGGAAATGCAATTATGCGAATAAAATAGAACGAGAGAAAAAAATGCGCAAGTAAAAGAATGAAGGAATCAACAACAGATAGTAACGAATGTGAAAAGAACGCAATTTAGCATATATGAAGAAACAAGAACATCACAAGGACAACAACCTACTTTATGCACAATACCTCTCTCCAAATAGTTTTCCCAAATACCATCTATAATCACGGTCTAACAAAAGGTTCTCTTCCAACTAAATCTTCACCTCGATTCCTCTCAATCCTATTTATCAATTCCACACATTCCACCAATTCCATCCAATTATCTACATCACCAATAAAACAACCCTATCGATACAAAAAAAACCCAAATTCACGACCCAATGTGGCCTGGAGGACTGAATAAAGGACATGACCTATTAAATACTCCTTAATATCTCCAAGTCATCGCTTAATCAAATATTTTGAACCACTCGGAATTCATTCTATAGCTCCACAATTTCATTTGTTGGTTAATTATAAAATAAGTACAGGCAGCGACTATAGCATTTCGATCCTCGCGGATTCTGCAATATTTCGCGCTTCTTGGAGAGTACTCGAGAATGAACGGGTCTACCAGGTCTTGAAATTTGTGGCCGAGAGGATGTTGGTTAATTGTGGATAATTAAGCGCTTTAATTTGGGGATAGGTGTGACCAAAAGGGTGTTTATAGACCAGCAATTGTATTTAACTTAGAATCTACAGGTGAAGAGCACCTGTAGATGGGGATAGCTACTCTATATATACACAAATGAATGGCCTAGCCGCAATAGCTAGGCAAAAAGAAGTCATATTTATTCCTCCAATGATCTTACTTTACCGATAACCATTGATACCTAGTACTTGTCCGGATCTGATCCTCAGGTCACCTAAATCGCATACTAATCTCGAGTAATCGTATCATGTGTGGACATGGTTAATGTACCTGAGGTTTCTTATATAATAAGGGGTGGGAGGAAAGCAGGGATTTCCGTCACAATAGGATATATAGGTTGGAACTGTAGCTACACACTTCTTTTATTTTATAATCTTACAAGAATGGAAATCTCGAATTTTAATTCTTATTATATGGTTTTGTGTTTAGATTTCTGGGTTTAATAAGGATGAGGAATATCATGTTTATGGAAATTTAACGAAGAAAAGCTAGAAATGAATCCGGTATGAATACATCAGATGTTAGTCAATATATCAAATAATAAGTCTAGTACCCTACTTCTCGGCCCACCCCTTTTCGACCACCATTTTATATCAAAAATCATGATTTTCATCTATTAATAACTTTACAATCAATCAATAAAATTTGCATATACTAAATCCCATAATTATAAATTGAAAATCGAAATTTAAATTTTGTTACGTGACGGTTGTTATCCCACTAGTGGCTCACGTGCACTAGCCCTGTATATAAAGACCTTCTTACTTAGAATCTTCTTAGTTCTTTAGTTTTAGATTCTAAGTAATTGAATTGACTCCGTTTACGACTTTTCCGTCACAAATTTTCAATATCTTGATTAATAAAATTACAAAATTTGAATTTTCAATTCTGTTATAATTATATAATAATCTATAAGTCAATAATATATTATTCATTGAAATTATTAATAATTAGGTGAAAATGATGGGTTTTGGTATAAAAGGGTAGTCGAGAAGTGGGGTGCTAGACTCACTTCAAAATAAAGCTAGCGATATATAAACCTGCCAAATATTGTGCCATTTTGTTTCTATAAGTAATAATTATAAAAAATTTGAATCTCTCCCTAAAGAAGCTTTTGGAAGATAATTCTATACGATGTTCGTATTGAGGAAGGAGATAGGTTGATGAGAGTTGAGAGTTGAAAGTTGAGAACTAAGATGGAAACTTCGACCTTATTCTACTAGTGTTGTTGGCTTTTTACTCTCATCTCTTAAAGAGAAAGAGAACAGAATTATTATTAATGTAGTTTATAATAAATGGGTGTTATTACTATCAGTTTATTATATTAAACAATGAGTGTTGATGAGGATAAGTGATAAATTACTCTGAGATAGATTTTGGATAGATATAAATACTATATACACATCGACGTCTGATATACTAGCAAACATATTAAACTTAAAATGTATAATTCCTGCCTCACTTTTGCCGAATTAGAAATAAGGTTAATATATACTTTCTGGATGTACTATACTTCAATATTTGGGAGTCTCATTTTTGGACATTTGCCCATATAAAGATATATAAATGGTGTACATTATATATATATATTGTATACCAGTGAAGAAATGTAATGTACATCATATAAGTACTTTTTGCTTTCTTAGGGGATTTCATAATATTAAATCTTTCATGAGTGCCGGGTGTAATACAATAATTATATCCTCAAATACATTTCGAGTGAACACAAGAGAGAGTAAGAAAATACAATCAAAAATCTCCCTTTACTTAGGTATCTTTGCACTTCTAGATATTTTGGAAACTAAAATATAAAAGTATCTATCTTTCAAAATTAAAGTTTCTCTATACAAAAATGATAAAAAGGGTGATCTAGCGATATGAAGGTTGTATTATTAGAATTCTAGTGTTTTTGCGGCATTAAAGATAAGTGAGAATGATGTCTGCAAACTAGCTATTTTGAAGATAGTTAAAAGTGGAATGTAATGGGTATGCAGGAGCTCATGAAATTATTGAGGTGATAAAAGTAATCTTATAACAATAAAAAACGGAACTTGCCAGTAGCAAACGAGTAGCAACACCACGATAAAAAGCGCGAAATAAATGACGACAACATTAATAACGAGCAGATTTGGAAGAACCATCTTAGAACCAGATATAACCTGCTGTTTTTCAAACAAATAGTTGATCTATAGTTAGCAGATGGGAAGAATTAAGTCCACGGCCTATTGCATCCTCAAGTTTTAAGGCATCCGACAGAAGAAAACTCCCAGAAGAAAGAGCGTTCCTTTTATATCTCCTCTTTCCTAGCACAAATCTACAGTACTGAGCTACTGATGCCGAATGGCGGCCGTCCAAAGAGGGCAAGATCATTACTCCACTCTCTCAGGGCTTGGAATTGGTGAATTCTATCATCATCGTATGAAGAATTCTATGAAGATGCTTTTATAGCTCTGCTATAAAAGCTCGATTCCCGCATAGTTTTAAATTTCTAGAATAAGGAGAAATAAATTTTCAATATCTCGCTTTCATGGAGAGTTTTCTAATATTTGAATATTTTGATATCTGATGTTTGATTTTCAGTATATGAAGGTGGTCTTTAAGTTAGGAAATCCTATCGCGTTGTATAACTTACTGTCTCTTCTCCTTAATACCGAGAATAGATTAGAAGTGTACCATCATAAGCAACAACAAAAATCTTTTTCATAAACGACAGACAACATCTTCAAAATCCCATAAGTTTCCATAGACTTCTATGAGCACCCGCAGAACCATCGTGCAGGAAAAAGTATATTTGCCTTCTCGATAAAGGTGACAGGTCTGTCTAGATAGATGAGTTAACAAATGTATCAACTACCCGTGTTTTACATTTCCCCCTCTATTCTTCCTGCAAGCGAATAATAAGACTTAAAAAGAACCATTATTAATCCCACAACTGACTAATTAAAATACGCCCGGAAGAAACCAAAGAAGGGAATATGGATACTAACCCTGACCCATCTATTTCTACTTCGCATTCACAGAGTATTATATATAAACCACGTATTTTCCACATCAGTCGCATATAGTGTGATATGCGCATAGTAACAAACTATGGGCCTTAGGTCACTGGACTTTTAATAGTTGGGTTGGACTTTAGGAATGGGCTTGTGTGGTGAGGTTATTTGTGGGAATAGCCTGAGAGTGTAGAGGTGTCTAAGAATAGAGGTGAGAGAGGAGTTGCTGATAATGAGAAAGAGAGAGAGAGTAATGATTATGATGATGATAAGAGTAGCTTCTTTGCTATGACAAAAAACTGATCCAACAACAAGAATAACGAACGTCCAATGATGAATAAGTGAACAATAGCAACAAAACCAAACAAACCAAACAAAATCTAACCCAACCTCCCTAATTCCCTCTATTTCCCCTCTCCCATCTTCTCACCACAAGAATTAAATATATTTCACATCAAGACCTCCTCAAAAGCACATTAAGTCCACCCCATCCCCAAAACAACCCACATCTACGACACGAAGGCATGTCTTAGGTCCTAAATCCTAATATCGCACCTGCAATTCCCTTTATACACAAGAATATAAGATTACCATTCCCATCCAATCTATCATCTAACCCAAATGCTATGCATATCTCACAGCCCCCACAAAACCTCTCCAACCATCCTAAAAATCCGCATCCCCAATCCCACCACCAAAATCCCCCCAATTCAACACCTCTAACCTTCCTCCCTACACATACTTCTTTGCATCCCATTTTTCGAGGGGTTTATGTTGCACTTGTACTTGTACTAGCACTGGCACTTGCACTTGCACTAGTACTAATACTAACATACCCATCCAACCACGAAGATTTTTCCTAATATATAGTTTATAGTTCTCTATGAGTTTAGTTTAAATATGTACCTGTATTCTGGATTGTTGGGTGAGATGAGATGGGATGAGATGGGATGAGATGAGATGAGATGAGATGTGTATACTGCTTTGGTGTCTAAGTGGTAGTTGATGATAGGTAGAAGATGAAAGTGAGAGTGAGAGTGATAAAGAGAGAGTGGCGAGATATTAAGCAGTAAGACAGCAGTTAGTACTTTGACAATAACATTGATACTTCCCTTATTCCTGCTATTCCTGCTGAAAATGAGAATGAGAATGAGAATATAAATGTTGATGGGGAAGAGTGATGGTCGTCCTCTTCAATAATGGAGGAAAGGATAATAATAACACCTGGTGCACTTATTATTTTCTCCTCGTCGTTGTGAATAATCCTTATATATCCCATAACACTTACATAATCCATCTCCTCAACTCCCCCTTTCCTTCTCCTTTTCTCCCTCTCTCCATATCCCTTCTCAATTCCCCCACCCTCCTTCTCTCACCCCCCTTTCCATCCCGCTCCCCTAACAAAAACAACAACCACACCACACCACATTCTTAATCATATCCCCCTCACTCCACCCATTCCACATAATTTTCCATCTCCATCTCCATCCCGCACCCCCTCGCCCCCAAAACCATCACCAACGCATTTCCACAGCTAACTCCTAATCCCCCCGCGCAAACTCCAACCCCAATAAACCTTACCTATACATACATCCTCTTCATACGCTCCACACTCCACCCTCCACTTCCAATCCCCCACAAACCAACAAAAATATAATCCCACCTAACCTTTCCACACTCACTCATACCCGAGTAGATTAATCCGAGTACTTTGTAAGATCATTCATTTACTGCTATTTCAACAACATGAATGAATGAATGTATGTATATATGTATTCCTTAGACTTATAACATAGCACCAGCATATTAAACCAAACCAAACTAAACCCAACCAAAATCACACTCATGATTAATTCCCCAGCCCAAACAAAATTCATGCAAACCCACTTTGTAAGATTATCCAAGTACTTGTGCAATATTCTTACATAGTAATCAATTCATTAAAGTAATCCATTTCCTAGATGCTCCTCCCATTTTTTGAATCTTAGCTATACAAATCCACGATACTTGTGATTATCATTTCGATTTCTTCTTCTTTTTTCCATCGATTTGTTCATCTTCAGCTGCTGCATCATCTACTTTCCTCTTCTTGTCTTTCTTTGACTTTTTCTCCTTTTTAGGCTCTACCTCAACATCTTCGTCTTCCTTCACATCTTCCTTCACGTCCTCCTCGTCAACCTTCTTAGATTTCTTATCCTTCTTCACTTTCTTTTCCTCATTTCCCTCTCCCAAACTCTCTCTCTTCCTCTTCTTTTCTTTCCTCTCCTCAGCATTCTGAGCCTTTTCCTCCTGTGCCTTCATATCAGCTTCAACCTCCGCTTGTAATTGTGCCTCCATAGCTTGGAAATTGACCTCTTCCTCAATTTGCTTTTCCTCCTCAGCCTTCTTATCTTTCTTACTTTTCTTCCCACCAGGAGCCTCCTCAGTCTTTCTCTTTTTATCCTTCTTATCCTTCTTATTTAATTCAGTGACCGGAGTTGGCATGGTATCGACGAAAAAATGAGGACTTGGTTCCACCGCAGCTGGCGCATTGGTTGTGGTAGTATTTTTGGATTCGGGAGCTGGCGCATCTTCCATTTCCACATCTTCATCTTCATATCCAGTATCTTCTGCTGAGTCGGAATCTGAATCAGAATCTGAGGAATCTGAGGAATCTGAGCTATCGCTATCGCTACTATCGTCATTTTTAGTAGTACCGTTTTTCTCCGCAGCTAGACGAGCATCGAGTTGTGGTACAAGAGGTTCATAAGTTGTGCCGCGAACACCCAAACCCTTTTTATCCTTAATCAAACGAGCTGGTAACTATTCGAATCCTGATCAGTAACCGCAACCTTGTCGTAGAAAGCAGCTCAATCCTCCAGAAAACTTACAACAAACCTCGCCATCGTCCTCCCACTAACAAGCGTATCCCTTCCTCTATCCAACAAACCACAAAGAATTCTCCAAGGCCCCTCCTCATTCAATTCCCATTCCCTCTTCTCCTCCTTACTCAAATTATTCATCTCACTCTTCATAGCCTGTTGAACCCTATCCAACGCCTTACAATGAGCCTCTAGCACACCCAAATGTTTGCGAAAAAGTGCGCCCCATTTCGCATGGACAGATCTATTCATCAAAGGAACTTCCGGTTTGTCGGTGCGGTTTGGATCTTTATCTTTGGGGAGTTTGATCTTGCGAGCGCGTTGTTCTTTGGGGATTTTTGCCTTTTTTTCTTTCTTGGGTTTGACTACCCGTTCATTTGAGTCATTGCGACCCATGTTGTAAAAAGTTGATGTTAATTGGACTTAAAGATGGTTTGGAAGACTGAAAGGGTTGTGGAAGACGAGATGATGTCTTTGCGACAGAATGATTTTTTGTTACACCGCCTTGGCTCACAAGTATTAAACTTGTCCTGCGTACGGCAGAATTACTGGAAAGAAGCCCGTGCACTTCCGTCCTCGCGTGGTTGTGGTGTTTTGACGCGTAATTTACTTTATTATATACGTACCTACCTAGTAGGTACCTATATAAACGAGAGTCTTATTATATTGACTACAGAACTAGAGAACTAGAGAAGCATTTTACAAGCAGATATAAAGAACCAAGTTTGTCAGATATTGCGATATACTCATCTTATTCATCTATCAGTTCGCCGAACCAGAATCAGTTTCGATATCAGATAGAAAATGGTATGAAATGGTATCATTATAAACTTGCGAGAATATCTCATGGTATACGCGGGATTGTTAAATCTCCATATGCAGACTCCAGACCATAGTGCTTACACTAAATGCTTTGATTTCCTGAACTTTATTCCATCCATCCGATCACCCTTTCGGACCTAACCCTCATCACAAACGCCACCTGACGTATAACCAAAGTTGGTCGTAGTTAATCAAATCCTAGGTAATGTGAAGAGACCCTGCCGTCGAAATCGATAAAAGAACTCCGTCGCTATGCATATGGCAATATGCACTGATTTTCTCGAAATTTCAAAAAGTCAGCCTCCACCCAGACACACGCAGCCTAATCTTCCATATCATAATCCTCATAATAATTCCAGCCAAATTACCAAGAATACACTGTCTCGTTTTATTCATACAACTTGGCCATCGCATCCCAACTATCTAGTAAACTTCTTTTCGTCGTAACATTAGTTAGTTGTAGATTCCCCAAACTGCACCAATTGTTGACATTCTGTTCCCATGTTAGCTTTTTTCAACAAAGAAATATAACCGACTAAAATCAGGGGAAACTTACAATGCAACTCAAATATTTGCACCATCCGCAAGTCTTTCTATAGACGTAGAAATTGTTTAAAAGTAAAATAAACACAATAAAAACAAATACAAAAGCAGCTAATCTCAAAAGTAACCAAGCCCACCAAGCTGGTTTTCTTCCTTTGAAAAAGCCCGAAGGATTTTTGAATAAACTGACGATACCACGGTCACCTTGGTTAGCTTTGGTAGGAACAGGTGCATATGGTGGATCAGATTGACCCGTTCGCATTCGTAGAGAATTGGGTGAACGAAGAATCGATAACCCAAGGACAAAACCCATAAGGAATCCTCCAATATGAGAGAAGTTATCGAGACCGGGTAAAAGACCTAAAACGAATGATATGATGACATCGAGGAGGATAAAAGCTAATTCTTTCATTGGACTGACGCGTTCTTTCCATTTGTAAAGTAAGTCAAGGAGCGTAAGAGCAATGAGACCGAAAAGGGCTCCCGATGCGCCTGTGGATGAGATACCTGTCGCAGCAAAGTTCCCACCTAGTATAAATCCAAATATTCCGCTGGAGATGTAGACCAAAAAATACCGAATGGGTCCGATTAAAATCTCCATTTCCTTTCCCATGGTCATTTGAAGAAGCATGTTGAAACCTATGTGAATGATTCCAGCGTGAAGGAACATGGGTAAAATGAACCTGTACCATTGATCGGGTGTCGCTCCCACTCCTCCAAATCCACAAAGATCACTTATAGAACAATCATTCGACGTTGCGCTTGTTGTATTTGGACATGGCCAGCTTATGGCATTGAGATCTGGTATGCCGGTCATATTGTGCATGCATGGTGTGAATCTTGAGCCCATATTGATAACCACGTATGGTGATGGACCGATCATAGGGTTAAAAGAAGGATGAATTTCGATCGGAGACCCAGTGAGTTGAGCTGCTTCATGTTAGCATCTCTTACCCAAACTCTGCTTTGAAATACTTACAGTTCTTAACAATCTCTACAATAAATACTATCACCTGCACCAAAGTGAGAGTATATGTAACGAAAGGAATGCGACTTTTCCTATTCACAAGTCCCATCGACATAGCTTCGCTCATTCTATTCCTTTTGTTATCCTTTAAGTGTGGAGGTACTCCTGATTCTTCTGCGTCGTATACATGGTCGTTTAGGTTCGCATTGTAAATATGATCTGTCGAGGCATCTTTTGCTGGTACTTGTGGGTTTTCTCGTAAAGGTATATCTTCATTAGAGTAGCCCATCCCATCTTGGGGCCTACCCCCTCCACCTTGTGAATAGTACTGCGAATCTTGTCCTAAGCTATGCGAGCTTTCTTGTCTATGTTGTGGTACTTTTGGCGCCGGATATATATGATCATCGAATGGCGCTTCGAATGGGGAGACTGGTGACATTTCTTGAGGTCTTGTTGATCCTACTTGTGAAGGGAATGAGCCTTGTCTTGAAGGTGCTCGAGAATGGTATGATGGAGGCACTGTATGTTGTTGAGACTGAGTGTCGAATGGACTGTGGTATGGTTGCGGTTCTTCATGTTGATATTGTTGTTGTTGTGAATAAGAATTATAATAATCGTTAGCCGCCATTGTTACTATGAAATTGGTTGACCGTATCAAATGGACTGTATGAAATGATCGTTCGAAGGTAGATGAAATTGTTGATCACATAAAAAGAAAGTCGAAGTTGTGATCGTCTGAAGATTGCACACAAGCCTGAAACATGAGATTCCAAGGTCGAAATGTAAGCTTTGAGCTGAAAATATCTAAGCTTACAACGAATTGGGAAGTTGTCAAATATTTTGAATGGTGCTCAGTCACTATTTACTCATAAGTAATACTTTCTGAGTCGCTGCTGCTATGGCATGAGAAAAAGTTGAACAAATTTGGATACTGTTTCGAGCCTCGTAATGAATGATCTCAGGCTGGGGATGGAATCGTATATGATCACGAACGATATTTGCTCTAGACGCACAGCCCCATCGGCCGAGGAAAGTTGAAAAGGTTGTGGAAGGTTACTCGATCGGAGAGGGAATCTGTTTTTGGACTGTCTCCGTTTCAGAAGCAACACCAAAGCAAAAGAGGCTTGTACCTGAAGTAGGGTCATTTAGTAGCCCGAGAACCTTGATATGCTCCAATATCAAAAATGTTTAATTATGCGGTGAAGAAATAAAATATTAATCTTGTCTTTGAAGAATATTTACCTATATATATATTATAACACGGAATCAAAAGAACGAAGGAAGTATCGATTTGACCTATAGCACAGTACAAAATCATTCATGTCATCATCAAATCAAAACAGGATGTTTTATATTTCACATTTCACTGTCGTGCTTCACAAACTTCTCTCCGCTCAGGGCTCAGCAACAAGCCGAAGAAATATCTTGAAGAGTCCTACAAAAATATCAATAAGGCTGGGCTTTCATCATTCGATCAATCATCATCATAGGGCTACGTACGAGTAGAGAAGTTTCTAATACGTACGTAACAATTTCGCGTCACTCTTGGCAACTCGAACTTCAGTGGAGAAAGCTTCGCAAGTCCCGAAGGAATTGTGAATATGGTTTCATTTCATCTAATTTGGATTGATTAATATATACGTCGTGTCGGTACTTTGTTTCTATTTATGTCTTGAAAAGTGGCTGTGAGGTGTAATCATGTAAACAAGGCTGGCTGGATTTCACGAGGCTTATCCATGAAAATGATTGAAGATCATCTGAGAAAACGAGGGCAGATCTGATTTATTTCATCCATCGAAATCCAGCCCCCAAGCCGCTTCACACATGTCGAATAGCTTTCTTTCGCTAATATCACTAATATCCTAGGAACACTTTCTCCAATCTCTCGCTCATGACCCTTTCTAAGTATTTTATCAATTGTATACCATCATCATAAAATTGGTTCCCTACTGGAGGATGCTTCATGCCGTAAAGATAATTCAAAACATCTGAGATATATCTGTAGTCAGTTCGTTCGTTAATTCTCTAGAATACCGTAGCTCGACCTGTTTCACTAAGTACTGCTCGCGCGGGAGTGAGAGATATCATGTTACCAAAGTGTTCCTCTATACCTTGTGATAGATGGTTGATGTACCCTCAAGCTTATACTCAACCGGATGTTGTCGCATCTCGGCTGGAACTTGTAGTCAAGTAATATGTAGCCTAAAGAGTCCATCCTTACATTATAGTAAAATAGGCATAAAAATCCTATCACCCCATATCTGCTATCATGTCCCAAGCAGAACTCGTGCTTCCAACGACCACTGTACTCAGACTCCCATCGTTACCTTAATTTGATCGTTCGGTGCCGTCCATGGTAAGATAATCTTTCGAAAAATTTGGAAAATCAAAACAAGCAGGTAAGAGAATAGAGCATATCCTATGAGGCTCAAAATGAAAAGAACAATCAAATTCATAACCAATTTCTCCCCAGGAGTCAGTACATATGCCGAAAACGTGACCTCATATCGATAATTCAGAGGAGAAACTGGTAGATCAAGGTGTCGATGAAAGATGCTTGCCTACAAAGCTTGGGTGAAGTGGAAAAGGAGTATGAATGTGAAGACATCTTGATTGTCGAGAGGAGTGTGTGGTTTGTTTGAATGTATATAGAACAATTTTGAGGATTTTGAGGTAGGTTTTGGATAATAAAACTTGATGTTGTGAAACTGGGTTACTCGGGGTACTTCGAGCAACGAGGTATTGTTGACTGAGTTTTCTCCCATGACCAAACAAGATGCTCAAATAGAAATTTGAAGGGGGAAAGAAACTCTAATCATAGTGTTCTCTCAATTTGAGAAATAGCTATAGAATGGAATGATAGAATAAGGAACAGATATGAATGCCTATATACACATCATAGCAAAGGCTAGGTGTGTCAGAGATTCCATGTCAGGCAAGATGCCCCTCATCTTCTCTTTCTGTGATGTAATAATCATAGACAGCATAGACAGCATATACAACTTCAAAAACTTTTTGGATATTACATAGACATCTGAAATCATTACCTTCAATGCATCATTGCACTGAATGATAGCACTTGTCATTGGCTAGAACTCTTCCTCCAAAGAGGAAATATAAAGGGCTTGGCTTTAAAGAATGTAAAGATAATATGAGGACGGCGGTACCGAGGGGAATAATTGAATAAGAAGACATCATCTGTAGAAAGGTCTGAGCCTTTTCCTTGAGGCCCGGTAATTCGGATTATTAGCAGTTTGTGCTCAGGGTTGATGCCAAGCTGTTTAGTTCGTGAGGCAGGAAGAGAAAGTCGGAAGAGGAAGTCGCATCATAGAATAAAAGCATAATAGGTTGTAGGGCCCATGTATCAAGTATCGCAAATATGAATGTTCTTGACGCCAGTCTTTGCCGGATATCGGACCTTGAAGTGTAATTTGTATTTCGGTTGCACATATCCATTCGAAGTTTATCCTTGGTCTTTGCATATTGGTCAGTACAGGACAGGCAAACGTGAGATCATGATAAGATAAGATGACACTGATGCTTACCTAATTTCTACCGCACCTTTTCAGCCACAGCCGCCACTACTCCGCATGAAGTGCTACATTCATTCCACTTTAATCAAGACGCGTCCACACCGCGCCCGCGCCCGCACTCCGCGAAAAGTAATTGACGCGAACTTATATTGATGTACATCCTCTAAAATCCAAATCCAAATTCCCACCAACCTATAATTTAATTACGACTCTCATTTTAGCAGTATAGAAGCTGCAGGATCTTCACAATGGCTCCATCAAGAGTTCCTCAAAAGCGAATCTTAGGGGAGGCAAAGAATATTCAACAAAGCAATATCCCCTCATCCCCTCCATCCGCGGCGAAGAAACGGAAGTTGGAACCAGTTGCATCATCACCAGCCCCAGTTAGATTCAAGAGTTCACAGAATGGACCAAGGGGGAAGCTGGCTTCTAGCCAGCCTAGTCAATTCGAGTCGGAAGTGTTGGAAAAAATGACACAGGATATAGAGAGCTTGAAGAAGAATAATTCGGAAAAAGATCAAGAATGGGCAAGGCCGAGTCTGTCAGACTTCAACCCCGAGGAGGATAATTTAATCTTTCAGCAAATTGAATGTGAGGAGGGTACTTATGACCATGGAAAGGCGACTGTGAAGTTATTTGGTGTCACTGAGGTAAACCTCATCCCAATTCCTTTTAAGGCTAGAACTAATATCACATATAGACTGGTCACTCAGTTATGCTACATGTTCAAGATTTTTTACATTACCTTTATGTTGCCGCTCCAGTCAATTTTACACATAAAGATTGCGAACAATACAGAATGTATCTGGACTCGCATGTGGGAATGCATACGCCTGCCATTCATTCAGTATCGGTAGTTCTACGAGAAAATTTATACGGATTTACGGGAAACAAACAGCACGCATATATTAAGGTTACAGTTACAGATCCTAGATATATAAACAAAGTCAGGACAACTATCGAGGAGGGTCGAGCAAACTGGAAAGGGATGTGGAGGAATGACGGAAATGGCATTTTGACGTTCGATAGTATTCAATATGTGTTAAGATTTATGGTTGATGTCAAGGTGAGTCGCCCTACTCTTCCAATTCTCACCTCGTTTACCCCAAAATCATCCTCTATCATACTTTAGTTCGTAACGTGTCTAACGGATGGCAGATTCATGGTATGTCTTGGGTAGAAGTAGAAGCAAAGAAATACACAATAGTCCCAGAGCATAATAGACAATCGAATTGTCAAATCGAAGCCGTAACGTCATATCGAGACCTCATTGCGCATAAACCAGAAGGAGAATGGGCGAAGATGGCACCTCTACGTATCCTATCCTTCGACATCGAATGTGCTGGTCGCAAGGGTGTCTTTCCGGAAGCAAATCAGGATCCTGTTATTCAAATCGCTAATATTGTTACTCGTTACGGAGAGAAGAAGCCATTCGTACGAAACGTCTTTTGTCTCGATACCACCAGTTTGATTGTCAATACACAAATTTTTGAATTCGACAAGGAAGAAAAGATGTTGTCGAAATGGAGAGACTTTCTTGAAGAAGTCGACCCAGATATCATCATTGGTTACAATATTGCCAACTTCGATTTTCCATATCTCCTGGATCGAGCTGATCATCTGAAAATCAAAAACTTCAGTCAATGGACTCGATTAAAATCTATCCAATCTCAAGCTAAAACATCCAATTTCTCCAGCAAACAAATGGGTAATAGGGATACAAAGGCTACCAATACTAATGGACGACTGCAATTGGATTTGTTACAACTTGTTCAGAGAGATCATCAACTCCGAAGTTATACACTCAATTCCGTTTGTGCTCAATTTTTGGGCGAGCAAAAGGAAGATGTTCATCACACTATGATTACTGAATTATTTAACGGAACACCTGAGTCTAGGCGAAGATTAGCAGTTTACTGTCTAAAGGATGCTTATCTACCTCAACGACTAATGGATAAACTTTCATGTTTGGAGAATTACACGGAAATGGCTAGAGTTACAGGTGTCCCTTTTAATTTTCTTCTGTCCCGTGGCCAACAAGTCAAATTCATTAGTCAACTGTTTCGAAAAGCTTTGGAACAGAAATTGGTTATTCCTAATCTCTCAACCGCCTCATCAGAAGAACAGTACGAAGGTGCCACTGTCATTGAACCTACTAGGGGATATTATAGTGTGCCAATCGCAACTCTGGATTTTGCTTCTCTATACCCAAGTATTATTCAAGCACATAATCTTTGCTATACTACACTGCTCAAGAAAGATGTTGTTGAAGCTCTCAATCTAGAGAAGGATGAAGACTATATCGTTACACCAAATGGGGACATGTTCGTCACTACCAAACAACGAAAGGGTCTTCTCACACAAATTTTGGAAGAATTGTTAACAGCAAGAAAACAAGCTAAAAGAGAACTTGCTGTCGAAACGGATCCTTTCAAAAAAGCTGTATTGAATGGTCGACAACTTGCATTGAAGATTAGCGCAAACAGTGTTTATGGTTTAACTGGTGCTACTGTAGGAAAAGTGCCTTGTTTGCCAATTGCCAGTAGTACCACAAGTTATGGTCGTCAAATGATTGAAAAGACAAAAGCAGAGGTCGAGGCAAAATACACCATCGCAAATGGATATTCGCATGATGCGCAAGTCATTTACGGTGATACTGATTCAGTTATGGTTAAATTTGGTGTGAAGGAATTAACGGAAGCAATGAAACTAGGAGAAGAAGCTGCACAATACGTTTCCTCGAAATTCATCAAACCGATCAAGTTGGAATTCGAAAAGGTTTATTACCCATATCTTCTCATTAACAAGAAGAGATATGCTGGGCTTTATTGGACAAATCCTGACAAGTATGATAAAATGGATACGAAGGGTATTGAGACAGTTCGTCGTGACAACTGTCGGTTGGTTCAAAACGTCATTGAGACGGTACTGAGAATGATCTTGATTGATCAAGATGTTCAAGGAGCTCAAGAGTAAGCCTTCCTACTTTCCTCCTCTTTACAGTTATCAATTAACAACGACTTTTAGCTACGTAAAAGACACCATTTCCGACCTTCTTCAAAACAAAATCGACATGTCTAAACTTGTCATCACCAAAGCCCTAGCAAAAGCAGATTATACCGCTAAGCAAGCCCACGTGGAACTCGCCGAACGTATGAAAAAACGAGATGCAGGATCAGCACCTACATTAGGTGATCGTGTCGCCTATGTCATCATCAAAGGATCTGCTGGAGCCAAAAATTTCGAGAGATCCGAGGATCCAATTTTCGTACTAGAAAACAACGTCCCCATAGATACGAAATATTACCTCGATAACCAACTCGCCAAACCTCTCGGTAGAATTTTCGAGCCTATCCTCGGCGAAACAAAAGCCAATTCCCTCCTAGCAGGAGCCCATACCCGTGCCATATCCGTTGCCGCCCCCACCATCGGCGGTCTCATGAAATTCGCCAAGAAAACCTCAACATGCATGTCCTGCAAAAAGCCGCTCGTAAAATCCCACGAGAAAGATGGAGCAGTATGTACGGACTGCGCGCCTAGAATCGGAGAAATGTACCAGAAACAGCTGAATAAAGTTTCAGATCTCGAAGTCAGATTCGGAAGATTGTGGACCCAGTGTCAGAGGTGTCAGGGAAGTATGCATTGTGAGGTTATCTGTAGTAGTAAGGATTGTCCCATTTTTTATATGAGGATGAAGGCCAAGAAGGATGTAGAGGATGCCGGGAAGGAATTGGAGAGGTTTGATTTCGATCAGTCGGCTTGGTAATTTAGTTAAGTGTTGTGTAGTGTAGTTTTTTAGGCATGGGGCTTCGGTGTGGAAATATCATGGTAATTATTGCGTGGCGTTGGTGGGTGGTGTATGGAAGCCACCTACCTTGTGGAAAGATGGGCTTATAAGTTGGGGCAATGTTTTGTGGATTGGTTGGGTGGGGTGTTTGTAAGTTTTATTAATTGTATTTTATTTTATTTTATTATGTGTACTAATTATAGTAATTAGTGATTAAATGAAAATGAATTATAGATATTTATTTTATAATAAAATTCTTATAGAAAAAAAAATATGTAAAAAAATTATAATTATAAAGCGAGTTCTTGGTGTTTTGGCCGCTACATTCGGCGGGCTTCGTCGCTGTTTTACGCAGCCTCAGCACGCGCTAATAGCATCGTTCACGTGCATCAGCGCGAACTCCAACCCCACCAAAATTCATGATCCTCATCCATCACCATTTCCCGTCTCCCATTTTCAACAACACCATCCTAATTAAGACAGAGCCAAAATGGCTGTATTCAAGTTATTTAAACCGTGGTCTTCCCACTTCTCATTTCCTCGACACCTTTCTACCTCAACCAGCAACATACCTTCATTTACATGCAAACTATTTTCAATTTACCTTTTCCCTTTATCTTTCAAATCTTCTAGCATTGATTATGGCTAATACTTCGAAAAAGCGCCGCCTTTGTGACGATGCCCCAGAGAATATCAACCTCCAGAAATTCCTTGTACGGCGTAGCAATCTTCAGCAACGGCCAAAAAAACCTAAGCTCACACCAAAGGACTGCGAAATCAATATTCAAAAGCTGAATGGAGATGGTCCTCTGGCATCAAAAGATGCAGACGCCACAAAGGAAAACATCACTGGCATATGCCGCAAGTGGAAAAGGTAAGAAAACAATCGCCTACCTCGAGTTTCATCTTGCGAAGCTAACACATAACATCAGGTTCTGCGAATTCAGAAACGAGCAATACTGGCGGGCAGCTATTCAAAAGTGTAATAAAGGGACTATTATGATGTTCCTCCGATATATCTGTGAGAATTATAGGATACGCACATTCAGTTCTGTACATCAATATCTGCTTCAGTTCAAGCAGCTTTACAACCGAGTCAACGGACGGCATATGGACACAAATGATGCGAAAGAAGTTTTAAAGGTATGTTAACATGCTTTGTTGCTATTTTCTGAGATAGATTACTAATTACATAATCATAGTATCTCGACACTATCTTAACCAAAGAGTTCACTTTAAGACGAGAAAAGACGGCAAAGCCAGTGTTGGGAGCAGACGACCTTATCCTCCTCCTCACCCATCATTGGGCCCGGGACACATCTATTTTTCCAACCGAAGATCAGCGTTTGGCACTTGCAACAATCATGCTCCTCCTTATCTATACCGGCTGTCGACCCGCCGAGCTGGTTGATGCAGCCAAAGGGAAAATTGCTATTGGTCGCGATCAAACATATGAAGACGACAATTGGGATAATGAATGTGAGGGCTTGGATGAGACGAAAGATGATGATCCTATATATGAGAATCCAGAGCCTTGGGTTGATCCAAAGATCTCCGATTATGATGATAAGGATGATGAGGATATTCTTACACGAGAATATAAAGCTCTCTGTTATGAAGATATCCGTCTTTGGATTGTCCGAAATCCTACCCCTGGAGAACGCGATCTCCTTGGAATGGAGATCACTCTTGCTCATCACAAAGGAGCTAATAGAAACCCCAAACCGTACGTTCTTGATTTGATGTGTTTTGATCTTGCTAATGTAATATTCGTAGGACTACGTTCCTTTTTCACGAAGAAGCTTTACCAATTCTTTGTCCTGTTAGCCATATCTTAGCCATTGCCATCAGGGATAATGCAATCAAGGTAGACGGATTTACTCACGCCAAACCTTTTTTTACAAGCAACCTACAAGACCCTACAAAAGCAGTTCTGGTGCATTGGAAGCCAGAGAAACTCAAAATACCGATCTTTCGGCAGGCGGTATGGACATTTGATGGTCTATCAACATCAGAACATAAGGCCCTCCGTTACTCGACCTTTGCATATTACCTTGACCGTCTTGGTTGGGCTGCCGGATTTGCACAGAAGCTAACTAGCTATTGTTTCCGTCGAGGTACTGGGAATGCTGTAGACGGTAAGAGATTTTTGCAAATACTTTGTATTCTTGTTGACATCTTCTAGGGGCAGCTACAACTGCTGTGCGTGACCAGGTGATGAGGCATAACCCTCAGACAGGAGTCTTTTGCGGATCCTACATCAACGAAAAGGTCCGGTTTATCGTTCAAGATGCGGTATTAGACCAGCCAACGAATATCGGATTTCTTCGTGCCTTTACACATATGAGTCTCACATGTGATCCGCGTGCCCCAATCGATGTGCCCGAAGAGATTTTGAAAGCCCTCCCTCCGGATCCAGAGATAATGGAACTTAAAAGAGAACGCGAGGAATACAAAAGGCAATATAGATCCTACAATCGAGCTCCACCTGAAATCCGCAAAGAATGTGAACAACTCCGTCGGCAGATTGATTCTTTACAGAAACAACGTGATCGAGCAATCAAGATAGAGTTCCGGCGAGATTATTTCGATCGTATCCATGATGAAGAATTAGAGAGGCAACTCAAAAAGGTCCCTACAAACGAATATGTTGAGCCTGTCGTCCATCATCAGCTTCCAGAACGAACTCGACTCCAAGAGGTGCTTTGTGATCTCTCGAGGGACATGAGCCCAAGCGATATCGTCAGCCGCCGGATCCGTACCATTGACTTAATGGTAGCACTCTCCTATCGACAGGAACAAGAAGTTCAACATAGCAACCACTCAAGTAGGGAATCTTCAGAGTTTTCTGAGGAACAACCTTTGTGCAAGGACCCCTTTCCCCTTCTTTGTAAAAAGACCCAATGCATTATATGTATCGGAGACAATCGAAGTACTTATCAGTATCGGACACGTACTTATGCCACTTCACACAAAATGATGAACCATGTGGATAGCCATTTGAAAGAAGTTCCGAAATTCCAGAGAATATCCTGTACTCATCCTGTTTGCCAATCGGAAGGGCTTATTCTTAAACACTTACAGCACTTCAAGAATCATGTACAAACTGTGCATGGCATCAGCCTTCGACCCTAAAACTATCGAATAAGGTGTTAGGGATTGATGTGACAACTTGAAAGGATTGACAGTCCATCGGAAAAGTAACTTGACCAGGGCTTATAGTATATGAACACCTCAGCTGAAGCATCAACTTTGACGAATACCCTCCTCTCTACTGTTCGACTACAACGTCACCTTGGCGCTCGTGTTATTATCTCTACGCAGGAACCAACAATTTCTCCTTCGCTTTTGGATCTATCTTCAATTGTTATTGTGCATCGATTCACTTCACCCGAATGGTTGAACAGCTTGAAACGCCACCTTGCAGGTGCTACTTCTAATTTGCTTGATGATGACAATACAGATTCAGATGGTCTTGCGAGTTCAAGAGGAAACGGGGATGGTGCGAAAAGATTGTTTGCCGAAATTGTAAAGCTAAGTGTTGGCGAAGCGTTGTTGTTTTCCCCTAGTGCTATGATAGACGTTGAAGTAGGTAGTAACGGTAAAGTGGCGGTGGGGAGGCATGGTGATGGTTTCTTGAAGATTCGAGTTAGGATAAGATTGACTGCTGATGGAGGCAAGAGTATTGTGGCAGCTTAGGACATCAGGTTGAGGTTTTACTTTGAACCTATTTTTAATTTATCATTCATATTTATCAAATTTCTATAATAGACAAATTCCTGGGTTATTGAGGACAGGATCCTTCTCTCTCAACATCGCACCCCTTCGTCCAACTATACATGAAGTGATGACAAAGGTTTATTTTAGTAGATGGACAAGCTAGACCTTTATTGAGGCATGACTTAATATGAAGTGTTACGACGGCGTAACATACCCTACATCATGTGACCGATTAGCTAATACAATCATGTGATAGGTGCCATCTGATCCGGAAGCCGACGGACTTTGAGATCGATCGGCTCCCCAAGAGTCGATCGACTTCCGGAACACAAAGATCTATTTAATCAGGATGGATTCCCTTACTATAGTACTTCGTGCTCAAGATCAATCATCTAGTATACTCTACTATTAGTTACGAATTGCAATCATTACCATCGTTACTTAAGTTCCTGCTTGACGCCTAGTTATAAACCACCTCGAGAGCCTAGAGCACTTCCACGTGATCTAGACGGCAACCCTCGTAACACTACGACGTGCAAGATATGAGGAAGACAAAAAGACGATCGACTAAACTGACTAAATAGATTAAGGACGGTGACTGAATGCTATAGGACATAGCGGACAGATCAATCGGATGGTTACGATCAATGGGCACCAGCTCAGAGCTATGTGTAACGATCCGGTCTGACTAGGCAAGTAGAATGTTCGTAAACTAATTGATAACTAAGTTGAGCACGAAGCTCCTAAACTATGAAAGTACTCTGATTATATAATGATCGATAAAGGGAGCCCCCAGGAGCTTTCTGGCTCCTCAGGGCTCCTGGAGCTCCTTATCACGTGATTTCTGATGGTGCGTGCGCATACGATCTTCAGGTGACCAAGATCACATACTAATTCGATGAAATCTGATCGTGTTTGCACAAGGCCTAAGCTCTCCTAATTAATCAGTTTGCTACCATCGTAACACCATCAATTCTAATGGTGAATCGTGACATATAGACCTACTCATTATCGTACTTGTCATATTAGGCCTAACATCGTATGCCTCCAAGCCCTGTTGGTCCCCCACTCGATCCGCACCCCATTGATTAGTTACTTTGAATCTCTTTCACGTGACAAACCGCCTCAAGGTCTCCAAAAGCGTCCCCTGTGATTAGGCGCTCTGCGTTCAGCCCCGGACGTAAAAACAACAATGACAATCTACGCAGTAAAAGCGTCTATTCCACCCGAGGACGCAATAAACAATTCGAGTAACTTGGAAGCTTTCGAGTTCAATTACTTCAAGTATATTTATCACAATGCCCGATCCACTTGATAGTGTTACCGCTAGAATCGTTACTAGAATCGAAGCTGTACTCCATCTTGGTAGCACAGTCCATCAATATCTAAGTAATATCAAAGACCCAATCACAGATCACAACAATATCATCAACGAGATCAACTTTATATGTGAAATCCTTTCTACTTTACAAGCTAATATACAAAACAATTCAATCAATAATGAAGATTGGTCGACAATTTTTCAAAGACTTGAAGACTCCGATGGCCCATTAAACCTCTTAAAAACAGCACTCCAGGAATTAACTACGAAATTCGAGGATACAGCTTCTACCATAGATGTTAGGGTCCTTCCATGGGATTTCAAGCAGAATGAAGCAGAGGAACTCTTTCGATTTGTTACAAAGCAGAGATCCTTACTATCTTTGGCTTTGAGGAATAACTATGTTGCACCTTCGACGGATATCCACGATAATACACTCCCTATTCGAGATGATATCGAGGTAAGGTCTACTTTCCAAGTGATATATATAGGCTAATATCTTATATAACCAGAATACAAACCTTCATAAACGATATTACACAAATCATGATACAACTTTCAACCCGCAGTATCAAGATGATAAATCCCGATATCTACCTGAAACACAGTCTAAACGACAGAGAATTAATCGACAAGGCAATTTTACAAACGCGGGCGGGTCACAATTCATTGCATCAAACCTTAATTCTGGAGGAGGGTCTATTAATATCAATACTCACACCTTGGAAAACCGCTGCCTAATCGACCTACGAACCACCGATCCACGATTGGACAAGAAACGTATCGAAGAGACTAAAGGAGGACTACTTGATAATATATATAATTGGATTTTCCATAATAGTGATTTTCAACAATGGCACTTTAATCGAGATAATCGCCTACTTTGGATTAAAGGAGATCCTGGTAAGGGCAAGACCATGTTGCTCTGTGGTATAATAAATAAGCTGGAGAGATCAGATGAGACTGCCTTAGCCTATTTCTTTTGCCAAGGCACTGATGCACGCATTAATAGTGCTGTAGCTGTTCTACGTGGCCTTATCTATATGCTTCTGGATGGGCAGCCTGCCGTTCTCTCGCATTTACAAAAGAGATATGAGAAGGCAGGGGAACAGTTGTTCAAAGATGCTAATACCTTTATAGCACTCTCTGAGATTTTGAAGGATATCTTGCATGATAAGAATTTGAAGCCGACGATCTTGATTATTGATGCACTTGACGAATGCCAGAAAGACCTGCCACAATTACTTCGCCTAATTGTTTCGGGCTTATCCATTTCTTCTCGTGTTAAATGGCTTGTCTCTAGTCGAAACTGGCCCGAAATCGAAGAGCAGTTACAACAAGCCGAGCAGGGAACCCGGCTCAGTCTCGAGTTGAATGCTGAATCAGTATCTGCTGCTGTCAGATGGTATATCCGAGAAAAGGTGAAATATCTTGCGAGAACAAAAAAATACACAACGAAGACAAAGGATACTATCGAACGTTATCTCCTAGAACATGCAAATGGAACTTTTCTTTGGGTGGCTTTAGTTTGTCAAAATCTTGAAAAAGCTCGATTATTCACGAATTCAAAGCTACAAGATTACCCTTCCGAACTTGATCCTTTATATAATCGTATGATGGAACAGATAGTAGATATGGAAGATATCGAGGCGGCTCAGATATGCCTTCAGATCCTGGCTATTGTAATAATAGCATATCGGCCTCTTACGCTTGACGAACTAATGTCCCTGATGGAGATGAATAATGAGATTCCGCTAGAGGAAATAATACAACTTTGTGGTTCCTTTCTGGTTGTTCGTTATAGGAATGTATTCTTTGTTCACCAATCAGCAAAGGATTTCCTTTCTAAAGAGGCTATTAAAACAATATTTCCTGATGGAATTGGGAAAGTTCATAACAAAGCACTTCTAAATTCGATAACAGTTATGAGAAAAACTCTAAAACGCGATATATACGGTTTGGGTTATCCCGGCCTTCCTATTGATAAAGTCAAACAGCCCTATCCCGATACATTAGCTTCTATACGGTATTCCTGTATTTACTGGATTAACCATTTAAGAGATGGAGATCCTGAACAAAACAGAGAACACATTCAAGATAACGGCAATATTTATGAATTCCTGAAAAATCATTTGCTACATTGGCTGGAGGTTATGAGCTTGATGGAGAAAACTTCAGAGGGCATCAACGCAATAAGTTCTTTAGAATCTTATATTCTAGTGTGTCAATACTATTTGGTAGTTCTTTTAGGAATTCAGCTAATAGATAATAAAGGCTAACAAAGGTTCTGAACTCTATACTCTCATACATGACGCTAAACGCTTCGTCCTTTACAATCGAATAGGAATTGAACAAGCTCCTCTTCAAATCTATTATTCAGCTCTTTTCTTTGCTCCAGAGAATAGTATTATTCGAAAAACATTTCAAGAATATATTCCAAGTTGGATTTATAAAATATCAAGGACACGATCAAATTGGAGTGCCGCCCTCCAAACGCTCGAGGGTCATTCGGGTTGGGTTTCGTCAGTTGCCTTCTCACCAGATGGTACAAAAGTAGCTTCGGGCTCTCAAGATGATACAATCCGGCTTTGGGATGCAATGACGGGCGAATCGCTTCAAACGCTCGAGGGTCATTCGCGTTCGGTTTCGTCAGTTGCCTTCTCACCAGACGGTACAAAAGTAGCTTCGGGCTCTGAAGATAAAACAATCCGGCTTTGGGATGCAATGACGGGCGAATCGCTTCAAACGCTCGAGGGTCATTCGAGTTGGGTTTCGTCAGTTGCCTTCTCACCAGATGGTACAAAAGTAGCTTCGGGCTCTCGAGATAAAACAATCCGGCTTTGGGATGCAATGACGGGCGAATCGCTTCAAACGCTCGAGGGTCATTCGAGTTCGGTTTTTTCAGTTGCCTTCTCACCAGATGGTACAAAAGTAGCTTCGGGCTCTGGAGATAAAACAATCCGGCTTTGGGATGCAATGACGGGCGAATCGCTTCAAACGCTCGAGGGTCATTCGCGTTGGGTTTCTTCAGTTGCCTTCTCACCAGATGGTACAAAAGTAGCTTCGGGCTCTGAAGATAATACAATCCGGCTTTGGGATGCAATGACGGGCGAATCGCTTCAAACGCTCGAGGGTCATTCGCGTTGGGTTTCGTCAGTTGCCTTCTCACCAGATGGTACAAAAGTAGCTTCGGGCTCTGGCGATAAAACAATCCGGCTTTGGGATGCAATGACGGGCGAATCGCTTCAAACGCTCGAGGGTCATTCGAGTTTAGAGGCATCCTCAGCCTTTGAACGGTACTTTATATCAAATCATTGGATAGCTGAAAGATTAGATAAAGAAGTGCGAAATATTTTTTGGCTACCTCCAGACTATCGGCCAACTAGTACATATTTTTGTAACGGTGTTATGGCCATGGCATTTTCCACCGGTGGCATTTTCTTTCTGAAATTTGAGTGAAAATTTCATATTATCTAAGTAAAAATCAGTTTCAGTATATCTATTAATGACTAACTTATTTATGTCTTGAATATAATATCCTTTTATTTTTTTTTCTCTCTTTAACAGAGAGGTTGGGGGAAGTCTATGATTATATAGACTTTCTGTTTGCCACCTTGATTCTAGTATGTTCTAGTGTAGTGATGTGGTAGTTTTATTGGTACAAAGAAATATAAAGAAATATTTTATTTGATGCACCTTCGAGCTAATCATTATTAGAATTAAAGGTCTGAAAGCATAAAGAGAAAGATGTAAATTCTCGATTCTGTTTCCAGTCTTGTATCATAATTCATTGTCACGAATCCAATAACACGTGACTAGTCATCTATCATATGATGGATAGACTAGATAGCCGCTATCCATGCTATCCTCCTCGTTTCGTGATCCATATAAACCTTCGTTATTTCGTAGTTTAGGAGCTTCGTGCTCAACTAAGTTATCAATTAGTTTACTTACATTCCACTTGATCTAGCAACAACTTCACTTCCAAGTGAATACCAGTGATAAAGCCTTAACCCATAATTGCCAACCGACGAACGTAAGGCATCAGTTGCCAGAGAATACCGGATCGTTATAAGTACCTAATTTCGCCCTGGCCAACACTTTCATATCCACGTAGTTCCAGTTGTCGAACTCTTTAATAACCCTTCCCCGATTTGGTCCATCATAGTGAATGCAGATCCAGAAAAGCACCCAGAAAATTGATTCGAGGTCATATATAAATGGATTCGGTGACTGCTCTGTAGATTTGATCCTAGATGAGCATATCGTCAGGATTGTCGACGAGCGCTGCATTCAAGAGAAGTTTGATACAGTTTTTGACATGGAGGAGAGCTGAAAGAGGCACGAACCAGATAAGCCTTTCTCAAATACTCATGATTTAGTCAAGGGTTCTAGAAGACTCGGCGTCTGGTGAAGGCTGTACCTTGATCGCGAACCAAAATCACCAGCGGAGTCGGATCCAAAGCCCGCAATAGGGACCAAAGCAACATCACCAGTAGAGTCAGACACGGAATCCAGAACAGAGCCGGCAGCAAATCCACAGAGCACACGATCGAAGTCAAGATTGAAGATCACGCTATAATTTTGAATAAAGCGAGCACAGTACTCAGCGAGCAATTGAAAAAGAGCGCCGAAAAAGGTGGATGATTAAAAGTTCAGGAAGAAATTGAAAAGACGAATAAAAAGGTAACGGAGTCTCACGGTAGTTGAGTTTAGATATTTTGTCACTAACTAGGCGAATTCATGCGGAAATGATGAGGAAATTTAGCTTGTTCGGTATGAAAAGGAAAATAGTGGAGGTGGTAGAGTGTACCGATGTGATTGATAATGGAAGTTTTCGACATGAATTCGCATTCCTCCAATAGCAAATAAGCACCGAGTTGACAATATCGCACTCCAGCAGAGATCAGGGAGAACTGGATATGGCGGAGCCTTCCAATGAAAGGACTGCAGTGGTGTTTTGTTGTTCGATGTAGGATGCATACTTCAAGCTGAAGCGTTTGAAGAACACGAGGGACTCACAATAACAAGACACAACAAATTTTGAAGAAAAATTATTTTTCGAAATACACCCTTTTCATATCTCATTTGCACTAAACAAATCAGCATCAATCGAACGCAATTGTCCCCAAAGAAATTGAACCAGTAGTTGTTGTGATACTGTCGTCGACTTCCAAAAACACGTGAAACCACGCTAAAACTGTGTGAACGAAGTGAATGACTTCAATTCAATTACTACTGTAATAAAGAACTAAGCGAACGCGAAAGAGACTAGCTCTTTTAGTAAGTCTATATAAGACTTAGTACTTTCAATATGTAGCTAGCTCTTTAGACAGAATACAATTAGACATACAGGACCTACATAATCCGTGGGTGCTACGTCTTCCGTATCCTTCTCGTACCAACAAAAACGCGTGAAATTTTCACCCCCTTCATCAATGATGGGGACCACTCAATCGGACTTCCCAAAAGTGATCTTAGGCACTCCATGCCAAGTGAACCACACTGAACAAACCCATGAAAGAAGCAATAGCCCGCCATTCATCCTCTCCAGTCCTACCCCCTCCCAACCCTTCAACTTTCAAACCCAGTGCAATACCTTGAGCTCTGATGATCCATTCAAATCACCAATCAATCGCCCAACGCTCCAATTCAATAATAAACGAAGACGACAACCCAGCCACTCAGAACCCCGTATCAACTCACCAAAAGAAGCTATCCAAAAAGCTAGAAGTCTACTCATTCTAGCTGCCTCCCTGGAAGAGGATATCGAAGAACAATCGAAAGTCCTAGACTTAATCGAAATATTTCGTGAATATCTTGAAAAAGGAAAACTCACAAAAGCCTCAAATATCATCACATCACAAATCTCCCATCTAGAAAATGCCACCAAGCGGATCGAAAAGCAAGCCAACCACCTTTCAAACCTCCCCAGTCATATGATCCCCCCTATAATAAACGCCCCTGGAACCAAAGCTAGCTATGCCACTATCACCAAAACCTCAGAAGAATGGAACCTAATTACAAAGGGAAAACCCACAAAACAGAAAACTACAGAACAAAAGGAAGAAGCCCCAAGCAAACGACTAATCCTCATCAAACCTCTTATTTATCAGCCACCCTCTTTTACACCATTAAATACAAGGAATAAAGTCAACGAAGCCTTCAAGAAAGCAGGAATCATGGACCAATCATCTCAGCTATCACTACTACAAGGAGCGGCAATTTTATACTAACCACTAACAGCCCTTTCAATGCACAATTCCTGATGGAAAAGAAGGAAATCTGGGACAAAATCCTTGATGCCGAAAGAATACAAATCGATAAACCCTGGCATAAAGTCATCATTCACAAAATCCCAATTCAGGAATTCTCAGGTCTGAAAGGTATGGACCTAATCAAAGAGGAAGTCAATACCTTCAACCCAGGGCTCAGTATTATGGGTACTCCTTACTGGCTTACTAATGCCTCCAAGAGAGCCAAACAACAAGACGGAGCAATAGTCATTGCATTTGCTACACAAAAAGAAGCAGATATAGCTATCCAGAAAAGGCTATATATTGCAGGCATTAGTGTTAGAGTAGAAAGATTCTATCCATCTACTCCTTCATCCCAATGTAACAGATGCCAGGGATTCGGCCATAACGAATCATACTGCAAAAAACCTCCAGCTTGCGGACTTTGCAGTAATAATCATGCTACAGTCGGTCATTTCTGTATAATCTGCCAAGCAAAAGGCAAACCATGTCAACATCTAAGTGTCAAATGTGTTAATTGTAAAGGAGAACACAAAGCCAACTCGAAAGTATGCGAAGTATATCTATCAACCATCAAGAAATCCAACTAATGCTGTACAACAATACTCGCATTCTTCAAATCAATCTAAACAAGAGCCCTCAAGCAACCGAAAGTGCTCTTCAACTTGCTTTAGAACTCAAAATTGATCTCATAGTTATTCAAGAACCCTGGATCCTCTCGAATCCTGAGAAAGACTTCTCCTCAACCAGATCCATTGCCCACTCCAGCTTCTCTCAACTCCTCCCAAATAATCCTCCGAACCTGCGTCCCCGAACTATGATCTACATTTCAAAAGGATTCAAACCGCTAGTAGCCCTAGCTCCCAACTCCCCTAATGGATCCCAGATTATTCCAAATCATTGATATCACTCAAGGAAAACATACAATACAACTCATCAATATCTACAATGAAGCGGACCAAGCCAAAGAAAAAGGCCACACCATCGAAAGATGCCTTTACAATACCCCTCTTACTCATCACACCATCCTCGTAGGAGATTTCAACTCCCATCACCCTTGGTGGGACCCCTTCTCTAACAAAAGCTCAAATGCCGACCTACTCACCGAATGGTTTGAGGATCACAATCTCATTCTATTTAACGAACCAGGCACAAGCACCTTTTATCGAACAAATATGACAAATCCAAGTGTCTTAGACCTTACTTTAGCCACAGATTCAGTATCTCCCTATATCACTGATTGGCAAGTCCTCCCGGATCTTGGATCAGATCACTTAAGCATTCTCTTTGAAGTAAAGGGCACTTTATCCCGTACAACGAATATAGCTCAGCCAGCAAGATTCAATACAAAACTTGCGGATTGGGAAAAATTCGCGAATACCCTCAAATCGAAAATATCGATATCAACTACCTTAAATTCGAGTGAATACCTTAATATCACTACCTCAGAATCCAACTCTCTTGATTCCCTTCTCGACAAGAGCCAATACATACAAGTATTGGATGAAGCTGCAAAAGAATTCACCCGAATAATCACTTATTCGGCTGAAACCAGTATACCGAGAATCAAGTCCACAAAAAGAGCTAAACCGTGGTGGTCCCCAGAGCTGAAAGCCCTTCGAAAACGACTCTCTAATGCATTTGAGAACGCCAAGATTTACCCGGAAGACGATATGTTCAAGAAAATCTACCAGTCAGCCAGGAATCATTACTTCCAAGCTATTAAAACAGCAAAGAAAAACCATTGGAATGAGTTCCTTGAAAAAGAGGATACCCAATCCATATTCAAGGCAATGTCATACACAAAAGATATACAAACCGAACGAATCCCGAATATTCGATCCAATCCCTCTAAACTAGAAAATTCTTTCGAGGGAAAATGCTCTGCATTTAGATCGACCCTATTTCCTCCTCCTCCATTCACCTCACCGCCCAATTGGGAAAGCTATAAACAATCTAAGAAATGGGAATGGCCTGACCTTACAGAGAGCGAACTCCTAAACGCGTGCTCTGCAAAAATCAAAGGAAAGACCCCTGGCCCCGATGGGATCACTCAAGACATCATTATTCAAGCGTACAAAGCAATACCAAAAGCATTCTTCACCCTCTTCAGTCATCTTATCAACCTTGGTTACCATCCTTCTTGCTGGAAACAAGCCACTGGAGCGATACTCAAGAAACCTTCAAAACCAGACTACTCGGCCCCAAAAGCTTATAGAGTTATCGCCCTGCTAAATTGCCTTGGCAAGATAAGTGAAAGAATTCTGGCTCAAAGGCTTAGCTACTTAGCGGAGACTACGCAATTACTTCATTACTCTCAAATGGGTGGAAGACAAAAGAAATCAGCCATCGATACAGCAATCTTACTCACTACCGAAATCGAAAGAAATTCAAGATCCAAGAAGAAAACCTCAACTCTCTTCCTGGATGTTAAAGGCGCCTTTGATCATGTATCTATGAACAAATTATTAGATATCTGCAAGAATCTAAACCTCCCAACCAGCCTAATCGCCTGGATCTCATCTTTTTTGAAGGAAAGGCTACTCAAGCTCTCATTCGATGGCCAAATTGAAACTGTTGGTACGAGAAGGATACGGAAGACGTAGCACCCACGGATTACGTAGGTCCTTTATGTCTAATTGTATTCTGTCTAAAGAGCTAGCTACGACTTTATAAAGCTATAATACGTATTGATATAAGATATACTATCATCAACCAGCTTAATACGGTTTGTCTATATTGAGTACAAACAAGAATACTGCACTGCGATACCCCCGCATAAACTACTGAAACGATCACGGATCAACTACACCTAAGGGCCTCACAGGAGGCTCCCACCATGCCGCTGGTGATGCGCGCCCCCGGCGCGCCGAGCGGCTCCCCAACCCAAGAGGCGACCCCCCCTCAATCAAGCACCATTACCCCAGGGGCAAGCATTGCCCCCCCACCAATTATAAGATCACTTACAGGCCCTGCCCTCGGCGTAATCAAGGATCGATTCGAAAGGATCGACAAGACAGAGAGAGAAAAGCGGGAGGTGATCGAGGCGTTCGCAGTATTAGCGGATAAGCTTGCACAAGGCTTCCAGGGTCAACAACGTAAACTCGCTGTGAATATTAAAGGAACGATCATCTCCACACTGCTGGGAGTAACAAAGGCTACTTCTGATCGATGGACAGGGCTCACAACAGAGCATTCACGGCCAGAAAGTAACACACAGAAGACCTACACTGATGCGCTGAAAACTCGGACAGTGCCTGAGGCAGAAAGACCCACTACGGTTCCCACCATCACAGTGCGCACTGCCCCTACTGGAGGCACGAACACTGAGCGTACAGAAGCACGCAGACTCAAGAGGGAGAAGGATCGGATCGAGAAAACGATCCTTATAATAGCCAATGGGGAAGCTCTGCTCTCAGCGGGAAACCCCTTCCTACTAAGACTCAGAATAAAAGAAGCAGTCGCTGGACTCACATTAGCAGAGATTCCCTTCCTTCAAAGAAATAATACAGGCTGGACTCTACGATGCAGCTCTAGCGCTAGCCGGGAGGAGATCATGAAAGCAGATAACGCTGAGCGGGTCCTTAAGACCCTCCATGCAACAAGCATGCGCAGATTAGAGAAGTGGTTCATGTATGCAGTTCCACAAGTACCTCACGACTTTTATCATATCGAAGGAGCCCCTGCTCCCATGCCCACTGAGCTTATCAAAGAGGAGATCATAGCTCAGACCGGCAAGCAGCCGGTCAACTACCGATTGGCGCGTAGCGGGGTTAACCCGATCACTAAAAGAGCCACCTGGATCATTGGCTTCAATACCGCAGTATCGCGGTTCCGACTATTCAATAGCAGCTCCTACTCGGCTCTCCTAGACAAACCCCGGGAAATTCAACTGCACAGTACTGGCTGCCAAGGGTACTGCAACCCCTTCACCTGCAACAGAGCCTCACGATGCTCGACATGCGGTAAACTAAACACTGAGCATGAGGGTGCACTCGTACATCAACAATGTACTAGAGCAGCTCAATGCGCCAATTGCCACGGACCCTTCCGCGCTGGCCACTCCAACTGCCCAGCTGCCCCTAGGGTCTATGCTAAACGACGGATTATTCTGACTGCAAAGGAACTGGCTGCAGTCAGAGCTGTTGGCAGAAGAGACTATAAGACGCTGCACAGAGCAGATGCAGACGAGGCAGAACATGCCCCTGAATCACCTCTGCCTCCTATAGTAACACTCGCAGAAACCCCGATCACCCCGGGGGCGAGGATCACAGCATATGAGAATGAGCGCCTCAGCAAGCGCCCACGCAGGCTCAGTACAAGTCTGCCGATCGCACCAACCGTATTACGCACACGCTCAGCTCGCAACCAGAGCCAACGGAATCTCAATATAGAAGCGCTAGCAGAGAAAGCCTTCACTCCAATAGACCTGGATATGATCGATACAGAAAACTCTATAACAGTTGACACTGCACTTAGACCTTCTCTATGAATAATACAACTTATGAATACTCTCAAAGGAACAAAGGCCTCACTATTGCTTGGGCGAATGTAGGTCGAGGGCATGCGAACCATATCACACTACTACAACTAGCTGCTGACGCTCGACTGGATGTGATCTGCATACAGGAGCCAAGGCTATACTGCAACTCAAAAACACAAAACCACACTGCATACGATCGATATCAACCGATCGACAACTGGAATCTTCGAGGAGGCCCGGAGGAGACCGATCTAGGCCCAAGAGTTATAACCTATATACGAAAAGGCGCGAATCTAAGAGTAGAGCAAATGAAGCAACTCGAAAACAGGGATCTTCTCTGGATACGAGTCAATGAGTACTCGATCCTGAATGCTTACAGAGCCCCGCGCACTCTGGATATTATTAACTACATCACACATTTAGCTCCGAATGAGCGCACGATCGTAGGAGGGGACTTTAATGCAAAGCACGATCTATGGGAACCAGGCGTGATCACAGCAAATCAAGGGGCGCAGCTCGCGGCGTGGGCAAACGAGCAGGGCATGGAGTTTATAGGCACCCCAGGCGTACCTACTCATTCAAGAGGGCATGTACTAGATCTGACATTTTCGAACGTACCATTCGCATACACGGAAGTCCTGGAAGAACTCCATTGCGGATCCGATCATGTCACACAGGTTACCACCTTAGCGAACCGCGGAACAACAGAATGGGATCAACATCACTATCGCATAAGGGAATCGGATCTGCCCAGACTAGATGGACTAATGGCTAATCAAGTAGCTCACCTTAAAAATGTGAATATCCAGACTACAACTGAGATCGAGACCTGTGTAAGCGAGCTGGCGAATGCATTAGACAAAGCTATCCGAACGATCGGCAAGATTGATCGGAAAGCAGGGAAAGCTTCGCCATGGTGGACAGATGAGTGCAGAGAGGCCCATCGAGCACACATAGAAGCACAGAGAGGATCAGACCCCGAAAGGAAGACCAATGCTACTCACCTCCTACAAAAGGTAGTGCGGTAAGCTAAGAGATCATACTGGGCAATGCGCCTAGATGGAGTTAAAGACGACAAAGAACTCTATCGGGTCATGGGGTAGCATAAACTAACTCCTGAAAGTACTGTGAAATCCCTTCCTTTAAAGATCAACGAGCAGGAGATCATTGATACAAAGGAGAAGGCAGATGCCTTGTTCATAGCAATCCTGGATCGGTTTAGTACGGACGACGATCTACCAAACGATCCGTTATGCAACCATATGTACAGAGGAATACTCCCCTGGAAAAGAGCGATCTCAGCAGAGGAAGTGGAAAAACATATCATAGGAGCTACATGCACTTCACCAGGAGTAGACCGAGTTACTGTTCGCCTCCTCAAGGCATGCTGGCCGAGCGTCAAAACACTGATCCAGGAGATCTTTGCATCATGCCTAGCTTTAAACTACTATCCAGAAGGATGGAAGCTAGCGGAAGTGGTGATGCTCCCCAAGGTAGGCAAGAAAGATAAAACGTCACCGCGCTCATAACGGCCGATAGCCCTGATCTCCTGCATTGGAAAGGGATTCGAACGATACATAGCCAGTCAAATATCCTGGACAACTCTAAGACACAACGTGATCAGCCCACAGCACTACAGGGCACTTCCAAGGAGATCAGGAACAGATTTGACTGCTGCTTTCACTCACGATGCAGAGCTTGCATTAGCAACTGGTAATGTAGTCTCGATTGTCACGATGGATGTACAAGGAGCCTTTGACGCTCTTCTAAAGCGCTGACTCCTAGACCGAATGATCAAGCAAGGATGGCCAATCTCGCTGCTCAGGCTTATAGACTCGTTCCTTACAAACAGAAAAGTCAGGGTGAGACTCGAAGGCACTACAACAAAGGAATATCCAGTAGCATGCGGCACTCCCCAAGGGTCCCCATTATCACCTATACTTTATATGCTATATCTTGCCGAGCTCCTCAACCGAGATACAAAATACCGCTTCGGCTATGCGGACGACATCGCGATCTATCATTCCTCCAAACATCTATCTACGAATGCCAGGATCCTCCAACGACGTGTTCGGCAGATCATTCGATGGGGCAAGGACAATAAAATCCTATTCGCCCCAGAGAAATTCGAGCTACTCCATATAACCAGGCGGCACGACACAACCAATCCACCATTAGTCGTAAGCCCGGATCTGATAATCACTCCAGTACCCATCGCAACCAGTGAAAGCATCCAGCCTACTCTAAGATGGCTTGGAATCTTCTTCGACCGCCGGCTCTCATTTCTACAGCATGTCAAAACACGTACAGCGAAAGCCATGAAAGTAGCCTCGCATATCAGATCAATAGCCCGGACTCTGCATGGGCCACCAGCCTCCTTTCTGAGAAAAGCAGTGATCACCTGCGTTCTTCCAGTGGCGCTATTCGGCACTGAAGTATGGTACGCCGGTAGATCGAAACCCAATCTAGGCCAACACGAGTCAAGTATAAGCACAGGCACCAAAGGCCACCTCCGCTATATCAACAAAGTGATCAATACGGCTGCAAGAGGAACAATCCCAGTATACAAAACTACACCGACTGCAGCACTTATAAAAGAAGCTGGCCTACCATCAGGGATAGTTGCACTGGAACACGCCAAGCTGAGATTCGCTCTCCGCTTACAAACGATCGACAGCAGGCACCTGCTAGTGAGCCGCTTGAAGCCCACTATACGGAAAAGGGGGCGAGGGGCTGGCACAGCTAGAGGGCCTCTCACAAGGATCCAGCGGCTCGGCCTGATCATCCCAGAAACCCAACGGCCGAAACTACTCCGCCCACACGTCTCGCCAGGATGCAGAACCGATCCTACAGAAGGGCGAACCAAGGAAGAGGCAGCACAGGCCTTTAAGGAGTGGTGGCCAAAGCTCCCGCCCGAGGACTACTCGATCTTCTCAGACGGATCCGAGCAGACTATAGATCGCAAGCACCACGTTGGCTATGGTTACGCGATCTATCGCAACGGCACTCAAATAGCAACCGGATACAAACAGATCCACAGCGACTCACACGTGTTCGATGCAGAAGCGATAGGAGCATGGCGCGGACTGGAGCACCTGATCAGCACACTCGCAGGTCCCCCAAACGGTAGGATCTGGATGTGTATCGACAGCACATCAGTCATCTGGGGTATGCGAGGAGATGCGCCGCCTACATCGCAATGGGCTTTCCACAAGTGCCACAAGGCAATCAGACAACTCAATATCAGAGTAAAGTGGTCCCCTGGACATATGGAGATCGAAGGCAATGAGGAGGCGGATCGCCTAGCGAATGCAGGAGCAGTTGGACCCATGGATCAAGCGGCCGACAAGTTACCCACGATCAGTGGTGTGCGAACGATCTTTCGTAAAAAGTGCCTGCGCGCAGAGACTGACTGGTGGAAAGAGGTAATTGCCTCCCTCTCGTCTAGCTATAAAAAGTGGTCTCCCAACTACAATACAAAGGAGCCGAAAGAACTAGCTCTACCCAGAGGAGTTCTTCATCGACTACTAGCTATGAAAACAGGTCATGGCGATTACGCTGCATATCACCAACGCTTCAAGCATCAAAACAGCAAACAAGACTGCTCATGCGGTATGGAAAAAGAACCATATCACTTCTTCAGATGCGCAATAAACAATCTAAAGCGCTCAAACTGGCCCCTCTCTCCAACAGAGATACGCTCCGACAAACAGGCGATCACATATATTAAAAAACTCTTACATACACCCAGTAAGCTCACTCAACTGATTGTAGACTCGGAATTCTATACTCAGATCTGCCCCAATTTACTAAAGGGCCTCGGAAAAAGGTTTACCTTTTTCAACAAAGCGCCTGTTCCCCTCATTAACTCTTCACTCAACTGATCACTCTAATACATATTACCTCTCAAAACCGCAAAACACAAACCCAACATACAGTGCAAGAGCGCTGACGCTCAGTTAACCAAACAGCAATCCACCCCCGCTCTCCCCCATTTCAGTCAAGGGATTAAAGCCTTCATCGAGCCTACTCACCCGGGAACCAAGCCCCACCCTAACAACAACCCAGATCAGACATGCCCTTTTATTATAAGAGGATCATACACGCAAAGGAGCGAACAGCCCCTGGCACTGAAGTTAAACTGTTAAATTTGGCTGCGACGATCACGCCGCTTAAAAGCTCCTTATCTTAGCACGTCTCAATACCCCAAGGGAGGTTCGAAGTAGACGTTAATCAATATAAATAAATAAATAAATAAATAAGGAAAAGGGAAATGCAACTATACAAGCCGTTCATACACCTTCATCTTTTTTTCCAAGGCCGAAGGTCCTCAATAGACCCTTGCTAGAATTATATAAGCTGATCTTTGCTATTGGAACAGCATCCAAATTTAGAATAGAGTGAGGAAGGTCCTAATTGGCCTTGACAAAACAGGAAATGTCCAAAATAGCATATTCCCCAACACTTGTAAATTACTCCTTTCGATTTTTCCTATAATAAGTCTTTTACTAAAGATCAGTCTCTTGAATAGGATCAGTCTTTTCATATTCTTCAATCTCCTAATATAAATGTAAATTTCCCTCATTATAGAAAAAACAGTTAGTTTATTACTCAGTGGCTGCATCACAGAGAAAGTAATTATGCTGTTGGTAAAGAACCTAGAGCAGAAACATACCAAACAAGCGCTGATTTTATTTGGCTTTCAGAGACCATTGTTAAAGCAAAACATTGATGAGCATCCGAAGTGGCAAGAGGTTCACATGGAGGTGGAAGAGATATGGTTTCGATTGGGCGATACTGTTAAGAAATGGAATGAACGGGTTGAAGTTGAGTTGGGTGTAGGTAGATGGGTTGAATAAGGAGTGTTTTGGAAACGAGATTGCTTGATGGAATTAAAAGAGCAAGTTGAGTGTTACGTAGTAACAGTCAACCTGTCCATATGAGCTCAGACCCCGTGGAAAAGCAAACCGATTCACATACAAAATTGTATGGTAATCGGTTCGTAGGATCTCCCCACCCTTAGCAAGCTTGGACATATAGTCTGATCAAAGTCACGTGATGGACCCTGCATATTCAGGGATACAAATCGTATGTCCATACGAATCGAAGGTCCACAAACTCTCAGGATCCAAGAGATCCAATGGAGGACGAAGGTCTATATAATCAGGATGGTTTCCTTTGTGTAGAGCTTCGTGCTCAAGATTTAGTATACTCTACTATTAACGTCCGTCCCTGCGTAGCGAGACGCACCCCATCACGAGACAAATCACAGGTACTTCGAATTCAAGCGGCTCTAAATCCATGAAAGTATCAAATAATTTATATATTATCATTCTATATGTCTTGAATGCTTCTCTGGAATACTTCTAGCTTCTTGCTTCCGAAAATTTTCATCGTATTGTCGCCGTTCGTCTGAATCATGGATAGGCTCTTTAACACAATAGGACCTCTCCACCCGCATTACTATTATTAAGATCTTTCTTCATTTTGAACTTGTATAACGACTGGATATGAACTTTCACATCTTATCACAATGCTGAGAAGTAAGTGCAAGTTTTGTGATGGGCTAGAGCATGCTATTTCATATGGCGTTGTCGCAGAGATGATACTTTTCCGACGAAGTAATTGAGCATATTAGTCAGCGATGGTGTAGTTCTAGCAATTTCTGTAAAAAATTTAATGAAGTCTGTGGCTGCTAAACACATGGTAATAGCGCTTGTGGCTTGATACAATCTCACCGAAGAATCCCGCTTCCCCGGTAATCTATAAATAGAGCAAAAAGTGGCTTGTGCGGAAATAGTCTACAACCTTAGATGTGTTCATAATTGTTCCGACCTTTTGATCCCACTTATAGCACCCCATTGCTTTTTGACTTTAAAGAAACCAGTGTTTTAACAACAAAAAGCAAAGTTCTCTCAGAATCCAGTTTGTATTGAACAAGGTCTCTATAAAATGAAGTATTCTTATATAAGTGGTTAATCAGATTACGCTACGACACAGCCTCATTAGCAGCGTTTGCGACGACGATTGTATGTCTTTCTTATACCCAATTCTTTAACATCTCAATCTTTAAACTTTTTAATCTTCAAAATCTAGACCTTCAAATCGAAGTGTTTACGAAAATTTGTCGAATCAGCGATACAAGTTGTATTTGTTACAATAACGCTTGCGAACCTCCAGTATATCTTTTATACATCTCTTGCAACGCAAACCTGACAGCGAGATCGTTTTTTGCGAACCGACTAGCGGCGAAGTCCCTCCTTACACTATACTATCGCATACATGGGGACCAAATGATGAGAAAGTTACCTTTGAGGATATCCTAAATAGTATTAGCGAGGTCAAGCCTGACTATGAGAAAATCCGATTCTGTGGAGAACAGGCTAGACAAGATGGACTAGAATACTTCTGGATCGATACTTATTATATCAACAAGAGCGATGATGCTGAACTCTCACAATCTATCAACTCTATATTTCGTTGGTATTGCAATGCAGTCCAATGTTATATTTATTTGTTGAATATCTCTAAATATTCCATTAGTAATAATTATAAATGTATTCCGCAACTATAGGAATCGGATTTATAAAAGAATAAATGGTTCACTTGAGGCTAAACACTTCCAAAGCTTCTTGCCCCAGTATCGATCGAGTTTTTTTTTCGGGAATGTGGATGGTTTGGTAATAAAGGTTCTCTAATAATCCAAATTGATAAGATAACTAATATTCCTTGTATAACGTTTGAGGGACAATCGTTGTTTCGATTTAGCGTCGAAGAGTAATTGCAGTGGATACAACACCGTCAGACTACACTGGCAGAAAATAAAGTGTATTCCTTATTAGGCATTTTCGATATCTATATACTTCCTATCTATAGCGAGGGATTTATATGTGTATATAATCAGCTTCTAGACAAGTTCTACAAGATGCAGAAATGTATCCAAGACTTACGTCTTTCCGATCCGCATAACAAAAAGCGTATTGAAGAAATGAAAGGCGATATACTATAGGGCTCATACAATTGGATCTTGGAAAACTCCGATTCCCGACAATGGCGCAACGATCAGCAGAGCCGGCTACTTTGGATCAAGGGCAATCCTGGCAAGGGCAAGACGATGCTCCTTTGCGGAGTTATCAATGAACTAGAGAAGTCTGGGGCTAAGCCGGTTCTTTTATCTTACTTCTTTTGCCAGGCTACCGACTCCCGAATCAACTATGCTACAGCCGTCTTATAGAGTCTGATCTATTTGCTTGTTGATCAACAGCCGTCTTTCATTTCGCATTGTAAGGGTTAGAACCCATGTGGATGTTCGGGCCACAGCCCTCGCTGAGCACTGACTTCTATGCTGTTCTCCATATTTCTAGAATCATCTACAGTCCTTTCTCTCTATTATATATATGGAGACACTTTCATGTACATAGTCCTCATGCACTTCTTAACAGATTTACCTGAACCTATGCCTTTGAGTTATTCGAGGTCTAGCCTCTCACATGTCCGAACAATATTTGAAAAGGATATTCCGTTTTGGATTAAGCAGAAGCCTATAGTAGAATCATATTGGAATGCGATGCTACAAACGCTTGAAGGCTATACAAGCTACGTTCACTTAGTCGCTTTTTCGCTTGATGGCAAGCAGGTCGTATCTGGATCTTGGGATAATACAGTACGGCTTTGGGATACAGCGACAGGGCAACAAATTCAGCCAACACTTGAAGGCCATACAAGAATCATTTACTCAGTCGCTTTTTCGCCGATTTTAAGCAGGTCATATCTGATTTGGATAATCCAATATTGCTATATACTTTAACTGTATCAGATGATTGGATTACTAGAAATAGTACAAATATTCTTTGGCTACCATCTGATTATCGCACAACAGTCACTGCTATTCATTGTGATTCTGTTGTTTTAGCACAACCTTCTGGGAGAACTTTTTTTGAATTTCCATATAGATCAGAATTCATGTAATACAGGTTGCTCTGACAGTCGGTCATGCGATATTGTAGGATCTACAGTAGATTCTACTATAGCTGGCACAACATCGAAGGGCGCTACAACATCTATTCTATACCCTTTAGCTAGTTTGTTCAGTCTATGTATAATTCAATAGAAACCAGATAACGTCCATCCCTGCGTAGCGAGACACCCTATGTGCCGAGACAGACTAACAAAATTGAATGACTTTTGAGATAAATATATTGCTACATTAAGAGAAATAGTGTGAAGAACATATTACAAAGTCTGAATATGAACATTTTTTAGTGTTGTTGGTTTCAAAGAGATAACTACTCTATTTATCTGATAATTAGGTAAAGTTATATTATTCTCTTTCTACTAAGGATCAATCTCTAGTTCATTTGTCTGCCATTCAAGTAATATTACACGGGAAGACAATGTATTAGGGTGATTAGTACCTATAATCCTAGTCAGTAATAATACACATTCTTCCATAAGCTTAAGGGCCTCTTTATCTCGGCCAAGTCCCTTCCATATGAGGGCAAGATTATTCATGCTGGTCAGTGTGAAAGGATGCTCCTGCCCTAACACCCTCTTTCTCGTCTCCATCACTTGCACCTCCAAGTCTTCGGCCTCCTTCCAGCGTCCCTGATTCCGGTATGTCGAAGCCAAGTTGGCCATGCTGATCAGCGTATCTGGATGCTCCTGCCCTAACACCCTCAAACTCGTCTCCATCACTTGCACCCCCAAGTCTTCGGCCTTCTTCCAGCGTCCTTGATTCTGGTATGTCGAAGCCAAGTTGGCCATGCTGGTCAGCGTGGAAGGATGCTCCTGCCCTAACACCCTCAAACTCGTCTCCATCACTTGCACATCCAAGTCTTCGGCCTCCTTCCAGCGTCCCTGATTCCAAAATGTCGAAGCCAAGTTGGCCATGCTGGTCAGCGTGTCTGGATGCTCCTGCCCTAACACCCTTTTTCTCGTCTCCATCACTTGCACATCCAAGTCTTCGGCCTCCTTCCAGCGTCCTTGATTCCGGTATGTCGAAGCCAAGTTGGCCATGCTGGTCAGCGTGTCTGGATGCTCCTGCCCTAACACCCTCAAACTCGTCTCCATCACTTGCACATCCAAGTCTTCGGCCTCCTTCCAGCGTCCCTGATTCCAAAATGTCGAAGCCAAGTTGGCCATGCTGGTCAGTGTGGAAGGATGCTCCTCCCCGAAAACACTCTTGTGCCTCTCCATTACTTCCACAAACGGTACCTCAGCCTCATTATATCGTCCATCACTAAGGAGACACGCCCCAAATCTCCGCGACAGAGCAATCCGGGTTTCCCCATCTTTGCCAGCTTCATCAGACATTAGCGCATAACATACGTGTGGCAAATACGTCCTCCATGTAGTTCTATTTTGGTGGTCATCGTCTGGGAATACTTCCTCTAATCGTATAATCGCCCTTTCGGTCCATTGGGTGATCAGATCATTTTGCTGAAGCCAATTTCTCGTTGCGAGATGCACTAGTCGGTGAAGATCAAGAGCTTGGTCTGCCACTCGCTTAATAATAAACGAGTAAGCGTCAAGTGTCCCAATTGCATCTATCTCCTTTTTTCGAGACCTTCCTGCCGGAAGAAGAGACTGGGGAATATCCTTGGGGTCTATACATGCCATAAACGATAGGTAGTCGGCTGCAAGAGGGTCCCGATACCGTATCTGTTCAAACGAGATGAGCCATGTTGTAGCCACAGGGTTTTTTATATTATCGTATCTCCCGTCGTCTTCAAACTCCTCGCTAAGGAGATCAATAACATCCTCTTCTTGCTCTGCAAGGAGGGATAGATAATCCGCGAACGCAATCCCATTCTCGTTAATATATGCTGCTGCCTGAACAATAGCAAGTGGAAGGTATGTGAGCTCTTTTAGTAGGGCCGTTGTATCTGGTCTATTGTTAACCAGATCTGGATCAACTAAACACTTCTGGAGCAGCTGTATCGCTACGTCTTCGCCCATCTCTGGTACCTCTACGATATTTTGGTGTGCAAGCTTAACGGCAGTCTTTCTGTCGCGCGTTGTGAAGACGATACATCCTTGCTCACTTCGTGGGAGGCAGTCGATTAGACGGCCAGATCCTGACCTAGATACGGTGATCCACATATTGACATCGTCAGCATTATCGAAAACTAAGAGCCACCGGCCTGCGCTTTCTTTGCTCAGGTAATTTTGCACGAGTTTCTTTGCATCGGCCTTATCCTCGTCCGAGCCGGGGATCTTGAGTTGGCGGGCAACTTCTCGATATGCTTGATGAAGACTTTCCGTATTGGTTGCGGGTATCCAGATCACTAAGCAATCCTTATATCTATCCCTTATTCGGTAGACAAGTTCAAGCAACAGCTGGGTCTTGCCTATTCCCCCGAGCCCTGTGATGGCAACTTTCGTCACTCGACCTCCTGTAAATAGTTTTGCTTCCACCTCGGTAAGCTGCGTTCCACGACCGGTAAAGTTGAGATTTCTGCCGAATGGGACAATAAATGAAGCGGTATTATCTATAGAATAGCGTTTAGTATAGTCAAATCACGTTAGATCTGCCGTACCTTTAAGATCTTTCGGCTCGCTCTCGTTAGTGGAGAACCCCTTGACTGTCATTTCGAGCCTTTTCAGTGCGACCTCCTTTCCCTCGCCATAGATTGGTGGCATAGACACCTTGCAGAGGCCTAACAGGCAGTAAACCAGGTCTTCTTCTTCGGTTGTCTGGCGTTGTGCTACCCATCTTTTCCGCTCAGCGATACTAAAATCAGAGAAAGGATCCCCTCGTAGAGCCTGAAATGGAATTCGGGTAATCTCATAAATTAGTTTTTCGAGTGACCTTTTGTCACCAAGTAGCTTGTGCTCTTGAGAGAAGAATTCGACTTCCGCTGGAGCAATAAGTTCTTGAAGTGTCCAGCCTCTAGTAAACCATCTACTACTCCGAAAGGCTACTTCCCATGTGCTCTGGTTTGCTTGGACATATAAATCATCGCCAGGGGTCGATACATCCGTGAGATATACATAGCATTTCTTCGCATTTTGATACCAGCGGAACATAGAATTAATAGCCTTCGAAAGCTCAGTAAGATTCGACTTGTCAATACAACAAGTGTCCACCCAGAAATATCGAAGGCCATCTTTAGCCGCTTGTTCTCCACAAAACTTGATCTTTTTGTAGCCAGACTTGCTTTTCCCAGTACCACTTATTAGATCTTTATATGTGACCTCTTGATCTGTCCAAGTATGTGAAAGGATTGCGTAGGGAAGGGTATCATGGGTGGCAACATAGATCAGGCTGAATTCGCCCGGGCTTTTCATCTCTAAAAGATACATAATTGCGAACGGCTAGGGATTTCGCGTATCTAAGGAAGTTGATGTGAGATCAAAATCACAATTTTAGACCAGAATGGAGTGTAGGATAAGATTATCCAACGTCGAGAAATCACAATTCTATATCAGGATGAAGTGTAGGATGAAATTATTGAATGTAGAGTAGCCCTTCGCGCGGTGGGGATGCCTGTAGCATGTGATGCATTTCGTGGCACAGCGTAATTGGAGCCTGCCTTCGAATTGTGGCTTAAGCAATCCGTAGTCACAATGCCACAATTTAGACGTTGAGATTCAGTACAGCAAATGATTATTAGAGTGCATAATTTAGAGCATATAAAAATTTGATTACAGTAACAAATAAATCATAACAATATTAACTGGAAGGATGTTTTGAGCTATATTGGTTGAGGAAGAATACACTTTAGTAATCTGGTGATGTTTATTTTTAGAATTGTTTACTAAGCAATATTTAACTTGTGACGATGCCATGTAAGCGACCCGCAAGCTATAAGTACACGTGACTAGAATATGATCTATTTTATGTATTTAAGCACTTAAGGCCTTTCGATCCTCTTTCTTCTATAGTATTAAATTCTAAGGATTTTATTAAGTCATATAAAGCTCTATTTATCACATAACTCAGTTAAACATTATATGCTATAATAAACCTGTGACTGATTATCAAGTGTTACGACAGATCTCACATACCTAACATCACGTGATTAGTATCATGTGATATAGGGATCCCAGTAGGCTCAGCTGTCCCAATGCAACTGGGACAACTGGGAGCACTGAGACGCTTGCCACGAAGGTCTATATAAGCAAGATGGATTTCCTTTGTATAGAGCTTCGTGCTCAAGATCAATCATTTAGTATACTCTACTATTAGTTACGAATAGCATATTCATTATTGTCATTACTTAAAGTCCCTGCTTGACGCCTAGTTATAAACCTACCTCGAGAGCCTAGAACACTTCCACGTGATCTAGACGGCTACCCTCGTAACACACAGTTTATCACTTTGCTATAGAACGATAAGCCTCTTCGATATTCAGCCCTGGAACCAAGGGGAATCCCGCCTCTGCAGAGGTGGACAGATCGCCAACGAATTCTATGATGACCTGATGACGGAATCATAAGGGTTGCAAGAGTGCCAAGAGGAGCACGGTATCAGCGCGCCTGACCGCGATGACCTAGCAAAGACGTTGAGAGCAGCTCAAACAATAACAACATGGCAAGACAGTGGTGTGCTCGGCGTGCTCGGTGATAAGAGGCAATACTACCCAAGATAATATAACAAGGGCATAACGACAGCGGGCACAATAGTGGGCATAATGATGGCAAGCAACGGCTATTGCAGGGCATAACGGCAGAATCATGACACCAAAGGCTGGTACAACCCATTATATCAGAAACAAATGCAGATTAATATCAACTCTACTTTATAGCAACAAGTCTCGAAGCCAGCACAAGCTTGCCTCAATCAAGGATCAAGTCTATCAACTCTATTATTATATCGTACAGCAATCTCTTCCTCCGCTAATACATCCGTGCCACTGGGGCTCTCCATGTTTCTGGCATAATCTCATCTTCCGCGATTAGTATCCCGCTTATCTGTACTATTGAGACTGTCACTGATGCTCGCTTCACCTTATTGGCCGGCTCAGGCGGATCTTGCGCAGCGTTCTTGTGTTTCCGACTATGCTTCGCCGTATCTATGTCCTCTTCACCTACCTCTGGCTTACCCTTGCACTTCCGACCGCGTTTTTCCTTGCCTTTGGCTGCTTGGGTAGACTCTTTTACAGCATGCTTTGCTTGTGCTTCCTCAAGGTCCTCATAGCTCATAACCTTCGCCTTTCCTAGCACCAACGACCTCGTCGATCGTCGAACCTTAGCTTCGTTGTTAATTGTGGTCAGAAATTGAATTTGGTCAATTTGCAGGATGCTCTTAGCAGAGGATTTTCGGAAAGCTTTAGTATATTTCTGCAAGTGCCTTGCCAGGTTCTGTTTGCTCGTTTCATTCATCGTATGAGCATCGTGTTGGATAATCAGGTTCTGCAGTGAAATAAAGGCTTGTGCTGAAACTGGCGTCACAGGCGTTTGCGGTTCTATATCTTGCCAACAAGACGCTACCTTCACCTCATCGGCTTTTGGCATAGCTGGTTCAGCTAAAGGGGCAGGCATACTTCTGAGCACCCTATCTGGATTGAACGGGAACAAATCACTTGTAGCGAAACCAATCTTGATATTCTTTAGCATGAACGCCCCCCCCTTTACGGGGCTATATAAAAAAATGAAGTGCTCCTTGCTGATCATATTTACATCTTTTTGTTCAAGTTGATCAATCTGGTTGCAATAAACTGCCTTGAGTGGAGCAAACACTACTACATCACAAGATTAGAGTTTGTGGAAGGTATAAAAGAAGAGACAGCATAAAAGAATATTGTTCTTGAAACAGAACTCTAAGATTTCGAGGGTCTCGTATATTCCAAAGCTATCGCAGATCAAAATATGTGGTTTCTTATTAGCTTGTTTTTTAATTTCGAAATCAAATATACACTTGAACCATTCTAAGCTAATCTTAGAATCAATATATCCAGAATCGGAGCACACATATTGCCATTTAGAAATAAAAAACATAATCCAATTGCTTCAATAAATACTCACTAACCAGATAATCATAGGGTTTAGATACCTACCATCACTACTAATACATTCAATCATAATCACAATGATATATTTGATTCATGTGCCTCTATAATCTCGTATATTGTACTTATTTACAAGGACTTTGATAAAGCTTGGTATAGATAGCATCACTCCAGTCTCATCTATATTATACACATTTTCGGCTAAAACAGCCGGATCTTGTAACACATCTTTTATCACCTCAAACCAATATATAATCTTATAAGTATTTTTCTTGTAACAATTCCAGTCCAATACTTTAACTCTTCATATTGTGAATTCTGAATAATGTTTTTCTAAAGCTTTTATCCAATTCCAATCAAAAGACTTGAAGAATCTATTAGTGGTAAACTGATAATAGATAACTCTAAAGATTATAAAAGAAATAAACTTTATTCATATTAATTACCCAAAATTGTATATTTGTAGCAAATACTTAACAATAATATTTTCTTCATATAATTTGAAATACTATTAGCCTCACATCTTTTCTTTTATCGAGAGTCTTCCACAAATACAATAATAAAATATAAAATATAGGATGTTACCATGATCTGCAAGAGTATGGTATAATCTAGGCATGCCAGGAGGTATGCCTTGTGTCAGGACTTGACTAGCTCTGTCCATATTATTTATAGAAGGAGACAAGAGACAGCGCTCCAGCGCCCAGGCACCAGCGTGCTGCCGCCTGCTGATAGAATATTCTAGAAACCTGCATTTACACTACACACATAGCTATTATACACTATACATGCCAAGACCTGAGAATCATAGCTAAATAAAATATAGTGAGATCAGGAGTGAACTTAGTAAATTTATAACTCGGCTAATGTATATTACTAAGCACCAAAATATAAGGCCATCTCCTCACATCGGAGTAACTCCCGGACTACATTATTTTCCTCTTTAAGTATCTTCAAAACTTGGAGCTATATTCTTTGGATATAGAACCTTTCCCCAAATGCTCCGAATTTAAAAAAACTCTAATAGTTGCGATCAAGCAAAGGGGAACAGCCGAAACGGAGATTGGTGGCGTCATTGAAACGATCGATAGTATAATCAATTGAACTGTTTTTCTTGTCTGTTTAGTGGTATCCCTAGAGAGAAATAGCTAAAGAAAATATTATATTGAGAGAAACTCTATAGACTTGCTAAGAAAAAAGTTATGATTCCAAAATTACAGATTTGTCTCGTTACGGGGTGCGTCTCGCTACACAGGGACGGACGTTAGTTACGAATTCCATATCATCATTGTCATTACTTTAAGTCCCTGCTTGACGCCTAGTTATAAACCACCTCGAGAGCCTAGAGCACTTCCACGTGATCTAGACGGCAAACCTCGTAACATTGAGCCTAAAAAGGATTTTTATTTGTTTTGAGTTGATATAATAGCCTTTGACTTATTTCTTGAGCCTTAAACGTATTTTCTTATGAGTCCGGGACAAGCACTATGTTGAGAAGCGCGACCGGGTGGGCCTCACACATCACCTGAATACCCAATACCCTGATGGGTTTTGCCTCTACGGGACTGGCTCCGAAATTCACCCTCGACTTCGAATGATATTGGCTTTGTCTGCTGTACCTGCATCTACTGCTTTATTAATTATTACGAATTTATGAAGCATATTTCGAAGGAATATTTAGACGGCCGTCAGGCTAACAAAATAAAAAATTGACAACACGGATCTCATCCCATCTCTACTTGCAAGATAGCATATGATTACTTTTGGGATTTCTGAGAAGATTATATCTACAGGGTAAAATAAGGCTGATATGCCGTCGCTAAGAAAAGTATGACTCAAATACAAAAGATGGAGAAGAGGCGGGGTAATATAATAATAATGGATTCGGGTATGGTGGGACAAGGATTCTTATTCAGGAATTATGGCCTAGGAGAAGCGATGCGACTCCTATTGGCTCTGAATTGATCAAAAGATAGCTTTTGTAGCCGGCATAATGTACAGATAGGCATTTGACTTCTGCCGGTCAATTTGAAAGTGAAGGTTAAATAAGCATCGATTCTGTTTTGGACAATACCTATTTTAACGATGCCTATTTTGAATAATGCCTAATTTGTTCATATGGTACGAGGTCTAAAAGAGGTTAGATACACTTGAAAAGATCTTATCCTTGTGGTGAATTCTCTTATCATTGCTTATTTCCGGCTTTCTTCGATATTAAAAGCGAAGAGGTCAGACAAATCTACTAAAGAAATCATTCTTATTTCGAAGGGTCTAAGTTGATAGAGACAAAATAGAAAGTGTCCAATGTAGCATACCTTTTAATCATCGTACTTCATACTTCTCCACATATTTTCATAATTCATAATTGAAATGAGATATCTCATTTTGTGGATTTGGGAGTTAAGTAAGTTTTACGTGACTAACAGTCTCCCACGCCCCACTGAAAATTCCAATCAGAGAGATGCCTCAGTCAATCAAACATTTCCTTAACCATTAGTATTCTATCATATGATATTCATACAGATCATTACACAATAGTAGTTAGGCTAACCAATTATATTATAGAGAATTTGGGGAACCTAGAGTGCCTTGTATTCTAGGAATATTGTCCTGCGATACAAGATTAGATAGGACACTGGCCTTATGATTGAAGTAGTCCTAGTGTGATAACCGTGCTAGTACAATAATCCTAGGATATTTGTCCTAGGATTGGATTTGTCCTAGGATTAGATTTGTCCTAGGATATTTGTCCTGGGATTGGATTTGTCCTAGGATATTTGTCCTAGGATAGGATTTGTCCTAGGATATTTGTCCTAGGATTAGATTTGTCCTAGGATATTTGTCCTAGGATTGGATTTGTCCTAGGATTAGATTTGTCCTAGGATATTTGTCCTGGGATTGGATTTGTCCTAGGATATTTGTCCTGGGATTGGATTTGTCCTAGGATTGGATTTGTCCTAGGATTGGATTTGTCCTGGGATTGGATTTGTCCTAGGATTGGATTTGTCCTGGGATTGGATTTGTCCTAGGATTGGATTTGTCCTGGGATTGGATTTGTCCTAGGATTGGATTTGTCCTAGGATTAGATTTGTCCTAGGATATTTGTCCTGGGATTGGATTTGTCCTAGGATTGGATTTGTCCTAGGATATTTGTCCTAGGATTGAATTTGTCCTAGGATTGAATTTGTCCTAGGATTCCAGCAGATCCGCAATTGATTTCATGCACCTCTTAAACCCCAGAAATAGTAATCTACGCTAGGCGCTTAGCAAAAGCAATAACACAACTTCAATCAGCTTCGATAAGGTGTACTAGGTGAAAGATGGATGACTCTCTACATTATGACGACGCACAATACCTTCTGATCGCGCTAAACTCATTGAAACAATGCTATCAGTTGATCATAACTATCAGTACAATCAATGGATTGAAAATCAAGATGTCATTGTACAAACAGTCCAATATACTCTAAGGGATATACCTCGAGATTTGTCCTCATTTGATCTTTTCTGTCGCTTATTTCGGACTTATTATGAATTATGCAAACAACAACATCAGGAATGGATGACCTCTGCTGCAATTATTGTCATCGAGTAGTTGATAAGTATGATGATGCAATAGATCATTATAAGCGAGATTAGAACTTCCCGTAGATATGGCCGAGCGACAGCTGCCTACGAACGGATCGCCGAGTCTACTGGTTTTACACTATCTCAGATCAAAGCATTGCGCAGAAGTTTCAGATTTTATAATTTCTGGTTTGGAATGTTCATCTTCTTTAATCCAAGAGATTTGCGAAAGTAAATAAGGCGAATTATATGTATCCTTTGATGATTTGAGTGCTAATCTAATCACAGATGGACGTTCCATAATAATCTACAGAATCCCAATATATCAATAATATTTCATGGGGTGGAAAAGGGCATAACATATGAGCAGCGACAATCCTCGGACGAAATAGTATTTTCAATCTACTCGGAGATTTTGAAATACTTGGGATATTGTTCAAACAAGGTTCAGAGACTTGGAGTATATCAATCGAAATATAGTTCACACCTCGCAACTTGTAATACCATACATAAAAAGGAAAAACCATTAGGTAAATTATTGATTTATAGGTATATACCCTTTTGCTATAGTATTGACTAATAAATAGTACTTCAACAATCAATCGACATCGCAGAGAAAATGATTTTCGGTCTTCAACTGTTCTTCCCCCCCAAAATGCCCATCGCACGATGCGAAAACGTGGCTTCCTTAATGATGGACGCGGCTCAGATGGATTAATTCTCTAAATCATTTCATTTTGAAGAGAAAGAATATGAAGGCGTTCTTTCTACATCCATCTGAGGCCAACGAAGAACCTCCCTGTATATATATCATAGCACCGATTGTCCAATCGATCCTAACAACCTGTCATCTATCTATCTATCTAAAAAATCTCAACTGGTATCAAAGTGGCCGAGGAGCGTAAGTTTGACCTTTCTCTGGAGCTGTAACAATCGCATGACCCTTTCCATCTTTGAAGATCGCGGAGATCAGCTTTGGATAAAGAAACACAGTCCCCAGCAGCACGATCTTTAATTTTTGTACAGCGTGGAATTATAAACCGGAGTTCCACCAATGCAGTACATTCCTTCAATCGCTTTTGCAAAGTATAAGCTTCAATTGGTTTTGTTGTCTTCGGTAGATCGCAGGTGGATTCTGTGCCGATCGTACGTCTTTGCCATTGATGTAACGATATATCTATGGTGATTTTCTTCATGATTTTGACGGTAGTACAGTTCATAAATGCGTGTGGGGTGAACGAGAAGATGGCCTCTCTGTAGTAAAGTGAGACTGCCTTTTGAAACAGGACTTTCGATATCATCCATCTCTTAAGCATAAGGTTCAATTTCCCATTATTAAAGTTGATGGTCTGTAGATTCGGCGCAAAGTTCTCGAGAATATTGGACCAAACATCTGCGGGAAGGTGAATTTCTCGCCGTGGCCTTGTGAGGATCAAACGTTCTCGTGCGCTACAACAAATGATTAGCTCGTTAAATTTGTTTCAATCCTGAATGCTACATACAATCCCAATCGTCTGACGAGTGACCTCAAGGACAATAGTAGGCATGATTGAGCATCATCGGAATCCTCTAGCAATACTCTCAGGTATTCATGTCGTTTTTTATATGCCTGCTTGCTTCTTAAAGTTGATTGACGTCGATGGACTTCTCTCAGCATTTTCTCATGTTTTTGTTCCAGCGATTGTACAACACCGCGCACAATTATGATTTGACCACCTTTTCCTTGAAGAACGAAACAAGGTATTCCAAGAAAGAAACCGAAGAACTTGAAAAATCCCATTCGAGGTCTAGAGGTAGTGTAAAAGCATCGTATTCAGATCGACTTAGGATGCCCATCTTAATCTCTTTGCTGTCGCATAGGTAATAATCTGCTAACCGTTCGCCGAATCCATTACGATAGCTGTCATCGACTACATTATACTTCGCGTCATTCTCGAGCCAGCGATTCAAATCGTATTCTACTGATGTTTCGTGTTTCTCGCTCTCCAAGGGAGAAAGTAAGGGAATGAGATCTTGAGCCCTAAGAAGATTTTCCACCGATACATTTAACAAAAAGTTTTCCACACCTTTCGGTAGTTCTTGAGAAAAAGTCATATTAGAAAGTAATTCATGGCTGGTGTTTATTTCGATGAATATGATGAGAAAGTACCAGAACAAGAAGTGAATGAGGAGGCTTTACTGGTGCGACCACAAACTGTAGGACTATCTCCTTTCAGTATCCTGCAAGCTCCAAGCTGGAGAATAATGGTTCATAATTAATAAGTGGGTGGTCTGTACTTTCTGTCGGCACGAGTAATTAATTATACCAGGGTCACTGACTTTCGCCGCCATGATACAGACTGCACCAGGGGTATGATTACTTGGTAATTGTATGGATCTTGAGCATGGGGTGATAATTTTCCCTGCGAACACGAATCGGATTCAAAGTCCGAGTTTGACTGCGGTGATTTTCGAACTTCGGTCAACCGTTCAAAATCTTCTCCTATATGCACCAAAGCTCCGAGTTAATCTCGTATTCATAGTTAGTATCCAATTGTTTGAGTCTGCAGGTATTGTGTCAATAGTTCTAGTGTGATAACTATACAGAATTTAATTCCATTTGAGTAAAATTCGGATATTGATATTCGTTGTTGCTTTTCTACCCCCCTCTTTTCCCTCTCTTGAGACATTACTAATATAGCCGAAAGGAACAGGGTAATTCATTTTTACGCGGATTTTCTTATTTGGGTACTTCGGGTGACCATGGCCATCCCAGAGACCCAAATACAGTATAGCTTTCTTTTCATATTACTTGTACTACTGCTAAAATAAACCCTGTGATATATATACATAGTGGGTAATCCATTTTCGCGTGGATTTTCTTATTTGAATGCTTCGGGTGACCATGGCTATCCGAGAGACCCAAATACAGTATAGCTTTCTTTTCATGTCACTTGTTGCCCTGGTTTGTATGTTATGTCAGAAGTCTAACGCTTCTTCTCTGATCCCCCTCTTTCTCTTTTATACTCATTTCATTTTCTTATTTCTATATTCTCATGAGGTGTTACGATTTAGACGTTATTCTTATTGATTTGGTAAACTTGAGGGTTTCAATGATTCCTGCTTTGGTGTGAAGAAGGCATTTCATTATGAGCCTAGGAGAGGGGCTACTCTTTCAAACTTTTTTCCTTCTCTCCTATTTAATTCTTGGAGATTAAATCTAGCGTTATATCCTAAATTTGTATATCATTATAGTTTAATAAACTAGATTTCCCATTAGATCATCTACTAAGGCTTCACGAAGGCTTTCTTGAGTAATCTTAGACTTGATCTAGACATTAACTTTGTCAATTAATCAATCAATAAAGCCTTGTCTAAAGCTTTCACAGACAATACAGCATATTCGAAGATAGTGTCGCTTCGCCAGAATCTCTCTTCCTATGGATATTAACCTTCTTTTCGCGAGAGACTACAATTATACAACAAACCACTGGTGGCATCCATAATACCTGTGTGAAGGGACGCCTAATAGGAATATGGATAGGACAGGATGGGAAGATATTTTTGGATATCCGTGGAGATTGTGGGCCCTACGTACGATGGCTGAGTATATTTGAACACAATATGAATTGGAGTCTCATGCGTGCAAGTTAGTGTTCGGTTTTAAAAGTAGTTATGGCTGAGTAGGAATCAACTTGAAGGTTCAAGATATCATAAGAACTTGGAGGACCTTGGAGGATCTTGTTCATCTGGAATCATTCAACATTATTCACGGATTGCATGATTGAGGCTCAACCTTCAAATATTTGGAATTCTTTCATTTGGTATATAACATGGGTTTGTTTCTTGGTAGTAATGAAGTCAATAATTATTCATCATTATGATTGTTGTTGCTGTGATAATTCAATTTCTAATAAGTACATGAAAGAAAGTTTGTGAAAATCCTTCCCAGGCCATATTACTAGTCTCCAGAGGTCTTGACACGACAACGCATCACACCCACGCACCATCCATACCCTCAAGACCAAGGGACTCCCGAAACAACTGGTTAACTTCGTCGAAAGCTTTTGGAGGAAAGATCAAGTAGCATCCAGATCGATAACTACATGAGTCCACAACGATCTACACACAATAAGATATTACAGGGATCGCCGCTTAATCCATTCTTGTTCTATAATATTGAACTGATCGATCAACCCCTTGTCAAAAGTTTGGAGCAAGATTATCCACTCAACGATTCGTTCAATCAAATATTACTTGTTAACCGCGCCACCCCTAAGAAAATGGTTTAGAAAAAGTCAGGGTGCAACCAGATACCCCACCTCTAATCTATCCTTTCCTCAGTAGAGTACTCATTCATTACTTGCCGGGACAACGAACCACCGGCGCCGACGCCAGTGTCTCGGCAAGAGGGATTATATAGTTCCCAATCTTCGTAGTTCTAGCTCTTCAGGCAATCAATACGAATATACATTGAGGCTTCAATTCCCCATAGCCCACCACTATTGACATTACTGGACCGTGATTGATCAATGGGTATGGGTTCGCATAAGAAGGGAAGCAAGTGTAGGAAGAGATTTAAGAGGTGCATAATACGAGAGGTAAGTACTGGTGTTGAATTAAATGATGAGGGTTTTAAGAGGTGCATAACACGGGAGGCACACATCTTCAAAATGACTCGACGATAGGAAAGGGTCCTGCGTGTCGTCGATAACGAATACGAAGCATGGAACATTGTGCTGAAAGAACATGCTTGAATATATGCAACAAAGGCGATTTCATCCGCGTCTCCCGAAAACATAGCCAACGACAGACTGACACAGCGACTCTCCGAACAAGGTTAAAGAGTGCAAAATAGAACTGGACAGGCATTTATGACAAGATAAATCTGCCCAGCTGGCATTCTCTTCATGCTCTATGCAAGAGGCGCATCAATATACATATTTCCCCTGTTTACATTCAAACTAGAGACCCTGGACCACTTTTCGCCATCCTATCATCATTCTAGATAGTAGTCTATTGAGAAGATTATGCTGCACACTGCCTCAACAAAGATTAAGGAGATCACGGTATGAAACCCCGATAATCGGCGATACTTGAGAGAGAACGGGTATAAAAGGTGACTTGTATCCAGTTCTGAGATTGTTCATTCATCTTTCTCTTCAATCAAAACATTTTCCATTTCAAATCACCAAGTTATCATCATGACTTCAACTTCTCCCACCGTCATGACTTCAATAGATCAACGCTTGGAGCCCAAGGACAACAACAACAACAACGTAGCCAACTCCCAGCAATCTGACAAAGAGGCCTTCGAGAACTTTGACTTTGACAAGTACTTTTCGAAGGATCCAGAAACATCAGAATTAGTCGACGATGAAGCTATCGTATCCAAACCTTCCGAGGTAGAGACAATGGACGGAACTGCTTGCGAGTCAGAGCCTCTTTCGAAGGATTCGGAAATATCAGAAGTGGTTGACGATGAGGCTATCGCATCCAAACCTTCCGAGGTAAAAACAAAGGAGTCGACTATACATGTACAGCATCCATTAGACCCTGTTGTCATTGATTTAACAGAGTCGAGTGACGAGGAATTAGCCCCATCAGTGACTACTCGGAAGGTACAGAATGATCAAAGCCCGTCATCCTCCAGTAAGTCTTCGAATTTTAACTTAATCTTGCTAATCTAATATATAATAGAAAGTTCGACTATATCATTAAATAAGAAGCGTAAACATTCTGAAGCATCTTCAATTTCCAGTAAGTCTTTTTTAGTTGCACTTTGTAATTTCTTACTTACCTATAACAGCGTCTGAAAGCCAAGATAATGTATTACCGACTGGTCGATGTACAAGACGAAAAACCTCATCCCGCAAACACCTCAGCGATGAGAATGTATTCTTGGATTCTTCGGTAGAAGATATTGAAAAGCTGCTTGAGAATAGGCAAGAGATGGCGTTGGCGGAAAATACGAGGGTAGGATTGATTGAATTGAAGAATAAATTTCTGGCTTGGGGTGCTCATGACCAGAGGGTGACGGGAGAATGGGAGGAAGTGAGTAACTGGTATTAGGATAAGATTTTTTGGTATTTAGCCCCAAGTTCAAGTTAATGTAAATAAAGACGATTAAGTTTATTTATAAGTATATAATAAAACAGGAGAAAATGACGAGTATATATATATATATTCAGGCAATTAATTAAAACGGACTTGAAGGAACTTGTGATTAGCATTATTTAACTTTGGCTTGCTATATCATCCCTTCGAACCACAATAAATCAGCCTTATATTACCTATGATGAGGTGGCTCGAGCAGCTGAATATCGCGATATACTCTAGCTTCAACATCATCAATGAAAAATGATGTATGCCTTTGTGTACTCTTCTGAACAGCAAATTATTTTACACCAATACGCCTCCTAGCCTTAAGGTGATAGAGGAACCTTTTACATAGCCGGCATTCTATTCTCTCTCTCTCCTTCCCTTCATTATAACCAGTGTTCATTGGTTTCAGCTTTTCACCATGACCCGGCAGTAAACCCAGCATGGGATCCTCGTCATATACCTGTGAAAATCGCTACAACTATTATAATGTATTATTTCGATCTTTACAAATAGTTGAGAGAGTCTACATTATCGAAGGAGAAATATAGCTAGTTGATGAAAGATATATATGGGTTTCATGTAAACGCTGACGATTGTGCTTGGAAAAGATCCATTGATGAGGGGTATGACGATCAGAAAGACCTTTTGGGACTGAGTGGATACCTCGCGACTTGCGTCAACTTCTGCTGGGATTTTGGTCAGACAATTTGGTATTGGTGTTATCAAGGCTATACTGGCAAGAACAGATGAATATGTATACCGGATTCGTTATACGAATAGTTCTTAGTTCATGTTTCTATCTCGGCGTAGGTTTTCCATAGATATGGTTTTCCCTGTACCCTCGTGCAAATGCAAAGATACTTCCCCACACCCTTACATACGGTCCCAGATTCCCACTGCTAGAACCCTGCATATAGCCAAATATGAGGTATAGAACGATTTGAAACCGAATGCGCAGGACTTTTGAAAGCAATGATTTAGCGCCTGAGGCGAGAGAAATATTGAATATGCATTATGTACGGGAATATGCACAAGTGGCGCTGGTTGTGACTCATGCTACCATCTTTTGAAAGTTGGTAGTAACCCCTGCTTGAAAGTTGGTAGTGACCTGCTCCTCCAGAACAGACAACCAGATTCATTACTAACTTTGAAATCTGGTATCTTACCTTGCCTCTCTTTACTACTTTTCTCCTTGTCACAATTCCACGATATTGAACCATCATGGATGAATTGGATTTCCAGAAGCTTTGCACATCCACTGTTCATTATTGTTCATTAAGAGAATAAGAGATAGTGACGGCATATCTGGCGATTCTCCCACATTGTCAAAGGCACGTGCAACTTATATACATCTCGTCGTACAGCTTGAGGGCCACTGGGCTGCTGTTCAAATAAGTTTGTGTCCTTTTATCATCCAGTATATTTCGGGACAAACATTTTATCGATGTCACTACCGCTACACGCTGTGCTGTTAAAGTACATGAACTCTGAAACCAAAGCCGTTGACGATGGCGTAGACGATGGTATAGCGGCAGCAAAAGTTACTACTCTAAGTGGCTCGAAACGGCCTCGGAAGCAATCTGACTATGCTAATATCACGGAAGAGAATGCTCATAAAAGAGGAAAACGCCGAAAACCCGACACCATCAGCAGACCTAGGCAAGAAACCACCGATATTGAAAGCAGCGACGATACTGAGCTCCGAAGTAGAGATTCAGCGGCAGAGGAGAAGACACTCTGTGAGAAATTATCAGGGATTGTTGTGAAAGAGATCCTTCTAGCCTTGTTAAGTTTATCCAACTCGATAAAGAGGGGTAGACACTGTTGATCCAGCGCTGTATCTATACATTTGTCTACTTTTGGATCGAGGTCAAATTTTGCCTTCGGAAGCCATTCTCCTAGCTTTGACAGAATAAAATCGATCTTGGATCCGCTCAGCTCAACTCTCTCTAGGTACTGGACTTGCGCGACCGATACAGACATTGCAGAAGCTGGAAATCAATGTTTTGTAGTGGTTTGGTTTTTTCTTATATAGGGTAACAGTTGTTTTAAGTGTTAGTGTATGGTAACGTAATTTAGCACATTGTTATGCCTTAGGCCTAAAGCTGGTTGCCTATACGTACTGACCGAGTAGTCAGTCCTAGATTAAGCCGATTGGTGTTATTGTTGGTGGCCGGGTGGGACACCGTTGAGACCAGGGGCAGTACCAACTTTGAAGTTTGGTATTTTACCCTGGGACGCCAAAAAGAAATCGTGGTGCTCATGAAGTAAAGTACGATGTAGAGCAATCAATGCTTGCCATTGCTCATTGTTGAACTCCTGCGGGGGAGAGGAATCCCCTTGCGTCAAGCCAGCTTGCTTATTATCCATTTCTATACACTTCGCTTCAATTATAACGAGTCCAGCATAGATGCCCTTTACTTCAGCTACGAGCTGCTCTTGCGAAATGGGTCTGGTCTCCGGCTGAAGGATGATAGTATACTCTTCACCTTGAGATTTGGATTCATGATTCGAAGTACTTCTCGTATGCAGCACAGCAGGTGGGGCAGCTGATTGGCTATTGTAGTGGTTATACTGACTTGCATGAGGGGCTGATCGTGGTACAAGCTGGGGGGAAGATTTAAATAATCTACGTGTGCTTGGTTTCATCGCCTGCGCCCGTGTTTTGTTTTCTTGAATAGATGCGATGTTGGACGGATCAAACGATGATCTTGTGGATGGTGAGTCCTGATCCGGAGTCCACAAATGGCCCTTCGGTCTTTGAGAAGTAGGGATTTGCCGCCGAGAGTCCGCATCCATAGGAGACTGGGGTGCTTGAGCTTTGGATCGTTGTGGGGGCGGCGAACCAGAAGCCTCTCGAGACGCTGAGCCTGCGGATATCCCATCTCCGACAGCGGCCCTCTTCCGCGGTTGATCGGCTGTTATATCTTCAGGAGAATCGTCCATCGTAGTATCCTCATCCTTCGGGTTAAGGTTCAATCCCCTGCTTGACTGCTTCAATACACAACCCCAACGCCCTTCTACCACTTACACGTGACTAGAAGATCGACGACGTAACACAAAGTTAATCAATCAAGGCAGAGGCCTCAAAAGCTCTGAAGAGAAGATCGTACATTCAACAAAATGGACAGAAAACACAATATAATATAACCTCTATAACAACTCGCCTTTCCGATTGAATTTATTGTTTATTCTTTCCCTATCCCTATACCGAGGAAGACACACACCACCTTACTATTTTCCGGAATCAACATTGAGCAGCCACCAGCGATTATGACCTCGGAAGATTGAGCGAATGTGAAGGTCGTTTGACGATGACTTGTTCGTTCTTCTAGAGTTGCCTCAATAGTACCGGACATAACTGCTGGGATCAACACAATACAATCATTCCCCAGATATGACCATCCGCTCTGAAATACCACTAATTGTACGGTCCGGGCTAGGAAGTATTGTTTCTTGGAAGGCTTAGGAGATGAAACGAGTGTATCAACGATATCAGTAATCTGCAATATATGAAGTAGTCAGCGAATAACTATTTCTGAAGAGATCTTCCATAATTACCTCTTGAGATCGATTAAACTACTTCTTGAATTCCTCCCTGATTTTATCCAGTATCTTTGAATCGTCATATTCATATTCCATCTTCGACCAACCCTTTCCCGCTGGAATAGAATTAATATTGATATACGGTATTAGGCTTTCAATATGACCCTGGATTTCGTGGTCTGCTTGCACAATCTGTGCAACAGAATAATCAACAGTTCCCGTTGTAGACATAACGAGTTCAGGGTGTCCGCGACAAGTAGAAAGATCCCTGAGGTTTGGAGAGGCTCGAGAATATACGTGGCGCTATTGTTCGTTCGCTAATAAAATTTGCCTGCCTAAGAGAGCAAAAGAATCTAAGCAATCTCGACGCTTGCAGCTTCATTTATCACAATGTTTCTCGCGATAGCCTTACCTTAAAGCATAACGGGCTACCACGCGCTTGCATAGACTATCACGTGGCTCGGTGGGGTCGGTCGGCGTTAATTAGGCTGTAATATATTCAACATGAAAAATGAGTCATAAGACAAATATACACGGTCATTCTTTTGATCTGTACTTGATTCAACCTCACGTTGGGTGTTCTATACTCTGCAATCTCTAGTGACGAGCTGTCTGTCGCAGGTCGCTTTAGGCTCTCTACTCTGCTTAGAGGGTAACTCGCTGTCGCTACCTATAAACGTGTACATCTTATCCTGGCCTGGGGACCTGGCCGAATCAGATGTGCGAAAGTCACGTTACTATCATTTTTGCTAGGCCAATCAGAGTTGTCAATAAGGGTTGTCCGGCCTTCCTTTAATAGGAATATTGCCTCAATTTCCACAGTCTACAGCCAAAAAGTTATTAGTGTCTAATAGCCGCATATACTAGCTATTTCTTCTAGGCATCAATCACGTAAACTATGGAACTATACCATATTTAACCTAGTCTTCAGTCGCTTGTTTTTGGGTCCCGTGAAGGGGAGGCACTGCAAACTTTCTTTTCATACCACGTCAAATACAGTCTTCCTATCGCATTGCCCTATCTCCATTTCTATCGCCATCTCGATATCCTTCTATTTCTATCACCATCTCGATATCCTTCTATTTCTATCGCCATCCCGGATATCCTTCTATTTCTATCGCCATCTCGATATCCTTCTAATTCCTATCGCCATCTCGATATTATCCATCTCTATCGCAAAATATCTATTACGACTATACGAACATAGTCTTTCCATCACTATCTCAATATCTATCTTTATCGCACAACATCTATTACGACTATACAAGTACAACAACTCTGGCGGTAGTTACGTTCTTCAGCACTTGTGCTAGATAGATCTTGAGTCTCCTCTACTAGGCGGACTAGGTATCACCTCTTGTAGGCGGATCAAATGTCACCTGTAGGCGGATTCTAGGTCTCCTACTAGGCGGACTAGGTATCACCTCTTGTAGGCGGATCAAATGTCACCTGTAGGCGGATTCTAGGTCTCCTACTAGGCGGACTAGGTATCACCTCTTGTAGGCGGATCAAATGTCACCTGTAGGCGGATTCTAGGTCTCCTACTAGGCGGACTAGGTATCACCTCTTGTAGGCGGATCAAATGTCACCTGTAGGCGGATTCTAGGTCTCCTACTAGGCGGACTAGGTATCACCTCTTGTAGGCGGATCAAATGTCACCTGTAGGCGGATTCTAGGTCTCCTACTAGGCGGACTAGGTATCACCTCTTGTAGGCGGGTCAAATGTCACCTGTAGGCGGATTCTAGGTCTCCTACTAGGCGGACTAGGTATCACCTCTTGTAGGCGGATCAAATGTCACCTGTAGGCGGATTCTAGGTCTCCTACTAGGCGGACTAGGTATCACCTCTTGTAGGCGGGTCAAATGTCACCTGTAGTAAGGAGACCTAGTATTTTCTCTTTACATCGAGTTTGGTTTCTTGATTATTGAGGATAGTATTCCAAGACTTTTTATTCTGCTTCTATCAGTATTATCTTATTATCTATCAGAATAGCGCTAACAATTGTTTTTCCAGACTTTCTATCTTGAATACCGTATAACAATAGGCCGCTATGGATGATCCAATGTGCCCCTCCAAAGACTCGTCGGTCCTATCAAAAACAGCGGTATATTTCCTCTATTCTCTTTTTTCTCTATCCTCTCCCCCTATTTCCCTCTCTATAAAAGCTAACCCTCTTTCTTCGCAGAATTGGATATCCAAACCTGCGTCGTCGGATTTTCTTCCGAAGAACTGCATTACAGATTTACCAGTCGTTATCAGGTGGACAAGTAATGGTTCAGCTCACTTTATCGGTGCAGACCATCACCAACTCCGAATGAATATACAACTTGGTACAGACGAAAACCCGAATTGCTCTTTTGGTTCAGCATATCAGTTTCAGTTAGCGCGCACCCTGAATCCTCTCATATACGTAAAAAGTCTCTCTACTTCGTTGTTAAAGGCAGTTTGATTGATCGGGATACGGATAATAAGTGTCTCTCCTTAGACTATTCGCAGTCTAAGTATTGTTTCGACACTTACGCTAGTATACGAAATGCTGGTATAATGGCCGATGAGAGCTCTCTTTGCTGTACATTGTTTACGCTCCGCGATCATGGCACAGTATTCATGCCCCCATGTCAAAATTGTTCCTTCACTCCTAGTTGCAGAAACTTCAAATACATTAATCATGTTCACACATAATACGATTACTCAGGATTAGTATACGATTTAGGTAGTCTAAAGATCAGATCCGAACAAGTACTATGTACCAATAGTTATCGATAATGTAAGATCATTGAAGGGATAAATATGACTTCTTTTTGCCTAGCCATTACGGCTAGGCCATTCATTCGTTTATACATAGAGTAGCTATCCCCATCTACAGGTGCTCTTCACCAGTAGATTCTAGGTTAAATACAATTGCTGGTCTATAAACACCCTTTTGGTCACAACTTCCAAAAAACCCGTTTTCCATTTTCTCGTCTTAGTATTGAAACTCAGTTAGTAGGATGGTGGTTAAATGAAAGATCCTGTGGTTTAACCACTGCACTTTTATCGTAAATATCAGATGATTGGGGTGGGTATGATGATTGGGGTGGGTATGATGATTGGGGTGGGTATGATGATTGGGGTGGGTATGATGATTGGGGTGGATATGATGATATTTGGTGACCATGATATTGAGGATTGCTCGAAGATGACGATGCAAGTGTTGTGGCTGTAGATGATGGCAGTATATCCTGATACGAGGTCGAAGGTAAATGAAACGAAGGATTTACTGCTAATGAATTATTGTAAGGATTTTGGTAAGGAGTAGTATATGATTGTGATGGTATTGGATACCCATATCCTATTTCTGCTTCAGAGAAAGTTCTTTTGCGATTTGGATGGTACATTTGTGTAAATCTCTCGCTATTGAGATATGTCATCGCAGGATTGAGATTCTCGGGACAATATGGAGCCGCTCGTGTAATTGATTCGTAATTACCTGAACTGTCACGTGGCCAAGCAGCAAAATGAGCATCACCACGTTCAGGAAGAAAAGAATCTATCGATGTTAATGATTTTTATTGAAACCCCTATCTAAGAATTTTACTTACTTGATTGAAAAGGAATACTTGTCGAAGATAGATTCTTTGAGGGAGTCTTTATTCCATCGGTAGCCTTTAACGTCTGGAGATAATTCGTCAAGGTATCGTTGGTAATATTTGAATTAAAGCTCTCTCGTTGCTGTATTGGAGCGCGAAACTCATCCACTAATCTTTGGCCAGATAGATTCACACTTTCCAAAGTTAATTTGGTTGAACAGAACTCCGTGTCTTCTTTAAGCTTGAGTCCGTTGGGTCTCCAGGATACTACAACGTTGATATCAATATCAACTTCGATACTTAAACGAAGCCAGAGTCGACGCAACCTTTTTCCAGCAACTTTTTTAAGTGCACCAATATCGATATTCGTTATTGTTGATTCTAGATGAAGAGCACCTATAGTCCTACACTCGGATGCAAAATTCCAGAGACAGGTTTTAGAAGTGTAAGTTTCGGCATCTTTATTTGGAATGCATATATCGATAGGAAGTAGGTCCAAATTTTTGGCATTTATATCAATATCAAAGTAGATATCAACAGTCTGAATGCCATCTGGAACAAGGATTCCCTAGAAAGTCATTAATCAATAATCCTACTCAATCTTCCATAGATATGATTACCTCAGTCATGATCCTTTCAGCACAATTATACAATTTGGGTAATTTTGCATCCTCAGCAGGCACTTTGATATGGCGGTTAAGCTCTGTACGATGATGTTTGATCACTCGAGTCAGAGTCATGCGAGCATATCGACCTCTGACTAGTTGAGGATGATTGATCCAGTAATGCAGACCGTGAACTACCGCGTTCCTACAAGTGTTTCCAGATTAGCTTCTTTCAATCCGAAATTCCCCTTGCGTTGAATTGGTACTTACAATGACTGTCCCACCAAATGAATTACTTTTTGATCATCGTCGATGATATTCTTTCCTTTAAGCATAGCGCACAAGGTATTTACCATACCAGGCACCTCGGAATTCCCTCCCGAGATTACGACAAGGTCCAAAGGTCTAATTATTTGAGCAAGATGCTCGCCGATGCGTCGGCAAGTTTCATCAATCGGTGGTTCCATAATACAAGTCATATCCTCCCTTGTTATTGAGTTAGCAGCTGAAGATCACATTAAAGAAAGCTGACGATAAACTCACTTTGTTAATACAAATTGATCTTTGCCATACGGTACACTGAATGGATATACTTCATCCTCAAAATCTGTTGTCCATTGTGGCTTTGATTGTAGATGGAAATGATTCACAAACGGGTTAAAGAAGGCCTGCTCTTTATCTGGAGTCATATTGATTTCGAGTTTGGCACGCAAGAGATTAATGAATCGTTCATCAAATGAATCCCCTCCAATCGCAAAGCCTATAGTATCATCATCAGCATTAAATATATGGTTTTGGTTCTTATAATATACCTAAAGGGGCACTCAATTCGTTGATCGCAGGTGGTCCTCCATCATATTTGAAACAGATCTCGGAGGTGGTTATATCCTATTTTCTCAAAGGTTAGTCAATCCACTTCTACTTGAACCAGATCACTCACAGTTGTACCAGCTCCAAGATCAAAAATCCCAACTGCGATGGTATAGTTCTGCTTTTTCTTAAAGACACTCTCTTTAGCACCGCTGATGATATCCTTGATTGTTGGCAGATTTGCATAAGCAACACAATCGCTTTCACCATGGATATATATATTGTCAAGACAACCTGCTCTTTGAATCAATGCTCGAAAGTTCTGCACTTCCTCAATCTTGTAATACTGAGGCACTGAGAATACCCAGCCTTTTGTAGGCTGCTGTCCACCGCATTCCTTGATCGCATGCTCGATGGCGAACCTCAAGAAGTCTTCTGGGATCTGTTGTACAGATCTCAGGTTGAGGTCATTCGCTGCTCCAACTAGAGCAGCATAGGCATAACCATAGCTTTCGGGATCTGGTAGAAGAGCAATCTTCACTCCAGATACAAGTTTTTGACGACGGTTTGGTTTAACGTAACCAAATGCCACGGGTTTGGCCGGTTCACCGCCATTGGGTTCGTATATAATGTTTGTTGGCGCTTGAGAAACAAGAGATGGGGTACCTGCTTGCGCTCCAGGATAGTTTCCGATTTCTCTGCAATCTTCGCCGCCTTCGATACTATAGGCCATGCGAAGACTTCCAGTTCCTAAATCGATATAGAAGTGCTTTACTGGGCCTCTAGTTTGTTTTGGGCGACGTGTGCTAGAGTTGGTAGTCATTTTAAAATATTGATGTATGAAATTGACAGTGTATTGAAGAATGAAGTAGATATTAGAAGGGAGATGCTATTTGATGTATATATCGAAATTGAATAGATCGAATTACATCTTAAGGCATCTTTGGGCATACACTATTCAGATCCCTGTATATTTAAGATGTAAATCCACAATGCTATACAAGAATATTTATTTTGTGGAAAGTATCGATTACTATTTTGAATTTACATTTTCTGAAAAATTTCACCCATCCAATCTTCACATATCTTATTACGATACTCACAGTTTGATTGAGATGAAGATTGGATAAATATTAAAATCGATTGAAGTTAAAGAGAGAAAACCAAATATGATAGGGAACAATTAATATTTGTATATGATGGGTGAATTCTTTCATAACAGTATTTGAAGTACTGGATACACGATGCGATTATTGGAATCTGTATAATGCTGAAGTATCAATATATTAATTGAAGCTAATAAACCTGTACTATACATCCTGAAGCTTCTATCACCAAAAACGTATTTTTGGTATCAATGCCCTGTCCAGCAATTGATTAAACTATCAAATCCCTTTCGAATATCCTCCCAGAGATACTTGATTAATACCCAGCGATATTGTCTCCACCTTCCAATATACAACCTTCCTGACCATTTCCTTTCCAAAACAGACTCATGAACTCGCATTGCAGGAGAACCTCCACTCATCAAAAATACTTTTCCCGATCGGAACTGAAATAGATCTGGGGCTTCGGCCTCGATTTGAAATATGCTAGACATAGACTTGCGCAACCAACAATGCCATAACCAAGTAAATATTCTTCGATAGTGACTATCATATTCGATAAGAAGTATAGTTCCAGCTAAAGTAGTTTCCAGGCTTTCCAAAACAACCACAGTAACTTGACAACCCCCTGATATTCTGAAGTAACCAGGTGATGTTTCCAACAAAATGCTAAACCCATACTGAGGATTGGATCAGTTATTTTTGTATAGATAAGAGGGGCTTTCAATTACATACAGTCACTCTCTCATTGACATTACTAATCGTAATAGTACCATCACAGCTTCTACTGGTATTGGAACGTGTGTAGCTATCCTTTCCCACAGATGGCGCAGGAGGCATTGGGATTGGGAAGATAGGGAGTTCATGTGAGGTGGGTAGATATGAGGCCCTAGATGATTCTAGTGTGGGGGTAGGATGATACATCATGTGTGTATTGGGATAGTAGGGAAGCAGCTGTAGTCAAGACAGAGTAATGAGAGATATGAGGAGAGTGTGGTGAATGTGGTGAAGGATGAAGTGAGGCGGATTAAATTATAGTAACATGAGATGAGAGAAGCAGAAACTGGTTGCCTCGTTGCACAAGCTTCTTCATATACATCACAATAGAGTCTTTAACGTATTGAAAAAAATCATTCGTCGTTTTTTGAGACTTCACAGTAGATCATTGAATATGTCCTCATAATAAAGGATAGTCAGGATGTCCCATTCACTGATTGCATCCTAGAAATTTTCCCAGGGTCGGCATTAAAAGCAGCTACATCTGCATAATAATGAAGATGTAGGGCAATCCAGCGGTTCGAGCAAGAGGTGCAATATTAACCTGCACCAGGGGTATTAGTATCGTATCCACCTGATAAGGGATTAGTTTCTTTAAACTAAATTATACCCTTATCAACCTAGCGATTTTTAAAGGCGATGGCACAACCTGCAGAAAGACGCTAGAGCAGGTGGCTAAAAGAGGATCGAATTTTAATAAAAAGTCTTAGTATCGGCACAGAAGTTTGCGCCATGACGCATATATACTCGCTTGAAAAGACACTAAACTAAATTTTGACTGAGCTTGGTGACAGTCACATATTTCAACGATAATTGAGACTAGTAAGCATTTCAACGATAAATGAGACTAGTAAGCATTTCCACTATCTTTTCCTTTAACCTTCTCCTTTCGTCTATCCACCCCTTTTAACACTTCATTTTATCTTCAACATTGACAATGGGCCTTGGAGCGAGTCGTGAGCTAGAAGCTCAGTTGCACACTGTCAACAGCGCAAGCAACCCTTTCCTTATATTTGAGGATCCTAAAGTGAGCCTAACATCGACCAATTTTCCAAGTTGCATTGCTAAAAAGAAATCCAGACACTGGAAACGCTTATAACAATCTGGAAACAGGTCCCATATAAGTATAGGTCCAAGCTTACACAAACTCGATCAAAAAGGGTGGACAGATTTTCAAAATCACGATCAAACACTACTATCACACTTCACCCATCCATCAGAGAGGAATTTCAGCTTTGGAAAGCTGATCCATCAACAATAATTCGGCACACCATTGCGATTCAGGGTCATTGCTTGCCAAGCCATCCTGTATCTAGCACCTATTGTTTACTTCTCGGACTCGAGAAAGGAATTATTATCCATCGTATACTGCACAGATTTCTCTGCATCAAACTTCACAAGCTAAAGGCGGCCTTCAATTCCAAATCCCTTCGCGGCAACACACGAGCTGAATTTCTAGCACTCGTCCTGAACTCCGGCTTAACTGAGAATCAGAAGCTAGATGTTCAAGATAACATCGATCGTTGGACGAGGGCAGGGAAAAGATATCTAGCAATTGCAGATGAATTGGATGGAATTGGTTCGCTATTGCTTTTACCAGATGATATCTCGGTATCAGTGTAAGTCGTGGATTCTTTTCAACTAGACTCTGCTAAAATAGGTAGATGGGAGGAGCTTCTCCCCTCCAACGGGACAGAGTTCGATAAAATGATGAAGTGCTTGAAGGATCGAGGGATCTGCAAAGAAGCCGAAAAGATACAAGCCAATGAAGTCGCAGCTAGAATAGAGGAAATGTTGAGGGTTGAATGGACTGTAACTGAATACAGGCCACAAGAATCAATTATTAATCACAATGACGACCTCATGGCCGAAGCATCAGTAAGAATCTCGGAAACCACAGAAGGAGCTACCTCCAATCATGGAGATGGCAGCACGGAAACCGGATCGAGTACTTTTGGCACCAACTGCAATTCGATAAATGCATTGTTGAATCCAGCAGAGCCCACACAGAGCCAGCAGTTGTCGCCAGTCGGAAGTTCATCAATTGCAATTAGCAGTGGAGCGGGGCTTAGGGGTTATGAACAGGATCCCACCGCTGGTGAACATGCTGAATTTAGAAGCAGCAGAGGGGAGAAGAGAGGTTTAGAGCCACAGGCCGAAGCGTGCGACCCGCCTAGCAAACAAAGGCGCATTGATTCATCTCTTTTCCAGCCGACAAATGGAATTATATATGATCAAGGAAGAGCGATTGGGAACTCAACTCCAGCGAATACAAACACCAGTGCGGTATCTCAGGTAGGAGATGTAGGGAGACATACCCTCAACACTCCCATTGAAACTAGGAAGGAACAAAGAGGCAAGTATAAATACATCCATATCTTAGAGTTAATGCTGACAACAATCGTTTTAGAAATCGAGTTTGTATATAGTTATGCCACGAAAGAGAAGTTGGGCCGCAATCTTGAGGAACCATTTCGCAGTTTTACGATGGCTAGATATGGGTTAAATTCGAATGATAATCGACAAGATATTGTGGCAATGTTCCCTCGAGATTGGGAGCAAGATGTTACATTCTCCATTACTGTTGATCGCCAGGCTGGGCACGAAATGCTTCAAATGTTTGATTTGCAATGTCAACCACAATTTCAATCTCTTCGAGGACCTGTTCAACAATATTCGAATATGCCAATGGAAAACCTACCTCTCTTAGGAGTCTCCTTTTATCAAGCTATAATTCGCACTAAGAAATACAAGTCGGCGTTGGGACTTCGTTGTGCTTGTGTTTATGCATTCACATCTAGTACAAATGATAACGATATCACATTCTCTATCATGGTTGATCGGGGTTCGGGAATCAAATTGATACATATGTTTGGAATGCAGCCGATGGAAGTGGGCTTGTAATTATTTCCTCAAATCGTATCAGATAATCTAGCAAAAGATCCAGTACCACTACCATGAAGTTCACATGTATAGCCCTTCGGAATGATAAAATCTTCTCTATCATTGACATCGAGCTTATCCACAGGTGTGTGCTTTGTTGTTTCATTATAGATCAAAATCAATTTGCCCTTGAACTCAATCTTCCTATCATGGTCGCTTGCTTCGATGAACCAGGCTGGAAAATCCTTTTGTTCTTCAGACGCAGACATGATGTAAATGAATACTCGTCGAAACTATAAATATGTTAAATAAAATCCTTTAAATATAACGATAAAGAGAATTACCCAAAGGTACGTAGTATATGCGATAACTTGTTGTAGAAGTGCAAGGTAATCGATTGAGTGATGGTTATATAGGAGAATAATATTGCGAATAGAAGACGTCGCAGATAAAATGATTTTGTAGATAAGAAGATATCGTAGGTGAAAAGCAGGATGTTGTATGCGAATGAACGGAAAGGTCGAACAGGAATTCTATAATGAAACTATTAGGCTATATATCGGATAACATCGCAGAATGGCAAGATATCTTACCTGATGGACTCTATGACCGAAGGGGATTTATCGAAAGCTCTGAATGTTGTAGTTTTCGCAGTTTTCGTGGTGATGCGAGACAGCCTTATTATATCGCATAGATTATTACAATGTTGCCCAATGAGATAGGTATTTAGGCATCAATAGTCGCTATGTGTATCTCTGGTTTGTTGCTTACTATTATCCAATATTCTTTTCAAAGTTTGCAATTTGACCAGTTGATTAAAATGTGATGATGAAAGTGAAAAAAGTCTGTTATCGACCCAGCTATCAAAATGCTCGTGGAAGGACCAAAGGACTCACGTCTAAGCCTGAGTTCTTAGGTATATCAGACTCCAGGGTGGCTAGGACTTTGGGTAAGATCTGCTCAGCAGCCCGATAGTGCGTGAGAAGATCTTATGTTGGGTATACACTTTGCAAATTTACATCTTTTCTGTAATGGAATTCTGATTCATCTGTTACTGCCTACAGACAAAAAACAATCGGGGCCTGAAAACCCACACCTGACCTCAACATACGGCACATTAAAATCTCAGCCACTTCTGCCGTCAAGCCACACAAAGCACGATTAGAACCAAAGAAAGACGATTGTGATCGACAACTTCATGAGTACCAAATCCCACGCCAGATTATATTCAGCCAGTTTATCAATCCTAGAAGATTCTCATCTGTGCTACCATATACTATCCGGTAATGACGCAGTGATACAGTGAGCAGCAGAATGAAGGTGACATCAACTTTGCTTGATGTCCCTACTTGGCCTTGCCCAGGACAAGGGTAAATTATGACTTGCTTGCAGACTGGACCATATCTTGATGCGAGGGGTAGTGAGAAGGACTGTTAGGGTATAATACGGGTAAAATAGAAGGGCATGATGTAGTGCGATGTTAGGATGCTGTTTATTTGAGATATACGAAGTGGTAAAGGTTTCGGTATCATCCATTTTGTCCATAATGTAAAGGTGTAGGAGCGAGATCAAACAAAAGTATAAAACTAGCTGGTCTATCCAACTACCTATAGATCTACTTCAATAATCAACCTCTACTCTGTCTTATCACCATTCACCTGATTTGAATTCCCTTTATCAACTTATATGTATATCCACTCACATGTCCTCATTATTCCCCACAATGTCTAACACAATGAGAATTGGTGATCTCCTTCTGGAAAGCCCTCCTCCAGCTTCCTATGCTCGCCTTGGGTCTGGCCCTTCTCTGAGTAGAAAATCATGGACTGATAATTATCTTCCAATCACCAATCCAAATATCTACGTGCCAACTTTGGATGGAGTCCATTCTTTTCTGGCCTTGGACCAATACACACCAAACAGCAACAGCATATACACTACTGATGCTAGTGATATCGATCGTCTTGATAGATCAGCTTATCGTTTGAATTATCTCGACCGTATAGATATTCAATCGGAAGGTGATGTTGACCGGGATTTTTATCAAAATTTTGCTCTTCCGGTTTCTCTTGCTTGGCAGAAGAATGGCCAATTTCTGCAGAGATCGTTGTCAGGCCCTCCGGGTCCAACACATACAGATAAAACCGTGGATCATCTTTACTCATGGCAAGTGGGAGGGGTTGCAGAAAATGAAAGATGCCAGGTGATAGGAGAGATGAAGCAATACGATGTTATCATTGTCAACGAGTGGACGGGTGCGGCAGAGAAGAAGGATATAACAAAACGATTGGGAAGAGAGATTAGAGGGTAAGCTTCACTTCTTTTAAGAAAAGAAAGTAACACTGCTAACAAAATAAGGTATGCACATTTGTATAAATGTCCACAGGTGTTTGTATATGATGGAAAGCATCTATTGATTGTTCAATTCAGAGCCAAAAATGCCGAAGATATCAAATCAGCAGACTGCACTGTTGATTGTTGCATTTTGGCACGAACACCCCAGATGGCGGAGCAATGTACAGCCCGATATGCGCTTTATCGGCTAGTGTGGCGAGGCTGGATTCGTATGACAGGAGAATGGTCGAAGAATATACATCTTTCACTTGGTGGTTGGGATCGGAAATTTCGCTTTTGGTCGGGCCGACCATATTGGGAGAACCAGCAAACACATACAAAAGAACCGACTCATCCGAATGGTTATCGTCGAGTATTCGGAAGAGTAGCGAAGACGTGGTATTGGGTGGATATAAATGGAAATACTGTACAAGATGTGAATGGAAATGTTATTTGGGACTCCTTTCAGTCATGGCCATAGTTACGACGATCTTAACATCATGTAGCTAGGGAAACAGGGATGGTTTCGATGAATTGATCAAGGGATCGTAGGCTCAATAATTCTATCTGCAATAGGGTAAGGTATTCAGTCACTACTCTTTATTTATTACTTTTCAGCGACCTGTATCATACAATAAGTCCCTTGTATATTCATGCTTTGGAGATTACTTGTGGTATGTAGTACTATGACAAAGGGGAACGGCAGAAAAACAAACGGGAATATACATACAAACTCAAAAAAGGCAAACAAATAAGTGGAAAAGCAGAATTTGTTGTTGATTAACATCTATCCTTTAATCAAATTTACATTCTTCATTCATTACACTCAGTTCTTTACCATGGAAGAAAATTTTTCATACATGCCTTGTAATGTATCCGCATTCCATCATAAACCGTCACCTTCTCTACCTCCATCGTCACCTTCTCTACCTCCATCGTCACCTTCTCTACCTCCATCGCCACCCTCACCATCAGCTCCATCAGACGATATGATTGCAGCTGACCTTGATGAAATCCGAGGACCATTAGTAAGATTGGGTTTTCCCTCCACAATACATTTTGAGCAAGTTTTAATATTTTCAGGAATTCCGTATGGGCCATAGACTAGTGGTTGCAACTAGCGCTGAACGAATTGATCCTTGGCGACCTGTTTACCGTTTGAAGGTTGGAAAGTCGTCAATTCTTGATTACATCCCAATTCTGTTCATTCGATCGATATTTGAGAGGCTTTTCAATTCCTATCCATATCTCAAAACTTTTTGTCCTGGATGGTTTCTACCGCCAACTGTTATCCTTAAAAAATGCAAACCTGATTGGGAGAAAGAATTTGAGAATGAAAAACTGATGTATCACCGACTCAAATCTCTTCAAGGAAGGTTCCTACCTTATTATTATGGGGAAGCAACATACGATGGTTCACCTGCTTTGGTCTTATCAGAAGTTATTGGTCAAACACTAGCTCATCTTACTATAAAACCCGGGGAGGACGAGGTGTATGAAAGAAAACTAGAAGAGGTTTATAAAGCCTTGACTGTATATGGAGTGATTCATGGAGATACAAAACTGGATAATGCTATGGACGTTGGAGATCGAATAGTGCTTATCGACTTGGAGCAAGCTACGATTGACGAGACAGAGTGGGAGAAAAGTACTAACAAAGGAAATGCGGGTAGTCTATTACGTGATCTTCAATATAATCGCCAGTGGGAAGATGAGGCAAGGAAAAAGGAAGAGAGGAGATTGAAAGAAAAGGCAGAGGCAAAGGCAGAAAGAAGAAGGTATAGTAGGAAAATCCTAATTTATCACTTATCTAATGTATTGTTAGGCTTTGGGAGCTGAGACATTCAAATCAACGTGGAGAGGAATAAAATGGGCTTGGATTGGGATAGGAAGAGAGGATTTGAATACTTTCTTTGTTGGCTGAGTAGGCAAGCCTGGGTAGTTGAGCACCAAGTTGAGTAGAGATTGCAATAAAAGGAATGGTCAAGCAGGAAGAATAGGTTGTGGTAGAGGTTGACATCGTACTCATTCATGTTATACAATTTAAAAGTTCCCCCTCAATTAGAAATTCCATTAAAAAGTTGCTTTTATGTTGTGATCACTTTTTGAGTTTTGTAGAATACTGTACCTGAATCGCTGCTTGCGTCCTGTGCGGGAGGGCGTCATGAATTTCCTCCCAAGAACAACCGTCCTTTTTCATCCTTACTATCGTCTCATGCTCATCTGCCTCCCACCGAACGCGCTTCCCTTTAGGTCCTGCTGAACGTACTTCAGAATGTAGAATACTGCAAGAGCTTTGGGTCTGCGCAAATGTATCAGCACCTAATGCTTCTGCAATAACAGGCAGATGCAGATGCTCCGGTACATGTTGCAACTGAAATTCGAGAGTGTATGTGGTATCGTTCCCAATTATGGTACGTTTTAGAAAACCTTGAAACGGCCATTCTCGATACTCGGTAGTGATTGCCGGCTCTGCACATATGGGGCTCACAGGGGATGATAGTGAATAGCAGTGATTACTATCGCTAATCGCTGGTGAATGCCCACCAAAGTTCGATGTGGAGGAGTCGATCATGGTAGATGGAGCAGTGGAGGATGAACTGGTGATGTGACGCGGCAAGAGACGACCTTCTCCACCATTACGTCGGGATGAGGTTTGCTCGTTGTTGATAGGAAGTGAGCGAGTTCTTCGTTGTTTTGCAGGTCGCGCATCGTCATTGCTCTCGCCATCCCTCTCATTACCAGTTTCGGAAAGATGTCGCCGCTTTCTACCTCCCTGCTGCCCATTATTCCCCCCCTCCTTTATCGATCCTACAGCTATGTCCCTGTGCTGCTGAAGGAAGTATGGTGAAGATCCATGCTCAAGCTCTTCAGGGTCACTGTAGCTGGAATCGCTCTGATCTTGATCGCAAATAGTCAAAGGATGCGATGGCTCGATTGAGTAGTCCACAGAAGGAGAATGGGAGCCACCCGTTGAGAAATTCTCTTGCTCATCTGAATTTGATTTATTGTCTTCCAGCATTAGAGTATCTATATATAGTCAGGAGATTGCTTTATTATCGTAATCAAGAGTATCCATACCTTGAGTGTCATAACCCTTTTGTAATCCTTCTATCAAGGTCTCCTGGTACAAACGAGGATCAAGGACTGTCTCAATTGATGAAGAATCGCCATCATATATTCTTGGCGAAGCTATCTTATCCTCCCAAATTTTGTTTTCCAAACTTGAATCCTCTCCTGTATTCATTTGTGATATGCTACATGATGTAGGGAGATCGATATTGTAGTCATTATCGACAAAGTTTTCTGTATTATTATTCTCTGTATAGAAAAACATTAACCATTATTAGTAGGGAAAAAGAATATCTTAGGATCTTATTTTGGGCATGCATACCTTGAAGTTCTGAGCTTGAAACATTACCATCATTTGATCTTTGAGTATCGCCAAATAATCTTCGATCTGGTACAATATGCTGCTCCTCGGCGGGAGAGCTATGCTTCTGAGTGGTTGCCCTCCTGGAACGCAGAGCAGTGGGCACATAGGTATAATAAATGGGTTCAAAAGAAGTCATTTTGAGAATATAAAAGTGATTGATAATATTTTGGAAGCTCTCTGCTCTCTCTAGAGAATACAAGTAAATCGAACTGCTCTGATGAGAAATAAAGAAAAAGGAAGCAGGAATGAGGGAAACAGAGAGTTTAAATGCGTTTCTCCTACAAGCAGGGTACCCGCTAGAACGTACTCTCTACAACTTCCCGCGAGCGCTCCTTATCTCATACACTCGCTCATCCAGCCAGCGACTCTTAGCTCTCCTGCGTGCGGGTTATAACCGGCGGATAGCCCCATTGCAGAAATGACTATAGCTCCAAGCGAACCATATTCCAGCAGAAGGATCAAGTATATCGCGCCCCTAATCTACTTCTATTTCCCGCCATGCCTCTTGTGATCGCCAATATACAGTTCAAATGCTTGCAGCTTCTGGCCGTCCGTTTGAAGTCCACAATAGACTGCAGGGTCTATGATAGCGATCAGTCTATCTCATCATAAATCAGCCCAAGCCAAGGCATACACCACATATCACTCGTCTTGTAATGCGGAAAGCTTGCCCAAATTCTTTTGCTTTACGCTGAAGGGATTCGCAACACGGCCGAGCAACCAAGCAGGTACATCATTATTGTGAGGCATTTCTGCGATTGGGCAATGCGTAGTGAGGGGCCAGGAAAGACCGAGACAAGCCCCCTTATCACCAGCGCTATCGAGAGTATGGTCGAGGGGGATGCAATGGGTAAGAAGGTAAATTGGACTTTGTCGTGGGCCTCGGCGTGTACTTTGGCTCGTGCCATTAAAATTGTTTGCTTGATTGCCATTCCGAGAAATCAATATTTGTCGAATTCGCAATAGTAGCTTGATTCTGATAGCTAGAAGAGCTGCCCTCTACAAGCTTCCGCGCACTCTCAACATACAAACACCTCGGTCCCCACACAGACCCCTTCGCGCAAGACGCATCCCTAAAGTCGCTGGGCTAACGTCATTAACCTTGCATTCTCAGTGTAGAATGCGCCCATCTTGTAGATTCCCATTCCGTATGTTCACAATTGAGCAATCTCGGCGTTATTTCGCGATCTTCGGTGGCAGAGTGCATATTTCCAATGTCCCCTTCTGATCTGTCCAGTATGTAAATAGAACCTTCCCTTTGTAGAAACGAGACTGTGCAGCTCCAGATGATCGTGTATCCACTCTGACGCCAATACAATATCCTGTCAGTAGCAGGATATTGAGCTAACGATCCTTCCTAGCTCAATATGAGGTCCATCCTTCTGACATGACCACAGCCCCGAATAGAGATTGTTCCGAGGTCATACGACCTGTCCCCTTGTAGATACCCATGGAGCGACCCAGGCCTCGAACCGCCAGCGTTTCGTCGTCGATACTCAGGAGATTGCAGTGTATGGTAAATATGGGCTACTCTCATTACAAATCAGCCCCAGTCCAAGACAGACTACACACATCATCATTTCGCCGTGCAGAAACTTACCATGATCCTTCCCTCAGCACATAAGCTATCCATGGCGCAGTGAGACAGCAGGAGCACCCCATGCTATAATGAGGCATTTCTTTGATTGGCCAAATTGCAGTGAAAGCAACCAGACCCCAGGGTAAGAGTACTGCAGTTGGGCTTACTGAAGTGATTGTTGTAGTGATCGCAACAATGCGCCGGTGAGAATGGAAAGCCGAACTACCGTCTCCTTCGTAAATCGGCCAGTAGAATGCGAGTCAGTTGATTGATCGTCATCATAACAGCCAAAGGGCATCGAGTTCAAGGTAGTAAATTGAGGTTTGTAATTTGATGGGTAATGCCATCGACGTTTTTCAGCTGCGGCAAGACCGATGTAAGTGGAGATTCGAAGTGGGGCGGTATGGGAAGGGACTTACAACGCAAGTCAAGTCTGAATGACCGAACAAGGAGGTGTTGGAGGAGAACTAAAGAGACAGAAGATCGAAGAGAGGGGAGTGCGATTCTTATAGATGTTGAAAGCGGCGTCTGGCTCGTGCACGCACGTTGCCTAATGCGGCGGCCGCTAAACTCGGGGGGGCAAGCACCACGACTGAGATTATGAAATTAATTTTTTTACTATTGAGAACTCTTATATTAGGTATGTTGTAGAAGTTGTGTATGATATAGATCACTAGTGGATAGAGTACGCAGACTACGCACAACGCAAGCAACGAAACAATGAAAAAAAAGCCACTCGAACAAATGAACAGGTATTAAAATATTTCTATTGAGATATATATATACAAAGTATACACAGTAGGTCCCAGTCCTCATCCTCATCCTCATACTCATCCTTATCCTTATCCTCATCCTCATCCTCATCCTCATATATCCCCTCTTCATTCGGACATTCAAAATCATAGAATCCCATCCATCCCATCCATTCCATCCATCCCATCCCATCCCTAATCTATCCTCTCATCCAATCATACATCTATCTTCACATTAACCACTTCCACCACACTTTAATAATAATCAATCAAAGCCTAAATCACCTATCCTTAACCCTCTCCACCTGCCCCTTAACCCAACTCCTCGCATCCCTCCACCTCCCTTCCCTCCTTTCCTCTCCACCCATCTCCTCATAAGCTCTCGTCCCCCTCTTTTCCCTCGCCGTAAAAGGATTCGACCATCTTCCTGTCCTCGGCTGTTCAGTAATTTCACCACTATCTGCCCCCTCCATTTCCCGTTGCCTTTCTAATATATCCGTTTCACTAGTGACACTTGGTTCCCTTCTCCCACTCAATATTGCATTTTTATTCCGGAGATAATCTCTCGTCAAATCTCCAGGAGAAGTTGGATTTGTATCACCGCGATATCTGTCGAAATCCAAATTTGGTAAATTGATTGGTTGAAACCCCGGAACCACATTTACATTCCCAATTTCAGGTTCCGGATCGGCGAAGGGATCGTGACCGTATTTCGATGTCTCATAATAAGAATTTATGTCGCTATCATATTCATTTCGACTGGGAGGCGATCGAGTTTGAGGACGGATGCTTAAACCTTGAACTGGTTCATTTTCGTTCAATTCGAGTGAATGAATAGATAGTCCATCTCCCCATCCTGAACTTACAGTTGAGCGTGCCCTTACAGTTTCCATTTCCGCTCGATCCAGTGTTGCTTCGTTTCCGACTTCTGATGTGGAAACTGATGGATTCCTTTTCATCTCCGGCCGAGGCGCTTCGGTATCTCCTCCACTACCTCCGTTTTCGCTCTTCCTGATACCCATTCCTGTAACAAAGGCTTCTAACCCCGTATTTGGTTTCTCGCCCCTTTCCTCCAATTCCTCATTTCTCCTACTTTGCTTCCTTAATGTCCTCCTAACAAGAAATGCTACAACACCCAACGCAATTAAACTGACAATGACTGTAACACTTACAGTCACCGCCAGAGTGGAAGATGTATGTTCATGTTTCGTGAACGTGCCTTGGGTATCTGAGAGCGGGGAAAATGTAGAGTTATTTTCACTAAGAGTAGTAGCATTCATAGTACTAGTAGCTGTGCTCGTTATAGTTGTGTTCGGGCTTAATTTTGAAGTTGATGTTGGAGAAGAGGTTAGGGCGTCCATGGTTGGGGTTGATATGGAGGATGTACTGCTAGGAAAACAAGTTGAACTTGATATGGAAGACATCAATGTAGACCTATCAGAGGCGTCTTGAAAGGTTTGTGTAGGAATAGATGACGTGGCGGTAATTGCACTTGTTGTTATAATAGTCATTGGTGTTACTGTTGATAATTCTGGGGTCTATAATACTTCATAAGTTAATGTTGAGATGAGAAGTAATCAAGAACTTACAGTAGATGTTGAGTCGCAACAACCTGTAGATTCTGGTTTTGTTATAGGTTTATCTATAGCACTAGATGCATCCGGTGTATACGGAGTATATGAAGAAGAAGGTTCATCATCACCTCCGTCAACATTTCTTTTGTTTGCCCAAACTAACTCAAAATCCTTTTCATATACACCGGCATCCACCAAGTCCATCACCAAGCCTCTTGAATTGTGATTGACCATCTTGTAGATAGATACAATCCTAATATATTTGAATTCGACTATAGCGTAAAGAAAGTTTATATTCAACTCTAGAAAATATTGTCTAGATTCAATAAAGTATTAAAAGCCAAGAATGACGATAAGAAAGCACAAAAGAAAAGGATGAACGAATGATAGAAATAGAATGCCAGCCTGCTGGGGAAAGAATGACAAATTAAATTCACATGTAAGTTTTGACTGGTTTATGAACTGTTAAGGCCAAGGGCTGTTGCCAGACCTTACGTACTTATATTTCGCAAACAAGAATGCGGAACTATCGCATGAAACTTTCCCTCAAAACCACATGGCCCGTGGTTTAGCTTGAAAAACTCCCGTGTCTATCAAATGAAAGACGGAGAAAATTATTCTCGGATAAGGGATGGAGAAGATCAGCACAGTCATCACAACACCCCTCATCGAGTAGTTCTCTGCTGGTTGTTCAAGTTGGCTTGTTGTAGAAAACTTACAACCAGCTCTTTTCAAGGAACTACTTAGATCCGAATACCTGTATCATCCAGATTAAAACACTTTCATTCGGTGTTTGGTGATGAAGAAAGTGGTAGAGGACTGAAGCTTAGAAATGATGGTCAGAGCCCAATGGAGTGAAACGGAAGTACTAGGCAAAGTTTCCTAAGTCCGCTCCGATGTCTGTGCGAACTTTGGATTTTAAAAGAATTTCCTTTGGGCACACGTGCCTTGTAAGGTTATTGATAGAATTAAAGTTTAATTCATGAGGATCTGTGGGTGATACGAGTTTTCCTAATTGTCGCAAACGTGTGCGAACGCAAGGTAAAGCTTGTAATCCAATGGCGGTGATCGTCAACGCTTCGCCCTGTGGTTAGACTAGTGGTACTTCCATGCAATAATTGCATTGAACGTTTGTGAAATCCGTTCATTGTCGAGGATGAACATGGGATGTGCCGGATATAGAATATGCGATAGACTATTGTCGGTTCAATCTTCGGAATATACTAGAATTGCTCACCGTGTTGTGACGAACAACAATATTTCAGAGGCAAGCGAGACGAAAGAGAATGAAGTTGATATAAATGGCCAGATTTGAAGAGACTTTGTCGTCTAAGTCGACCAGAAAACCGAGTGGATAGAAGCCCAATTTTCCCTATCTTCTCTTCGAGAAAGTTTAGACCCCGGTGTCCGATAGATATACATCGACGCCTGTTGCACCTTTAACGCCTTACCCGGTCCAGCTTGTGTTCACACAACCCTCGTTCCGCCCAGAAAGTATAATCACACTGCCTGTCCATTCATTTCTTCTTTCCTTCTACCACTTTCTCATCAACCTCTTTTACCTCTTCCATCTTCTTCTTTCCTCCATTCCATACCTCCCAAATCTGTTCCATAATCAAGTCACCATATCCTTTCCCCGCTTCCAAGGCTTCTTTCTCCTTCTGGTCTCTCTTTTCCTTCCAGTCTTTTCCCTCGCCACCTAACCATATTTTCTCCAAAACACTTTCTTTCCCCTTTCCTTGAACATTCTCTACCGTTGGTTGACCAGCACTTCTCTTCTCCAATGCTTCAAGTACTCCCTCGCCTTTTGCGCCTTCCTGAGATTTAAACATCGTTCCCACAAACTTTCCACTCTCCTCCATCCTTTTCTTTTCCTGCGCTTCCCGTATTCTTCTCTGAGTTTCCTTTGCCTTTTCAGGCAATTCTGTGCCTGAAAAAGAAGTCACTCGGTTTTGTATGCGAGTCATCATTGAGACACCAGTGTATTCGTAGGCTAAGTGATTACCACCGATAAATGTTGTGCTCATGAGAGCGAAGGTATAGACGTCCATTTTGCGGGGTGGTATCACTGTGGAGGGGTTAGTTCAATATTATTAAGAGATGGGATTCGATTGGCGATCATTTGTCTTACAGATAGACACAAGGTCCCATGATAAAATGATGTGACCTAAAGTTGCAATTGAATAAATTGGAGAACTTACTCATAACGAGTGGACAAACGATGAGGGCTGCGAGGGATGCATTGTGTAGAAGAGGAGTAGTTCGTGGATTTGCAGGATCAGGTTGAGTGAACTGAGAAGGTTGGGTCGTAGACATTGTTACGGAAGAGACACTATCTGAGTAGAATCTCGTGGTAACTTAGGTGAGGTGTTGTGTTATGAAGATTGCGAAATAATCTTACAATATTAATTTTGAAAGAACCTGAGGGGCGGAAATAATGACGCTGTAGATAATTTTTTGAGACCCCGGAGTTTGTTTATTCCGACAAGTCAATGAAAGCCGGTTATTTCTGCCATAAGCTTGACATGAACTTGCTATGAAATTTGCTTCAATTTTTATCACAATAATATTCATTCTAGATTTTATTGAATCAATTTAAATATAGCAGAAAGGGTAAAGAGAGCTAAGGGACTTCATTCCCAATCGTTGTTGAATGGAGTATATATATTAGAACGGCAACTTAAGAATCATTCAAAGACGATCAGGGCACTTTGCCAGAGTGGTTAATGGGTAGCACTCGAATTCCTGTAGCTTACTACAGGATAATAGATATGCTATGTCTTCGGACGCGCAGGTTCAAATCCTGCAGGTGTCGTTTTGTTTTTTTGTGGCTTTCGCACAGTTCACCTGTTTGTTCATTTATTTTCATCACTTCTCCAAATTTCGGAGATTTCTGGAGATGCAAGAGTGATGCATATCTCGGACTCCACCTCAGCTAGACACCCACATTCATTCATTTAAGTTTTCACTCAACTGCTTCATCTCAATACAGGTACCCGTGAACCTGGTCGGTGGTATTCAACATTGGACGGAAGGACTGTTTTTTTCTATTTACCGTGGAACCGGCAAGTCCAAATCATCACTTGCCCTTGTTTCTGCACGACATAATTCTCACAACGCGGCTCATCTATGCTGAGGGTTATGGTTTGAGGCGGGTGAACAGCTAGATTCATCATGATTGGAAAGTCATCCATGACTTTAATGGCCTGTCAAAAGCGGATTTTAGAAGCAGATTGATGGCATTGATGTTTAACACATAGCGGCATTGTCTGCGATGCAACTAAATTTCGCTGCAAATTCTGTAGGAAAAAGCTGCATCATTCTTTATGGTTTCGTTCCTTCCTCCAACTGCGCTTTCTGTCGTCGTATTCTTTATTTCTGCTCTGCCATATTATTGTTTACCCACTTATCACAGCCGCTTTTTCTGTTCGACAAGTTGAGCCACTGTACTCGTAATTACAATTCCTATTTCCAATCGCCCTATCACGACCCCAGTTGATCGCTTGGAGGCGGTCATACCTTCTACTTCGTATATCTCTTGTCCATGCTACAAGAATCATTTTATCAATCTTTTCAATTCAGTTAGAGGCATCCACCTTACACGGTGGGTGTTGATGAACCCCGTCCCCACCAACATTTCCACTATTGCCTTGAAGCTCAGGGCAATTGATATAATCTTAATTCAAAATGACTGGGCTTGGACTTATTGCTATTGTATTTACCTCAATCTTCAGCTCTTAGTTTTCTCTGATGAGCCCATGCGCTGATGGATTTAGCCTCTAGTTTGGCTACAAGTTTTCCAGAATCATCCATTGCATGGTAGCTTTATTGTCTCCCGTTTAGGTGCCGTTCCTTTTATGTCTTTGATTGCCGAAGTAATTGTTTTTACCTCCATACTTCTGAGCTAGAGCTTTGTATGGTAATCTGTATGCATGTCTATTTTGTTTTCCAAATTTTTGCTGTTTATTTCATAGCTGCCGTGTAAAAATTTTGAAGAGTTCGTAATCAAGTGAGCTGCCTTACCAATGCTCATTTACTTTATTACGTTCACCTATTTCATGTCTTTCATATTTCGAATCCAAATACATGACAAAAATACAGGCACAAAAATTCCCGTGTCAGGCGATCAACATCGTTTTCGTCACAAGCATCAGAGACACGCGTACGGTAGTTGACCTTGAATGTCATTTAAAGTTTTACCACTGTATTTGGATGGGATTGATCGATTCTACTGTTACAATCACCTCATTCAATTACATTGACTAATTTTGCTGAAACAGCAACATACAAGTTCAGCGGTTCTTCAAGATTGATAACATAATCTCTGAGACATCTTCAAACTGTGCTATTACATCTTTTACATAAGCATCAATGCCGTATCCAGTTTTGAAATTCCATCATTTATATGCAACCACACCTCAGAAACACTCTATCAACTATTCGTTGCTCGACTTTCTTTTCACCAAAGCAATTCTCCATGATGATTGCACAGGCAACTTCAAATTACTCTACTAGTGTACTATGTCCTTCTCATTCCCTCCACTCCAAGTGGTATATATACCTTGGCAAATCGTAGCGTTCATATCAATTACCTTCTTACCTACCCATTTTAAATACCCCTCATTTTAATCAAAATGAAGCAGAGTGCAGATAATTCAATGTGTAAAGCTTTTTCTTTCCTTTCCTGTCTTTCATGAAACTACTTCCTTGTAGACCTTTATAAGAAAAGCTAAGTTCTTGTAGTTTATTCTGGGGTATTTAAAATTTTAAGATCTTACCTCAGAGGTTGTACTCCGTACAGATCCTTCATTATTGACAAACATGTAATCATGGATCCCATTCCATGTACTCACTCCCTAGATGCGGTGGATATTTATACTCTAAAATAGAATGGGAGTGTAATATATAGTGAATTAATATATAAACAAGTATTGTATTATATTCTTGGTTTTAATAAATAATAAATAATAATAATAATAATAATAATAATAATAATAATAGAGTTGAGATAAATAATTGACATTGAGATTATGATTAAAATATAATGTAATAATCATTAATAGGTATTTGGTATGATTTGGTTTCGTTTAGGCCTAGGATATAATCTTATATGAATCAAAGTAGAGTTTGAATGAATAGATAGATAGAGATGAGTTTGACGACTGTGTATTCTTTTGGCTTGTATCTACTTCTTCCTTTCCTCCATGAGGCCTATACCCATTACAATAGGGATAGGTACTCCTCCATAACATGTCATGGGTTATCAGCCCTAACTATCATCTGCTATATTCATTCATCATTCCTCCCTAATCATCATATTTATTTCCCAAATTCCTATCCGTCATGATATACGTAGCCTATCATCTCCTTCCTCCCCACACCTCATCAAACCAAGAAGAATATCACTGCCGCCTAACCTCCCTTCATCAATTTTATCTCCTCGAATCGAGATATGCCTTAGCATCATCCCATGTCTTCTTCTCCGCATCCTTCATTTCTGTATCTGATAAAGTTTTTACCCCCTTATGCAATGCATCAAAGAAACCAAAAGCAACATCAAGATCCTCTACGAAATTAATTGCATGAGGAAGATATGTGGAACTATATGAATTCTTCATTAATTGCCTTTCCTCTTTAGATATGTCGGGTTTGATGCGGTCATCTAAGTAGGTTTTGACGGCTATTCCAAAGGCGACATCTATATCATTATCGAATGGAAGACTGTTTTCGAAATGTCAGTGAGTTGATTAATTGGAAAGCAGAGAGTAGCTAAAAATATGAGAATCAGAAGAAACGAGAAGAAACGTACCTGCGACCTAGACCTTGATATTCTTTGACATTCCGAATAACTTGACCACTCAATAGCATCGATGCAACAATTGCTTCAATAAGATCTCTATCTGCATCCCGAATAGATTTAATGATTGAATGATATGAAAGGAAATTCTTGCTCAAAGGACCAGTATAGCCGATAGGAAAAGGTCTAATCTTAAGAAGACAGGCAGAGCGACTAATAAGAATGCGTTGAGAGGGGATCTTCATCTGGACCTCGCAATGGACCCCCAATTAGTTCAGGATGACGGTCACGAGTGTGAAGATTCTGGAAACGAATGAGCTCGTATGCCATAAATGCTGCTTCCTCGATGAGGTGAATATCCTGGTACTTCTCAGAAATAGGTTGAATGGCTTTTAAAGTAGTGGCTAATGCCTTTCCCCAATTTGTCAACTCATGCTTGTCATTGACATAGCCTCTGAGATGAAGTAGACGCCATAATGAATTGGATAGAATTTCTGACTTGGAGGAAAGACCAGTCGCCTTTGATTTACCTATAGTTTTGGTAGGAAGATCCTTGTTATCAAGTAATGATATCGCAGCAAAAGAAATCTTTCCTGCTTTCAATGATTTGGTCTCCACTTTCTTTAATTCGGAATCCTTAACACCCCACAAGTCAACTAAGTTGTTAGTTTGTGGTTGTAAGCGTTTATGGTCTAAAGTTGGCTTGTTGTTATCGTCAAACCAGAGGCGTACAGTGATATCTTTATAGAGAAAACCACGATGCATTCGAGGGGCAATTAGGGCTGCAAAAGTTTCTCTGAGTGGTAAAAGAGATTCTGTAACCAACTTTCGATATTCATCTGACACAAACCCATCAAGAGTTGGAAGAACATGGTATTCGAGAGAATTGAAGGTATTCATGAGACGTGGACCGATGACATCCTTTTGTAGATAAGAGTATAACTCTGCGGGCAGCTGTAAACCAAGGTATTCATGATTGTCGCCAGTCAGGTGATCGAAATCTCTGATATGAATGTTTCCGTCTGTGTCTACGGTAACACAATGCTTGATACCCATCTTTGCCTTCCGGTACTTATCGAGCCAATCTCTATCACGGACATTCAAGATATCGCTGAAAGCTGCACAAGTCGCACTAACCGACTTTTCCGAGGTTCGAAGTAGATTGATCGCATCACCAACGTTATAAGGCTGACGACTGATGATAGTTTGGTCTTGGAGTGGTGGAAATGGTGGTAAGAATGATGTTCCGGTCATCAATAGTGCATCGGAGAGCATGTCTGATGTGACATTAAGCTTCTTGAGTAACTCAGATTTGAGAACTCCTCTTAGAGCCTTGTTCTCCCAATCTGTCGAGTTCGGCGGGAATATGACAGCGTCCCAAATTTCGTAGAGAAGTAGTTCTTGAGAACCCATGATTCCATCAATATATTGTACATCGTGACGATCGAGAGCTGCGAGTTGAGCACAAGCACTGAAAGGAGCAGTCATGTACTCTAAGCCTCTCGCAGCAAGCACCTCTTGTAGGATATGATATAGGTCGGTGATTTGGATGGCGCCTATTTTCAGTTAGTAGAAGAAACTACTTGAATATTCAAACACTCACCAGCCTTGCGAAAAGCTGCGACAGCATCTGTAGGGTTGCCGTCGTTGTACAATGCCCATGCTTGTTCTGTTTCGGATATAGCAGACTTCAGACTGCGCATCGTCATTTCTTTCTTGCCAACAATTGATTGACCTTCAAATACAAAAAGTGGTTCCATTTCATGCTCCTTCCATTTGTCCAAATCGTTCTCGATATGTATTTTCAATGCCATGGGATGCCCACCCAAAGCTGCAAGTAAAGGTTCATCGGCGGTGCCTTTCAAAAGATTCGAGAGATAAGCTGTAGCTTCAACACCAATTTTCGCATTTACTAAATCAGAGAGTGGCATAGAACTGTTTGTCGCAGATTAGCCAGCGAATTTCCTTGCGGAGCACTTGATATCTTACACTACTCCAGCCTCAACGTACGGGTCGCCAGTGTTTACTGCATATATCGAATCAGTCTCATGCCGCGAATCAAGATTTAAGTAACCGTATCCATAGCCATCCTCAGAGACTAGTGACGCCGGTGCAAAAGGCAGATCTTGGTCATTCTCGTAGGGATTGGTCACCACCGAGTCAGCGGGGGTAATCACTTCCTGCATATTTGAATCGTTTGGGACCTCCAGCCGGTCATTCATTTTGTTTTTCGAGGGTGGAGTATTTTGCGGATATGGAAGTGAAATTTGGAATTTGAGTTGCGATTATGGTTGTGGTTGTAGTTATGGTTAAAATCGAGAGGGAAATGGAACTTACGAGGCATCTTGAAATTTAAATACTGAAAGTTATTCACTAATTCTTTCCAAGTATGATTCGACTCTTAAGCACTTCCAAAAATGAAAGACACCAAATCGTTGTAATCGTGGCCCGTCTGAACAATATTGGAGGGGTGTTTGCGGGAAGGAACGTTGGACGGTTTGTGAGACCAATGACTTGTAAAGGGCGAGTTGCGGTATAAATTGGGGATATACGCTAGAAATAACTGTGAGAAGGTAATGAAGGGTATATATTGGAGTGAGATGGGTGTTATATTTCAGGAATTGAAGTGAACGTGATAGATGCACAGTAGGTACTCTAGGACTCAGGGTAGTGGAAGGATGGATGTACTTTCAAAATATAATTTGGATTTGAAGTTCAGACCACAGTTCGGGAGCCGTCCAAGCTCCAAGCAGATCGGTTCAAGGATTAGCGTTCGCGCGGCTCCGTTCGGTTTATGGTACACTTTCCAAAAATAACAAAATATAAATTGTTATTTAAAATTATATTATCATTTTATATCTACTCAAACTAGGATTATATGCTTGAATACACCACTTCAATACCTCACGAGTGAAATTATCTCGAAATAATATCTATCCTATTGATTTCTTGTCATATAAAAAGGCTGAATGTCTATTTTGGTGTGACATGACTAAGCGGAGCCGCTAGCCGCCACCATCTTCTGGATTCATCACGTGCAATCTACGATAAGCTCTCCTTATCAGAACTCGTTTTGTAAAATTAAATGAGAACATTCATCCCACCCTAAAGGGAGTTTTAAGAGAAAAGAAAAACCATCCCATTTACAATTGTCCAAGATTCAGGAATCATGTCGTCTACAGATGAGGGGAAAATACCAATTATAGATATCTCAGGCTCCGTACCTGAAGCAGAAGTTGCCAAACAACTTGTGGATGCTGCAGCAACCTTTGGCTTCGTTTACATAAGAAATCTGGGGAAAGATATCCCTGTCGATGCTATTGACAGAACCTTTGAATTGGTATCACTTCCTCGACCTTCTTTATAATCCGTAGCTAAAACATGAATAGTCTCGAAAGTTCTTCTCATCTCCAATAGAAGAGAAACAACCATGTAAAATCACGGATAATGTATGTCATATGATATCATTCTATACCCCGCCATGGATAACAGCTGATGAAGGGATAGAATAGGGGATGGTCTGGAATGCATACAGAGAAACTGGATGAGAAGAATCAAAGAGTTTGTTCCCCCTGAATATTACTATGAGATTTTAAGGCTAACACATTTATAGGTTGGAGACTTCAAAGAGTAGCCTATCTCCCTCCAAATATACCTCCGTGCATGCCATAACTGACTCCTCTCCCCTAGAGCATTCAATTTAGGCGATTTTGTCGATGGAAAAGCCGAACAGCCTCTTCCACCGTCATTATCTTCACACGAGTCAGAGCTTAACGAGTTTCAACTCTACTGCCACAAGCTTTGTCTCAAACTCCTTACCTTATTCGCTATTGGTCTTGAGGTACTTAATTTCCACCTTACGACATTTAACATTGACTGACCATCCATAGATTGACCCTGGGGCTGGTGGTTCCACATGGTTCTCCTCTCGACACCGAGGCGGCCCAACAGGATGCATTCTTCGACTTCTCTACTATCCTTCCTTACCACCAAACTCTGACTACCAACCCGATGTTGATATCCGAGCTGGTGCCCATTCGGACTATGGATCTATTACTCTTTTGTTTCGTACGTTTACGTCCCCTTGGCTTGCATTCTATACCCTGGCTGAACCTAACTTTCCCCTCTTTAGAACGACCTTCACAACCCGGTCTCGAGATCCTCCCTCCGTCTTCTTCATCGGAGCCAAAATGGACTCCAGTCCCCATCCAACCACCCCCAACCGAATCTGACCCCTCTCCCCCAATCCGTAAGTAACCCCGTTCTAATTTACCGCAAATTAAATCCAAACTCTTCTCACGCAATCTCTCTTCCCCATCCTCTTCCATACGCCAACTCCCTTACCAGCCCTTTCTACCACCCCCTCCCCCACCCAACTAACACTGACACCCCTCCCCCCAGTCGTAAACATAGGCGACCTCCTCTCCCACTGGACCAACAACCTCCTCGTCTCCACGATCCACCGAGTTATCTTCCCCAAATCCACTTCCAAAACTACTTCCAAATCTACTCTCCCCCCAGAAACAGCAGATCGCTACAGCATAGCCTATTTCTGCCATCCGGTCGGCACCACCATCTTAGAAAGCGTCCCTAGCAAGCGCGTACGAGAATTCGGAGAAGCAAATGGAGAAATCGAACGGAAAAATGGAGAGAGGATTACAGCCGATGAACATTTGATGGGGAGGTTGAGGGCTACGTATGCGGGGTTGTATGAGAAGGGAGGGAAAGAGTAGAGTGTGGGGATGAAAAATCGAGGGTGAGTGAGTTGTGTACTATTACATTGAAAACTATCTAGAATGTGAAATGGTGTAAGATTATCTGTTGATGGCGGTATTATTTTGTATGCACGCCTCCGTCGCTAATCAGGGTCGTTTTATTCTGAAATGCTCATATAATACAATTGATTGAGTTTCCGCGCCGACGTCAGTATATATTCCACTAGCCGCTGACTCGGCCTTGACAAGGGGCCAATTATGCAGCAAGAATCCTTGATTGCTTAGCAATATTAGCCAACTACAAGTCTTACCGTCTATGCGCCGGTCTTCTCTTCCTTCGTTTCGACCGTCTCGTCTTTCACCTCAGCCTCATTTGTAACCTCTCTGCCCTCGACCTCCTTTTTTATATCCTCGACCGCCTCGGACTTCACTTCAATCTCCACTTTAGGAGTTTCTTCTACAGGTGGCTCGGTAGCCGTTTCTGGAACCGTCTTCACAGCCGTCTCTCCATTCCACTCATCCAAAAATTTCTCAACTTGTGGTCCCCATACACCCTCACCCCTTTCCAGCTCATCATACTCCAAAACATTCTTTCCCAATTCAAATTGCCCTTGTCTGACCCTAACCAAGCTACACATCAATCCAGCTGATCCTAAATCTGCGCCTAAGTCATGGCATAATGATCGAACATAAAAACCAGATGATACTGTCATGCGAATCTTTGCTGCTGGTGGTCCTTTCTTAACGCCTTCTTTGGAGAGAATAGGTTGATCTTCCATGGGGGTTTTATCGGAAGAAAGACCACCTGACATCATCGCATCATCCTTTTCCTCCTCGACCATTTCCTTGGTTTTCTTTACCGGCCTTTCCACAACTAAATCATCCTGATCATCACCCATTTTCCTCTTTCTGCTCTCAAAATCCTCCAATGCTCTCTCATTCTCTACGCCCTTTCCATTAGTTGCCGGTTCAGCTTTCTCCTGCTTCCACAATTTAGCCGCAACATTGACTTCCGCATACCCTGCTTCTTCAGTTGGCGCTTTCCATTGATGTTCGTCACCTTCATAGAACTCTAACAATTCCAGTTCTGAAACATCAACTGATCTCCTCTCGATTTCTTTTGGTATTTCCTTTCCTTCGCGCGCATATTCGTAAAGAGGTTTGCCGTTCATCTTTAGAGCAGAAAATAATGGCGGTAGTTGCATAAACTTTCCTCTGTATTTAGCTAGTCCCTGTTCAACCATTTCTCTGGTGATATGTTCATATGGTGCTCTTTTCAGGAGTTTTCCATCTTTATCATATGTATCGGTCGCGGCACCAAATAATACAATCGTCTCATAAGTCTTTGTACATAAAAGGAAATTCCCCAATTCTTTTGTGCCTTTTCCAATACCAGCAATGAGCACTCCTGTAGCCAATGGATCTAAGGTTCCTCCATGACCAATCTTGACCTGTACTTTCTTATTTGACTTCCTACGTCGTTGTCTTTGATTATGTTGTTCTTTTTCTCGAGCTCTGGTTTCTATTTGGATCCATGGTGCAAATAATTCGGAAGGATTAAAGTGAGTTTGAAGATCGCGAACAATTTGAGCGGAAGAACGACCAGTGGGTTTATTAATGGCTGTGGGATTTGATTAGTTATTGATATCAATTGTACGGATAAAAGATATAATCATACCGAAAACGCCTTCCATAACCTTTCCTTTTGTCATTGTCCACCAGGCGAGTCGGGACATCTGCTGATGTTATGTTATTGATGAGGGGATAGTAGATATTTGTTAATTATGGAGTGGAGTTTATCAGGTTCTCCAGCTTTTTTTTGCGAAAGCTTGAAATTGCTGCGAGCTACTAGGTAAGCATTCTTATCGGCATGTGATTTGAGCTTTGCTTCCGGATAAACGCCGGTAAAACTTTGGTGTTTTCTTAAGATTGGTGACGGAGCGGAGCTTGGAACAATTATTTACCAGCTTCGGAAAATCATTTAACCGACTATCATGATCTTATCGAGAAAATACGACAGAAGCCACAGCGTGAACTTGATCAAGTTTGAATTTGAAGGAAGCAAATCTTATCCAAACATATGCTGAAGAAGGTAATTGTTTCATCTGGATTCAAATCTGCTAGCAATTCACTCCGCCAAACCAAATTAAGTCACGTGTTGCAATATTTCTATACTTTGATAGATACAAAACTATGAGTGAAGCTACGAATAGTTCAGCATCTACAATGTTTAGCGCGCCTGATGGTGTACCAAATCAAAACAACTCTTCAGAAGAAAATGTCGATCATATGGATGTCGATGACAAACCGAGGCTGGTCCTTCAAGATACAATTGTCTATCAAAAAAATGGGACTATTGCCAATGTTTTCGATTCTGTCCTTGGCCTAGAACTGCGTGCTGAGGGTGCACTTTGGGTAGAAAATGCAGAAAAATATAAATGTAAGTTTTTGATATCTGATATTTCCTTCATTGACAACTTCAAATCAACATCTAATCCTTTAATAGTCAAGAGACCAAATGGTACACAATGTCAAATTCAATTCCAAATGTATTCTTACGAGAGAGATGAACTTGGAGCTATCATTCTATACGTGGAAGATTCCACAACTAAATCTTGGATTGAACTAAAACCTTCGCAAAAGTACGTAGCACACTTCACCTCCATGGTAGAAAGTGCTGAACTCAAGCATTTTGTTACCGATTACTACGAGCGTGTACTTGCTGGGGAGTGTAAGGATGACATAGCTGAACTATGCTGGGAAGTAAGTTTAAACAATTCTGCAAGATCAATCTGTACTTCAAATACTGACCTTGAATCATAGTATGCTCGTGAGGATGGTCGTGGATTGTTACAAGACGATGTCATCGAAGTTTTGACTAAGAATGCAAATGCATTCTTCCTCTTATCGGCTTTTCGTGAAGAGAAATGGGTAGACAGAAGCACTAAGGGCATGAAATGGCCTGATACAGAGATTTATAAGCTTCTCAGGAATGAATGTTCTGTATGTACTTCTATTATGTGCTTAACTCCTGCAAAACTAATTCTGGTAGACGGCTTATGACAGAGCGAATACGCACGTTTCGCATGAACCGGGGCCAATGACTGTCGACTCCACTATTATTCTAGACCCTCCTCCTACCATTAGCGACGGGGGCGACCCACAAACCAACCATTTAAACATGCTACTGTCCTTGGTTGCCGAAGAAATCGGAAATGGAACTCCTGTTAGGAAGATTACCTTAGCATCACTATGGAATAGGCTCTATGTAAAGACCAAGATTCCGGACTATGGCATGAGTGCCGGACCCCGCATTGCAAAGTGCATTGTCTACAGGATCGGCGGTCTCCTTGCAGACACGTTGGAAAAACGTCACCCTGATCTATTTCTGGGTTCAAAATTCACCGATGGACTTCGCGACGTGGGTCGTACTCAATATCCACCTCACACTAAGCATGTGCCTACCGACGCCCAATGGCAAGAATATATGGATATTGCTGAGGGACTTTACCTTGTTCGTCGAAATCCTCAGCACGAAGAAAGGGTCGGTGCCAATTCAGTTGGTGGCTCTACAAAATTACAGGTCAAGGATATCTTTACTGGAGAATTGGCACCACCTCGTCCAATTGGCCGCGTCGGAGGCGGACGTGTTGGAAGACCGCCTAAAAATCGAAACCTTGAGCTTGAATTCTGCGAGGAAGAGGAAGAAGATGAGAGCGGCGAGACTTCTTCTGGATTTGATATTGAGGCTCCTTTGACGGTAGAGTCTGCCTGGCAGCGTGTTTGGGAGTTAGGTGGGGAAGAAGAGATCATTAGTGATCGTGTAGTCCCCTCTCGCATTAAACGCTCTGGTTATTGATCTTGGATACTTGAATGTCATTTACAGACTGGCGTTATTTTGAGCGATAAATAGATACCACGGGATGGAGTTTCTTGCATTTGGATGAATAAATGGTTTTCTAGAGTATTGAACTTTTGTACATTTCCTTGCGTTTGTATATCAGGGTGATCATGCTTCTGTGTTGATATTATGTTTTTCTACTGGAATGTATCAATTTCGGACGAGTATTTCTACTTCTTCCAGCGAGCTCGGACATTCGCCATATATCATCTGATAGTTCAGACCATGTCACGAATTTGTACCTTCTTCAAACACCTATCTGCCACAGAACATTATCATCCTACTCGACACAGATACTTCGATAATTTCCCTACTCTCACTCGCCAGCAGGTGATTTTCGATTATTGTTCAACAATCTACATTTACATCGAATTTGAACATGTACCCAAAAATCGGCTGATAGACATAAAACCCTTAGAAAAATTTGGTGTTGGAATGCTCGGCGCGCCTCTTGTTGCATGCTTTTTGTTCAGTCCGGCGTAAGCATTTTGAAATTAATCATCGCCATTCTTTTTGGTATTGACAACTAGATTTTCTGTAGCGATTTTTCTGATACTTACATGTGAGTGTTCATTCAGGTGTAACAAATTCGATTTTTGTCTGACTGTTCCCCTTTTCTGGTAAGCGAGTTTTGTTTCATTCACTATCAATACTAGCTAGCTGTATATCTTATGTTTAACTTTTATATCCCATCCGATTTCGGTATCTTTCGGTCTGTTTTTGAGAATTACTTATATTCTAAATTGTTTGATTGAAATTGGAATTCTCTATTCACCATTGAGTTATTTAACATCGAATTAATTACAGAGTTTTACCGTACGATAGTGACATATTTAGGCCCAAAGTTTTCCCGCAATTTATAAACACCCGTTTTTTCGCACCTGTGGGATTCTCCCCCGTCTTGATCCGGCGGTAGATTGGTGGATACCAAGGCCCGCTAAAGTTGCGTTGTTGAACCGGCTAAATGTTCCTTCGATATACCCCTCATTTATTTGCCCCCGAGCTCCTCCGTAAACGTATATAATCACCCACATTGCATGTTATAATAGAATATATCAAAAAATATAAGGTAGATTTTTTCCGTAAGCTCAGGTGGTCAAAATGCCTACGAGCTCTTGGATCGCGTTTCTATCCCTTTCACAGCTCTCGCTTGTTGTGCATGCCAAAAGTCTTTGGTCGACTCAGCCGGCGGGTTTCGTGGATATTATCAGGACTGCGTATCCGATTGGAAATGGTCAATTAGCTGGTATGTAATTTTAAGAGTGTTATGCTTCTCATATACTAAATAAAATACAGCACTGCCTTTTGGCGAGCCAGGTTCCGAAAAACTTAATCTCAACAGAGATTCATTGTGGAATGGTGGGCCCTTTGAGAATGCAAGCTATAATGGCGGTAATCCAAACTTTTCAGTGGCTTCCACATTGCCAGGTATCAGAGATTGGATCTTTCGAAATGGCACCGGAAATGTTACTACATTGATGGGCTCCGATGATAATTATGGAAGTTATCAGGTTCTGGGCAATTTATCCGTGTCTTTGCAAGGTATATCTGATGCTACTGGTTACAAAAGAAGCCTTGACCTGGGTACTGGAATTCATACGACTACCTTTAACACTGCTAATGTTTCTTTTACTACGTTGGTAACTCTATTCTAAGACCCTGGTATAATACTAACAAGCACCAGCGCCGTCTTTTGTTCTTACCCAGACAGTGTGTGCGTTTACCAAGTCAACTCAACAGCCACACTTCCTAGAATCGATATTTACTTTGACAACTTACAAGCAGACAGCTCTTTAGTCAAATCATCTTGTTCAACATCTTCAAAATCTGCTCTATTCAGTGGTATTACTCAAGCTGATATAGGCATGATTTATAAAGCCGAGGCACGAGTCATTGAATCTGCAAAATCGGTCTCCTGTTCAAATACTACAGGAACTCTCAGCATAATACCATCTAATAATCAACATTCTCTATCCCTGGTAATCTCGGCTGGTACAAATTACGACGCTACTAAAGGCACAGCTGCGCATAATTACTCATTCAAAGGAGAAGATCCAAGCAACTACGTTTCGAAAACCGTCGCAAAAGCCGCTTCAAAAACTTTTAAAACCCTCAGGAAGAATCATCTCGCTGATTTTTCCGCCCTCATAAACACTTTCACACTAAGTCTTCCTGATCCCCTTGGATCAGCAAACAAAGAAACTGCAACTGTCATTTCAGCATATAATACTACAGAAAATAGCCATACCGATCCCTGGCTAGAAAGTCTCCTATTCGATTACAGTCGCTATCTATTCATATCATCATCACGAGATAATTCACTCCCGCCTAATCTCCAGGGGAAATGGGCGTATGGATTATCGAATGCATGGGGCGGAGACTACCACTCCAACATCAATCTCCAAATGAATCATTGGGTAGCTGATCAAACGGGACTTGGAGATTTGCAATCTGCATTGTGGAGCTACATGGCGGAAACATGGGCACCGCGGGGCTCGGAAACAGCGAAATTATTATATAATGCCCCAGGTTGGGTTGTCCATGATGAGATGAATATTTTTGGTCATACGGGTATGAAAACAGGTGATGAGTATTGGGCTGATTATCCAGCTGCTGCGTCATGGTTAATGCAACATGTAGCTGATTATTACGATTATTCTCGCGATGAAACTTGGTTGAAGAATACTGGGTATCCGTTACTCAAAGCTATTTCTGAGTTTTGGCTTAGTCAACTTCAGAAGGATGTGTATTTTAATGATGGGACTTTGGTTGTTAATCCTTGTTCTTCGCCTGAACATGGTCCTGTGAGTTTTTAACAGCTTGATTGATACCGGTCATGGATATAAAGATTTAACTGACACGATGCATAGACAACATTCGGCTGTACACACTACCAACAACTCATCCACGCGGTCTTCACCAGCACACTCCAAGCAGCACGCACACTCAGCACCGACAACACACTTCAAAACACCCTCCAAAGCACCCTCACCACCCTCGACAAAGGCCTCCACATATCCCCGCTAACCCAAATCCAAGAATGGAAAATCTACTTCCCCGCCTACGAAAACACCACTCATCGTCACCTCTCCAATCTCATCGGCTGGTACCCCGGTTCCTCACTCTCCTCCTATCTCTCCGGGTACACCAACTCTACCATTTCCACCGCGGTGCGCAATACGCTTATCGCGCGGGGACCAGGTATTATAGATTCGAACGCTGGGTGGGAAAAAGTATGGCGCGCAGCTTGTTGGGCGCGATTAAATGATACGGAGATGTCGTATGGAGAGTTGAGGTTGGCGGTGGGGAATAATTTTGCAGGGAATGCGTTGAGTATGTATTCGGGGAAGAATGAACCGTTTCAGATTGATGCGAATTTTGGGTTTGGGGGGGCGGTGTTGGGGATGTTGGTTGTGGATTTGCCGGTTGGGGTGGAGGGGGAGGGGGAGGAGCTCGAGGGTATGAGGACGGTGGTTCTTGGACCGGCTATTCCGGGGGAGTGGGCTGGGGGGAAGGTGCAGGGGTTGAGGGTTAGAGGGGGGGGGGTGTTGGATTTTGAGTGGGATGTCGATGGGGTTGTGGTGAGTGCGGCTTGGAAGGTGAAGGGGGTGGAAGCTTTGAGGATTGTTAATGTTAAGGGTGAAGTGCTTTTATAGTCACTTGTTCTTACTTTTCTATTCTGTTCTGTTATCAGGGACAATAATCCTCTACTTCATATATATATATATAGCTTATAAAAAACTTTTTGATATCCAATCTAATTGAAAATATCACATCAGACACCCTGAGAATACTGTCACGATTTACCAATTCACGTGATTTCGAGGACCTTGAGGACCGAAGGGTTCATAGGGTCCCAAAGGTCCTCAAAGATGATATAGAGTATATAAACATTCATTATTTTCATAGTATAGAAGCTTCGTGCTCAACTTAGTTATCAATTAGTTTACCTACATTCTACTTGATCTAGTAACGAATTCACTTCCAAGTGAATACCAGTGATAAAGCCTTAACCCACAACTACCAACCAGATGAAACCTCAGGCAGCCGCTGCCTCCAGCACAGTATCGTTACAAATACTGTTACGAACGGTATTCAGTTACGACTAAAACCCGTATCACATGACTAAACAAGGGGTCACGTGGTCCCACTCGTCCCACCGATTTAAATCGAGGGGAACGGTGGGATATACGGCATGAATGTCTATATAATCAAGATGGATTTCCTTTGTATAGAGCTTCGTGCTCAAGATCAATCATTTAGTATACTCTACTGTTAGTTACGAATTGTATATCATCATTGTCATTATTTAAGTCCCTGCTTAACGCTTAGTTATAAATCATCTCGAGAGCCTAAAGCACTTCCACGTGATCTAGACGGCAAACCTCGTAACAAATACCTACTCGAAATCATGAATTTAATATAAATACTCAATTATTCTAAAAGCATCTTCAATCCTTTGTCTATTATTCAAGCTAAAATTGGACGAGAAAATGAATTTTTAATTAACAGATTAATACTCATCTCCGGGTCTAGAATTACTATCTAAACACCCCCCGAGTTGTTACGAGGTTTGCCGTCTAGATCATGTGGAAGTGCTCTAGGCTCTCGAGGTGGTTTATAACTAGGCGTTAAGCAGGGACTTAAATAATGATAATGATGATATACAATTCGTAACTAACAGTAGAGTATACTAAATGATTGATCTTGAGCACGAAGCTCTATACAAAGGAAATCCATCTTGATTATATAGACCTTTGTGCCGATGGCTAGTCAGGAGCCGTTGCTCCTAGGAGCGGGCGTTCCTGATTGTTCCTAGGAACGTCCGTTCCTCACCGTTCCATCACGTGTTTTCAAGGTCATGTGACATTCTATCGCAACAGGTGTAACAATTCCTTTGCCAAATCCAAATCAATTAGTCTTCCTTTTAGATCATCTTCAACAAGAAACTCGATAATAATGATATTATTTTCGAAGATATCCCAATATAGAATCTCTCCATCCTCTAATAACGATCTATAACTTTGAATAATATTGTATAATACCTCTAAAAGCTCTTTAACTGATTGAAATTTGTGGAGAGATCATCCAACCGATGAAGTTACCAAACAATAATTCACTTAGTTATCATATGTCTCACTTTCGCAATCTATGAAACTATCGATTTCGGTTTCTTGGATACAATCAACATTATTCCACTACCACTTATTCCAACAATAAGCCAGACTATCATCCGCCGTTTCTTGAATACTATAAACGTTGATTATATCTAATTTGCCTTCTTTAATATATACATTTATCCCACTAGCATAATTACTATCGGATTTAGATCTCTTCAATCTGTTCCCCCGATCAAGTCTTTCATTTCTTTTTCTTTTCTATCTAAAAGAAAGATATACCTACACCAATTCCCTAAACCCATCACACAATTCATACTACTCCTTAATCTTCCTTTAAGATTTATCTTAGAATATACCCAATTGGATTCCGGACTACCATCGATTCAAAAAACTTTGCTCGATAGCTTTCGTAACCTTCCGAATTTCATATCTCATCGGAAATACGAAATAATATGTTCCTTCTTCATGGCTAGCTAACGCTGAAGCTCTTGCCTTTCGTATAATCGCATGTCGGAGCAGGTATCTACCACTATTTATCGTTTGTAAGGATGGAAAAAGGTTCCTATGGTTGGTATAAAGGATAATATTCTCTCTTTCTTCTTGAAACACTGTTTGTTGAGCTGCTCCTTAGCAGCCGATAGACACACGATGCCTAAGGGAAGGCTCTGGAAATCTAAACGCGGTACATATTGCAGCCCAGTCTGAAGAGATGGCGGGAGAACATCTCATGTGAATATTTGTAAACTGATTGCGTATATGTCGTTCTTGTACAAGCGTCAATAGCGTCGTCGAAAAGAAATTTCGACCAAAGGATTGATGCTTTGAGGAAATACGAAGCTTTCCACTTGATCTGTCCTGATGGAAACATCCTTGAACGACGATATATATAATAGAGAAGATCGAGCCTATTATATTCCTTCTTGCAATGAGGCAAAATATTTAGACTTATCCCCTCATAACCCGCCAAGCTACGACTTTTAGTGTACAAGGGCTTATAAGCCAATTAGATCAACTGAATTTCCTTTGATTTTTACATTCAATCCTAGTAACTTGTTACGTCTCGACTTGACAACTAGTTATCACGTGGAAGCGACGACTAGAACGTTGGGTTTATATTAGGAGGAGGAAGGAGGAAGAAGGGAGAGGACAGCAATTAGTTTGTGTCTGAATAGGACCCCATGGTTAGGCTGCGATTATACTCCTACAATTCAGTGATACTCTTACAATTCCCTGCCAACCCCAACCTTACAGAAGTGTGCTTAACCAGGGTGTGCACAGACCACATCTGCGTGCGCTTATGGGACTCGAGAGGATACCAGCAGGGTTTTCATCGCTGCCTGAACCAGCTCGGCGGGTCGACAGCCAGTATAGATCAAAAGAAGCATGATTGTCGCAAGTGCCAAACGCTGATCTTCGGTTGGAAATATAGATGTGTCCCGGGCCCAGTGATGGGTAAGGAAACTTCGTTTCTAAGTTTTTATGTTTCGTAGTATTTTATTTCGTGGTACGACCTATAAAATAAGGTATTGGGTTTATTGAGACCAGAAAGAGCATCAGATTGAATTGATTGATTCTCTAGCTAAGCAGTTAAGCTGCGAGTATATATTCAAAAAATGAAGGAATAGGCTTAGGTATTCGGCCTTCGGAATTAAAGTGCTTTGAAATCAAAATATTGAAAGCAAACAAACAGTATACCAAAAAGGAAAGAATGAATTAAAAGTTGAGTTTTGTTTGCTCCTTATATGCATCATGCAATATATATGCATATGCTGCCAAGATCCCAGGAGGTCAACATAAGGGTTCGATATCCTTTACCGAGCTAATCTAATAGCAGGATCGTTGTGTTTCCTCGAAACACAAGCGTCACATAAGTGGTAGGCACTCGAGAACGATAGGTAGAGTTTACTGCTATGGCTCCTGGCTTGTTAAAGACCTAGAATTGGGCTCACGAATTTTGTCACTTGTTCAGCGGGAGCTGTGGTAGAATACGAATTGAGCTCATTGTCCTTCAATCATTTTGCGATTTGCAAGATGCTAGGCTCTAGTCTCCAGATGTGTCTCAGAAAGCTACGATACACACAATCACCAATATTGGAAGACATGGTAGAACTTGAATTGAGAGATTGCTATTTGGCTCTATTCTAAGTACTTTTTTGGCACACACAACAAATTTTGAAGAAAAATTATTTTTCGAAATACACCCTTTTTATATCTCATTTGCACTAAACAAATCAGCATCAATCGAACGCAATTGTCCCCAAAGAAATTGAACCAGTGGTTGTTGTGATACTGTCGTCGACGTCCAAAACACGTGAAACCACGCTAAAACGCGTGAAATTTTCACCCCCTTCATCCCTCCATTACGAGGGAAGAGAACTCAATGACGGGGACCACCCAATCGAAATTCCCAGAAGTGATCTTAGGCACTCCATGCCAAGTGAACCACACTGAACAAACCCATGAAAGAGACAATAGCCCGCCATTCATCCTTTCCAGTCCTACCCCCTCCCAACCCTTCAACTTTCAAACACAACGCAATACCTTGAGCTCTGATGATCCATTCAAATCACCAATCAATCGCCCAACGTTCCAATTCAATAAAAAACGAAGACGACAACCCAGCCACTCAGAACCCCATATCAACTCACCAAAAGAAGCTATCCAAAAAGCTAGAAGTCTACTCATTCTAGCTGCCTCCCTGGAAGAGGATACCGAAGAACAATCGAAAGTCCTAGACTTAATCGAAATATTTCGTGAATATCTTGAAAAAGGAAAACTCACAAAAGCCTCAAATATCATCATATCACAAATCTCCCATCTAGAAAATGCCACCAAACGGATCGAAAAGCAAGCCAACCATCTTTCAAACCTTTCTCAGTCATATGATCCTCTCTCACAATAAACGCTCTCTGGAATCAAAGCCAGCTATGCCATTATCACTAAAACCTCATGAGAATGGAACCTAGTTACAAAGGCAAAATCTCACAAAACAGAAAACTACAGAACAAAAGGAAGAAGCCCCAAGAACGGACTAATCCTCATCAAACCTCTTATTTATCAGCCACCCTCTTTTTACACCATTAAATACAAGGAATAAAGTCAACGAAGCCTTCAAGAAAGCAGGAATCAATGGACCAGTCATCTCAGCCATCACTACTACAAGGAGCGGCAATTTTATACTAACCACTAACAGCCCTTTCAATGCACAATTCCTGATGGAAAAGAAGGAAATCTGGGACAAAATCCTTGATGCCGAAAGAATACAAATCGATAAACCCTGGCATAAAGTCATCATTCACAAAATCCCAATTCAGGAATTCTCAGGTCTGAAAGGTATGGACCTAATCAAAGAGGAAGTCAATACCTTCAATCCAGGGCTCAGTATTATGAATACTCCTTACTGGCTTACCAATGTCTCCAAGAGAGCCAAACAACAAGATGGAGCAATAGTCATTGCATTTGCTACACAAAAAGAAGCAGATATAGCTATCCAGAAAAGGCTATATATTGCAGGCATTAGTGTTAGAGTAGAAAGATTCTATCCATCTACTCCTTCATCCCAATGCAACAGATGCCAGAGATTCGGCCATAACGAATCATACTGCAAAAAACCTCCAGCTTGCGGACTTTGCAGTAATAATCATGCTACAGTCGGTCATTTCTGTATAATCTGCCAAGCAAAAGGCAAACCATGTCAACATCTAAGTGTCAAATGTGTTAATTGTAAAGGAGAACACAAAGCCAACTCGAAAGTATGCGAAGTATATCTATCAACCATCAAGAAATCCAACTAATGCTGTACAACAATACTCGCATTCTTCAAATCAATCTAAACAAGAGCCCTCAAGCAACCGAAAGTGCTCTCCAACTTGCTTTAGAACTCAAAATTGATCTCATAGTCATTCAAGAACCCTGGATCCTCTCGAATCCTGAGAAAGACTTCTCCTCAACCAGATCTATTGCCCACTCTAGCTTCTCTCAACTCCTCCCAAATAATCCTTCGAACCTGCGTCCCCGAACTATGATCTACATTTCAAAAGGATTCAAACCGCTAGTAGCCCTAGCTCCCAACTCCCCTAATGATCCAGATATTCAAATCATTGATATCACTCAAGGAAAACATACAATACAACTCATCAATATCTACAATGAAGCGGACCAAGCCAAAGAAAAAGGCCACACCATCGAAAGATGCCTTTACAATACCCCTCTTACTCATCACACCATCCTCGTAGGAGATTTCAACTCCCATCACCCTTGGTGGGACCCCTTCTCTAACAAAAGCTCAAATGCCGACCTACTCACCGAATGGTTTGAGGATCACAATCTCATTCTATTTAACGAACCAGGCACGAGCACCTTTTATCGAACACATATGACAAATCCAAGTGTCTTAGACCTTACTTTAGCCACAGATTCAGTATCTCCCTATATCACTGATTGGCAAGTCCTCCCGGATCTTGGATCAGATCACTTAAGCATTCTCTTTGAAGTAAAGGGCACTTTATCCCGTATAACGAATATAGCTCAGCCAGCAAGATTCAATACAAAACTTGCGGATTGGGAAAAATTCGCGAATACCCTCAAATCGAAAATATCGATATCAACCACCTTAAATTCGAGTGAATACCTTAATATCGCTACCTCAGAATCCAACTCTCTTGATTCCCTTCTCGACAAGAGCCAATACATACAAGTATTGGATGAAGCTGCAAAAGAATTCACCCGAATAATCACTTATTCGGCTGAAACCAGTATACCGAGAATCAAGTCCACAAAAAGAGCTAAACCCTGGTGGTCCCCAGAGCTGAAAGCCCTTCGAAAACGACTCTCTAATGCATTTGAGAACGTCAAGATTTACCCGGAAGACGATATGTTCAAGAAAATCTACCAGTCAGCCAGGAATCATTACTTCCAAGCTATTAAAACAGCAAAGAAAAACCATTGGAATGAGTTCCTTGAAAAAGAGGATACCCAATCCGTATTCAAAACAATATCATACACAAAAGATATACAAACCGAACGAATCCCGAATATTCGATCCAATCCCTCTAAACTAGAAAATTCTTTCGAGGGAAAATGCTCTGCATTTAGATCGACCCTATTTCCTCCTCCTTCATTCACCCCACCGCCCAATTGGGAAAGCTATAAACAATCTAAGAAATGGGAATGGCCTGATCTCACAGAGAGCGAACTCCTAAACGCGTGCTCTGCAAAAATCAAAGGAAAGACCCCTGGCCCCGATGGGATCACTCAAGATATCATTATTCAAGCGTACAAAGCAATACCAAAAGCATTCTTCACCCTCTTCAGTCATCTTATCAACCTTGGTTACCATCCTTCTTGCTGGAAACAAGCCACTGGAGCGATACTCAAGAAACCTTCAAAACCAGACTACTCGGCCCCAAAAGCTTATAGAGTTATCGCCCTACTAAATTGCCTTGGCAAAATAAGTGAAAGAATTCTAGCTCAAAGGCTTAGCTACTTAGCGGAGACTACGCAATTACTTCATTACTCTCAAATGGATGGAAGACAAAAGAAATCAGCCATCGACACAGCAATCTTACTCACTACCGAAATCGAAAGAAATTCAAGATCCAAGAAGAAAACCTCAACTCTCTTCCTGGATGTTAAAGGCGCCTTTGATCATGTATCTATGAACAAATTATTAGATATCTGCAAGAACCTAAACCTCCCAACCAGCCTAATCGCCTGGATCTCATCTTTTTTGAAGGAAAGGCTACTCAAGCTCTCATTCGATGGCCAAATTGAAACCTTCAAACCGATCAATACCGGGATCCCCCAAGGCAGCCCTATTTCGCCAATCCTCTTCTTAATTTATATTCGAGATCTATTCTCAGCAAATTCAATCAAATATCTCTCATATATAGATGATATAGCTTTACACATTTTCACATCCTGAAAAAAGAACATCATCTCTCTCGAAAAAGCAACTAAACAGATATATGCTCTAGGCAAAGAAAATGCTATTCAATTTGATCTAGCGAAGACGGAACTAATACACTTCTCTATATCCAAAGATACGAAGACAGCCTCAATCAAGCTTCCGAACGAGGAGATAATTCAACCCTCAACACTAGTCAGATGGCTAGGCATATGGTTCGACCCTGGCCTCAGTTTCAAACAACATGTCACAATCCGAGCTACCCAGGCTAAAACCTCATTCTACCGAATGGCTAGACTTGCTAATTCTGAAAAAGGCCTTAGTCCCAAGGCAATGAGACAGCTCTATATGGCATGCGTCACCAGCATAGCTGACTACGGTTCAATTTTATGGTGGAAAGGGCAAAACCAATTCAAGAAAATCCTTCAATCCTTGCAAAACCTCGCCCTTCGAAAAATCCTAGGAGTATTCAAAACCTCACCAATAAAACCAATGGAAATAGAAGCCGCATTGTGCCCTCCAGAAGTAAGGCTAAATGCTGGAATCAAACAATACGCCTTCAGATTATTGAAAATCTCCCCTTCTCATCCTGTCAATTTAATAGCTACAAAGCTGGCTACAGAAAAGGAAAATCAAGATGTAGTTGCAACCCCTCAAAGAAAGCAATTAAAACCTACTCAACTCGAAAAGATCAAAAACTCAATCCAGAAAGACTTCGATCCCCTCACTTTGGAAAGAATTCATCATTTCTACTTCCCTCCTTGGAAGAAGGAAGTTCCATATAGAGTCAATATCAGCAAATTAGGAAAAGAAGAAGCTGCGATGATCCATAATCTGGCTTTCAAATATAGATGCAAAAATACCATTACCATATACACTGATGCCTCATCCACTCTAGAGGGAATAGGGGTTGGGATCGGGATAGTAGTCATCTTACCAAATGGCCGAAACTCATATCAAGAGACTATCAATATAGGCGTGAATCAGCTTGTCTATAACGGTGAGCTTCTAGGAGTTACTAAAGCGATCGAATACGCAAATTCAATAGCTCAACCAGGAAACAAGTTCAAGATATACTCAGATAATCAAGCAGGATTATTCCGGCTGAAAACCCCCTCCGATTCACCTGGTCAATCATGCCAAATCAAAGCTATAAAAGCTGCGGAAGCTATTCAAAATAAAGGAGCCGAAATCTCTCTCAATTGGGTCCCCGGACATACATCTGTACAAGGAAATGAGCTAGCTGATTCTCTTGCAAAAGAGGCGACCAAAATACCATCCTCATCTCACGAAACCAGTTATGCCTCCATTGGAATGGATATAAAAAGAATGAAATCAGAGAACTGGATAGCCATCCTTAACACTAACAACTTTCATCAACCATCGTCAACATATTCAAGAAACTACCCCTGGAAGATCAGCTCAAAAATCAGAATTCCAGGAAACATCAAAAGAAGCACAATCTGTGCTCTGTTCCAACTCAAAATTGGACACGGATACTGTGTGAACGAAGTGAATGACTTCAATTCAATTACTACTGTAATAAAGAACTAAGCGAACGCGAAAGAGACTAGCTCTTTTAGTAAGTCTATATAAGACTTACTACTTTCAATATGTAGCTAGCTCTTTAGACAGAATACAATTAGACATACAGGACCTACGTAATCCGTGGGTGCTACGTCTTCCGTATCCTTCTCGTACCAACAGATACTTCAAATCTTATTTGAAACGATTCGGTATCTCCTCTAATGACAATTGTAGATGTGGGGGAAAGGAATCTCCTGATCATCTTCTGCTCAGTTGTCCTTTATATAAAATGGCAAGGAAAACCCTCAATAAGGATAACCCCATAGTCCGACCTACTATGAAATATCTGCTTCATACTAAAGCAGGAATCATCAAGACCCTCGAATTTATCGAGGCAACGAGAATAGCCACCAGATCATGGCATCTCAATAGAATGCATGAAGAAGAAGAGGAAGAAGGCGGAGAAGAAGGGGGTGGACCGGAAGATTGTGATTGAATTGATCAATTATGGCCAATTTGGTCAATTTGGTCAATTTGGTCATTTTGGTCAATTTGGTCAATTTGGTCAACTTGGTCAATTTGGTCAATTTGGTCAATTTGGTCAATTTGGGCAATCACCCCAATGTCAAATTTCATTACATTTCATTTGTTATTCCTCTTACTTGAATACGAGAGTATCTGTAAGGCGGGCTTGGTTCCCTAGTATTAGTTTTCACTTCCCCCATTCAAACATTAGAAGATTGAGGCTTTCAATCTCCCCAACCTGTATTAGCTACGGTCGAATAAGGCCAGCCACCCTCCATTTACTATTGTTAGAAGCCTACAAAGCTCCTAGCCGTCTTAGATAGTCATAGACTCAGTGTAGACGTTAATTTAATCAATCAATCAATCAAGTACTTTTTTGGGGGACTGTAGAATTACCAAACCCTTCTCCCCCATTTCTTCAGCGATTGACTTGTGAAAGGGCTCAAAACGCTTTTGCTTGTCCACAATCGGCTTCGTTTTTACCCAAGGGCCTCGGACAGTTCCCATCATTTTGCTGTTTAGAATACGGCATTGCCCCCTTGTAAGCTTGTCGGAGGCGAGATGTCCACAAGAGCGAAGCCAGTCTTCTGACCAAAGAACCGTCCCTTTACAGTTGTAAAGGGTGATGATGAGAAAATCGAGTTCTTTGCGTAAATCTCTTGGTCGTTACGGACGCTCTTGATGTCAAGGAAGTCTCCGTTGTCGAAGTCAAGGAACCATCTTGTTTGGTAGGTGTAATTAGAGTTCGGAGAGGTCCACGCATTCTCCGGCTCGATTGTTACGTTGAATCGGACTATTTCCAAACCGTAGTCGGTGCGAACAGTTGCAAATCGTAAATGCTGTGCTGGGTCCTTATTGTCGGAGAGCCAAATGCTGGCCTTGACTTCTGAACCTGGGAAATGAACCCCAAACCAGGTAAATTCGCTGTCAACTCCGCCGAATCCGAACTGACGGTCATACCAGGTCATCGAGCGTTCCTCGTCGACCTGGAGGATCTGGTCGTCTAGAGTCAACATGCCTGAAGTCTGGCAGCTCGGAAGAGACCACTGCGAAGTATTGCCGTTTCCCCATGAGAAGTAACCCGTTCCAGCATTCAGAAGGACCCGAGATGTTGCCTTCACGGTAAGGTTATACTCATAGTGATCAGTCGAACCACTCCAGACCATAGTGGAAATACTATCATTAGAGTTGCTCGAAAACTCAAAGCCAGGTGCTTCAATCCTGAGCTTTCCGTTCTTGGTCGTTGAATTGTTCTGAAGAGGGAGGTTTTTTGTGCTCTGCCAGTAGTTTTCTGGGTTACTGGCGTCCAAGAGAGAGGTCCTGACTGTAACAGTGCCGGAGGGAAGTACGAAGGCATGCGACAAGAGAACATACTCGGTCGAGTTGGCCGAGGTCAAGAAGTGAGTGGACCAGAATGAGTTAACGGGAGGTGTGACAAGCTGAGATTCAGGCAAGGAATATTGGTTTGGTAGTTCCGCCTGATAATAATTGTCAGTTCTTGGCATGGCGGCCAGTGGACTCTCAGCCTGTTCTCCACACAGGACAGAACTGCGAGGATAAACAATCGACAGGTACGTACATCATAAATGGTTGACGCATTCTCTGGAGTGAAATTGTACAGAGCATTGCTTGCCGCAGGGAGCATAAGCAGCAAGAACGACGTGATAGACATGGCTAGTGACTTATGTTGGATGAAGTAAGATGGTAACGAATTCAAGTCGGGCTACTCAGAGATGGATTTGTTGTCTACCTCGCCGTTCTCTTATATAGCATTCAATTGACGAGAAAATTCCATCCTTCGCTAGGAGAGTTCATGGAGATACAGCCGACCGGAGTCGGCGGAAGACCGTGCACTCTAAAAAGGGGGCAACTAAACATACATCGGTGCAACTCGAGAGGAAATGACCGCAGAACTAGACGGAAGTCGCCAACAGCATGATTCATGCAATTCAAAATGCTAATTGGCAATCTAAGAACTTCCCCCCGTCCAGTGTTTGCAAAGCCGGGAGTCTCTGAGACGATGAAATCTGCGATGAGGCAATACGACAATAACATTCACCTACAGTAGGTTTTGTTCTAGTTTCCCATTCGAGTATTGTGAAAGATTGTTGAGATTCCTTGCAACGTATGTGACGTGATCTGCGTCGCTAGTCAAACCACTAGAGATCAGGTCTTGAGCCTCATTTTGCTCCCCACTTCTGCCTAGCTAGGCAAATTTTGAATTTAGATTACTCCACTAAATATCGAGTAAACCATAAAAAGAGAAAAATTGCTTCCTGCAGTCTACTATTATTCGGACTCCCGGAAAACCAGCTTCCGAAACCCTAAGCACAAAGATATACAGTACTACCTCAAAAGTTTGAAACGGAACATCAAAAAATCGCGGTTTCCAATTCTTCCCCTACTAACACCACCACTTCCAGCACCTAAAATGGCCCCTTCACGTTACCCACTCACCCCAATTCATTCAAATCGCGTACAAAAGAAGGAATTAACTCCAGATTGACATAATTATCGGCCCCCTTCCTACGCTTACCTAGATTCATTTACTACCCTACACAGTAGGTAGTCGGGTCGGTCTTTCAGATTACAAATTACGACCGTACACCCATTTCGATATACGGAGGTAGCAAAATCAATCGGACATTCCAAAATACCGGACATTCAGGTAGTAGAAATACTTACCTGAGCCTAGGAGGGGGCCACCAGGGGGTGCAGATTAAAATTGATTGAGAAAGAGCTTCATGTAACGATACTGACGATTCTCATCCTAGGATAATACTAGACGTGGTTCGTGACAACTACTTGATTTAAATACAAATCTTTTCTCATTCATATCAATTATATACTGAATAAGTACCTTTTTTTCTAAATCGATTATTTTATAATTATTTGCTGGAATTTCTATATAAAGGATTAAATTATTCATTCTACGGAGAAATGTTGTATACATTACATTATATAGCTTGGCAGCCTTTCAAATGCTTAGTTTTTTGTCTTTTTGAATAGCTTCGATAGCTAAGAGTATTTGAGCTTCTTTTCTATTTGATTGCATAATAAATGATTGATAAATCGCGTGTTGAAGTTGGAAAGTGCAAATTGAGGTAAAAGTGGTGCACTCGGTGATATGGTGCACTCGGTGTTAAACCACGTTAGTTGTAGAACTAGAGAAGTTATAGTTATATGCGGATTATTGGCTCAAGGCGCTCCCGCTAGTTAGAAATAATAAATTAAGTGTTCCAAGTTCGGGCCTCTGTTGATATATACCGTATAGAAGATTTATTCTGGACCCTATGGGGCGTTTGTAGAGACAGATCGGAATTCATGAAAACTGCGGTTACCGAGAGATCACGAAGTGTTGAGTGTATATCTTACTATAAGAAGCGGGAAAATCTCCTGATAATATCTTCATCTAAAAAGCAAGAAGAGTTATTTGCCTGAGATCAGAGTTTCTGTCAAACGCTATTAGGAATTTTCCAACCAGTCCAGACGAACTGTTCTACTACTGCAGTATATCCGACGTCCACCCACAATGCCCAACTTCAGAGTCATAATCGTAGGCGCTGGTCCCGTCGGCCTTACAACAGCGCATGCTCTTTCCAAAGCTGGGATCGACTTCGTGGTGCTTGAGCGACGACAGGTGGTTGTCCAGGATGTAGGTGCAAGCCTAGTTTTGGCGCCTCAAAGTCTTCGCGTTATGTCGCAACTAGAGCTTCTGGACCAATTAACCGCTATCAGCACGGAGCTGGTGCATGCTACAAGCTACACGATGGATGGGAAGAAATTCAAGGAAGCCTGGCCATTTGAAGTCATGAAACAGAAGTAAGTTCTTTCTTTCAACGTTTTATAACAAACGAATAACCTTGTAACAGTCATGGGTCGACTCCGCATATCTTTCATCGTGCCGAGCTTCTCCAAGCGCTATATGACGGCTTGAGACCAGAAGACAAGTCACGAGTGTTGACGAACAAAAAGGTTACCAGTATCGAAAGTGATGAGGTCGGAGTACGAATACACTGTGCAGATGGATCAACTTACGAAGGGTCTATTGTCATTGGGGCTGATGGGGTCCATAGCCAGACGCGTCAACTTATGCGAAGTCTAACTCTCAAAACTTCGCCAGAAGACACTGTTAACGATGAGGAGCCCTTCACAACCGAGTATCGCACAATGTGGTGCACATTTCCCAAGCCAGAAGATTCGGAGATTGGCTTAGGGAGCACAAGTGACGGGAGCAATGCTTCGGTTCAGTACTTAACCAGTAAGGACCGTGCCTGGATCTTTGTCTACGAACATCTGGAGATGCCTACGAAGAAGAGGGCATGGTATAGTCAGGAAGATGTCGAAGCATTCGCTGCCGAGCATGCCGAAATGCCTATCAACGATCACCTCAAGGTTAAGGACGTCTTTGCCAAAAAGTACCATGCAGGCATGGCGAATCTGGAGGAAGGGATTATCGAACACTGGAGCTGGGGCCGCATTGTTCTTGTAGGTGACGCGGCACACAAGTTCACCCCAAATCATGGGCAGGGACTCAATAACGGCATTCAGGACGCTGTTGTTCTGGTCAACGAGTTGCATCGATGTATAGAATCTGTCGGAGCCAGTAACCAGCCTTCCAAAGAGGAGCTAAGCATTGCATTTCAACGCTATCAGTCTACCCGCACGGAATATGTGAAGGCCGATTACAACCTTTCCGCAACGGTGACCCGGATGTCTGCTTGGCCTAACTTCTGGTATGGACTGCTGGATCGACATATAATTCCTCTGATACCGGGTTTTGACGATATGATGATGAATCATTTCGCTGCCCCGCATATAGCTAAAGGGCAGATCTTGGACTTTGTATATAGCGAAGAAGTTTTCAAAGGTAAAGTTCCTTGGATTTATCCGATCAAGGTTTAGTTTTATAAAGGAAGTCTAATTATAATGGATATCGAAACTATATACTAGTAGATTTCTTTCTTATATAAATTTAGAATATAGTTCAAGCTTTTTAATATAGTTATCTGTTATGACTATCAGATATGGGAGCATGAGGACCTTAGGCTCAAAAGGTAGCCACCCGTAATCAGTAGGGGCGAACCGTTGTACAGAGATTATAGTATATATAGTCTAGAATTATATATTAATTATCTACAATATAAAGTGAATTCTGTGGAGTTATCTCGGTCCGACTATATTCCAGACAGCGAGAATATATCCAAGCACCGGATATCACCTCCCTCGTGCAATGATATAAGACTTCCGACTCCCCTCGAACTTTCACGGCTTTTAAAGTTTGATCAATCGCCACAACCTTATAGAGAACCCACGAGCACTCGGTATATATCTGTGCTCTCTATACTAGTAGCACCCACTGACTGGTTATAGCGTCGCCGAGCTCAGAACCGCGCATCACAACGAGCTTTCAGGGACAGAAAGGAAAAGTATATGAGGGAGCTGGAGCAACGACTGAGAGAACTCGAGGGCCGCTATAACGTTCTTTCCAGGTTATATGAATCGCTACAACTTGAAGTTACTAGTGTCAAGCAAGAGCTAGACAGGATGGGCAAGGATAACAGCAGAGTCGAGAGCTCAACAAGGAATTGCCAAGTGAGGGAGTGGGAGGAGTCCAAAATCGAGATCCTAGATCCTTTTTTGTTTCATGTTTCTGCGTTTTGCTTTGTTGAGGATCATGGACAAGGTTGGAAAGAATGAGAGATGCTACCACAGTGTTAATTTCGGCGAAAGTATCTTGTGTCTTACCTAGTGTCTTCTATTGTTGCATAGTATTTGGTACTTTTGTCTAACGTTTCTTATCATAACCTTGTATCATCTTTATGTCTAGCGCAGGATCACCGCATGAGACCATGTGTTGACGCCAACGACACATTTTCCCAGGAAGTTACAAGCTTTAGGCAAATTATCCACGAAATATGAAAATGTTACCTTATAAAAATAGTAAGAGGGACAGAGATAATTCCGTTGCGATGTTCGCTCTTTGACAATTGTTATATAGCACTTTACTATGCAAACGATGCTGTTAAAGCATACGAAGATGTGATGTGAGGTTTTCGATTACGCAGCGGCGAAGGTGGTACAACAAACATATGCCAAGTAGAGATAGGCATCAGCCATCCGTGAGACCGAAATCAAGCTTTGTGATGCATGACAAGGAACACCGGAAGGTGGAAAGGCATGAGGAAAATTTTTTAAGAAAGAGTGGCCATTCAATGATTTAGTTGGTAAGCATGGATAAGCTACGGAGGTCTCTATTACACATGGGAGATGGAATAACTAGTGGCATGTAATCTTCTCAAAGCACACATAAACAATATCTACTTCTACTTCTGCCTCCTGCCTTCTGTCCGCTTCACCAAGCCTTCCAAAGGGCAGTCAGTGTCTTTCCATTTCTTCCCTGTAGATGAAGTATTTGCCTGGCACCTCCCGCAGAACCGTCCATGTCGAATCATCAAGTAGTGAAGGTCAAATTTCAGGTGATCAGGAATTTTGGTCTCGAGATGTGCGAACATACCATCCCTACTGGTCCCAGGGGGTACCCAACCTAGCCACGTACAAATTTGGTACACGTGTGTATCCACGGCGAAGGCATTGTGCTGCATGCAGATTGAAATAATGCAGGCTGCAGTCTTCGGTCCCACCCCTGGAAACGTAATGAATTTATCGAATGCTTCATCTTTCGAAAGGCTTCGCATGTGCTCCAAAGAGAGCAGATCTATGCCTCTTGAGTTGGTGGCAACTTTCCCCCTTTGGCGCCGGATGACATTCTCTTCATGAACCATGTCAAGGATAGCCTTGCAGCTACGACTCTTGACGTTCCCCATTCCTTCAGTCTTGATGGCTTCATAGAGTTTTTCCAAGGGAGCAAGTCGAACGGCCTCCCAGTCGACAATGCCGGGGCCAGTTCCAGGCTTACGTCTCCCAAACGTTGTGAGAATGCCTATAAAAGCGCGAGATGCATTCATGTCGTTGGTACCAGCGCTGAGCCGCGCTCTGATGACTGCATCAATCAATGCCGGCTCGTCCTGGTTGCAGCCTTCGATACGAAGACCTAAAGAAGGCTTGGATTGTGAGATCTCGATCTTGCCGTGCTTATCCTCCAGCAGGCGAAACACCGTTTCAACCGTCTCGGGGTTTGGAGCTGGCCAATTCGGGAAAGGAGACAACGCATTACTTGAGTAGTCGTATTTTGATTTTTTGGGGTTTTTGCTAGTGGGAGGTGCAGTTGCAGAGAGCTTCTTAGAATCCTCGTTCGTCAAGACAACCCGTGCTTGCTGGGTGATGATCGCAGACCTAGACGCTCCCGCCTGCTTGGATCTCTTGGGAGGTTTAGACAGTCGCTTGTCATCGAAGTCGCTACTGTCTGACGGACAGTCGTAAGAACTAGAGACAGGCTCGTCGAACTCTGTGTTTTCGATCGATCCTGGAGTTACGATCCGCCGCCTTTTTCGACTTGGAAGCTGGGCTTTGGTGGCATGGTGGATGTGTCCAGAGGTTGGCTGGTCAAAGTCAGGGTCCGCTGGCATGGGGAGGTATGCCGAATGCGAATGTGTGCTGGTCTTGACAGGAGAATTCGAAAGTGTCCGAACGACTTCATAGGCGCCCAGGGCAAAATTCAGTTCGATGTATACAACGTAAAGGTCCAGGAATTGTTTTGGGGCCTACGACGCTCTATTCTGGGACCAAGAGGATTGGACGCCCGATTTCGTCCACTACTTGAATCAAGAATTCCACGATGATACATATCGAAACAGAAAATCTTCTACCCAAGGTCAAGCAAGTTCAGTTATAGAAATTCGGCTAGCGCACATGTGTCAACAGCTGGCTTCCACCCAGAGAATACTGCTCGCGGAAAATCCGGACTACCATGATGATTTTGAAGAGAGTCTTGCAGAAATCTTCACAACAACTAATTTTGAGACGTTCGTACAGGTGTATTTTCTTCAGCTACACCAGTTCTACCCCATTGTCCACCGCCCCAGCTTTGACTGTGAGACGGCCTGCCTACTTCTTCTGCTGGCGATCTTTCTTTTTGGATCCCTGTGTTCTGCTCCTTCGGACTCTACTCTATCAGCGCGCAGGGTGTTTGATATTGCGGAGGAGTACATTTTCAGCCATCCCCACAATGCAACAACTGCACCACAGCAACAGCGCTTGTGTGTCGCCTGAAGAGACTATTGGCGTGCTTCAAGCGGCGTCCATAATTGAAGTCGTCCAGAACGGAACGAACAATGTGGAAACAAGGAGACGCCTTAGAATCAAAAGGCATCCATGGTATGCCGCTGTATTGAGAAGCTATGGGCTATTCCAAGTCTCTGGTATAGACCGCTTAGACGACTCGATTACCGGTCAATCCAAGTGGCAGTCGTTCCATTCCTAGGAGATTCGCACACGGTATGGGCTCCAGTACCAGTATGAAAGTGCAGATTAACCAAACTGACACCAAGACAAGACTCGCGATTTGGTCATTTGTCATGGACAGCTGCTTTGCTATTATGTTTAACAGCTGTCCTCTCTTGACATTGGGGGAATTGAGTATAGACTTTCCTTGTCGCAATGATATTTTTGAAGCGGAGACAGCAGCTGAGTATGAGTACTTGACAATGTTTGATTCTCCTGAGTTACGTTGGAAGACACCGTCGCAATTGATCAAAGACCTACTCCAGGATACTTAGACCGATTCATCTCGCAAGCACGTCACGGCGATGCATTTGATGGTTACAATCTGCGGTAAGCGGTCATCGTCAGCATTTACAGAACCTAGGAGGTATTGACCATAAACAGCACTACAGTCTTTGATGATGACCTTACGGTGTTCCTTGGTCTTGGAAGCAACAGGGGCTGCCATTCTTCGCGCAGCAGATAGGTGGGAAGATCTTTGGCATACAGTGACCGAAGGAAGCAAAACACAGACCATGATAGGTTAGGGCTTCGTCGAGCACTCCGATGAGTTGTGTTGGCTTGTCAGAACATTAGTTCAGCAAGGACAACTGAAAGTACCAGATTGTCGCTACACACACATTTTGCCTACGGACAACATCAAGGACCTCCATGATTTCTTGTGCAAATACAAGATCACATAAAATCAAGGCAATGCATAAATGAAGACAGTTGACTTCGCAAAAATCATGACCTCTTCCAGGGTATGCTACGCCTCAACAGCAGAAAAAATGGGATTTCGACTACTCAGGAACTGTGTCTGCTGAATATACATGGATTCTGCCTTTAAAAACGCTCTTGCAATGCGCATGCCACGTGCCAATCCAAATGCTCGAGGACGTCAGTAGGTGCAATCATGTTCCCACAGGTTGGACACGAGTAACCGTCAGCAGTTGCATTAACGGTCGTCTCGACACTGCGTGGTGCTAGTGCCTTTGTGCACATTGCTGGTTCTTGGTCGCGTACCGGAGGCTTGTGAGTCTGCTCAGCACTGTCCTGTCTTCCTGGAGTAGCTAGCATGAAACTGGTGATAAGTTGATTCCTCTGCTCCTCCTTCACCAATCCATGTAAACTTAACCCAATACTCAAACACGGCCATGCAGGAGCCGCCTCATCTGCTATAATTTTCAGATACTTCATCGCGAAGTTGAAGATTGTCTCCTCGTTAATCCCCATTTGAGACGGTATAATACATTGTTTTGATGTTGTTGGCCCAAAGCGCCCTCGGATATGGTGATGGACAGCAAGCGTGGATGGGCGGCGAAAGTACCCTGATTCGACTTTGAGGTCGTTCAACCGCCCTACGAGGTCCGCTGCGAAGATTCTCATCCAAGAAGACGCCTGGCCAATGTCTGTAAGAGGCGGTACGAAAGTCTTCTGCGTTAGCATTGACTGAGGGTCGGTTCGAGGAATCACTTCACTTCGATCTTCTCCGCGAATGGAACGAAAGAACCAGTGACCATCCTGCCTACCGAGCGCAGCGACTATTTCCTTTTGTGGGATTGCAAGCAGGTCAGGGATGCTGTTGGAGCCGAAGGCCTCTTTCGCCTTTACACCCAATACACCTGCCAGCCCACGGATCGAGGTCATCTTGCAGGTAGAGAGGAAGAATGGCACGGCACGGGCTCGGATCACCGTCTGCTGGTCTGGCTTTTTAAATCCGGCCCCAAGCTTGGCCAATGCTTTGTTCTGTGCAATACCTGCGGAGCAGGTGTAATGTAGAGACTCGAAGATCTCCTTGCGTAGGTTTCGTACAATTTGAGCACCAATGTTCAGCGCGATTTCGTCCCAATCAATACGATGGGTATCGTCGGTGCTCGTTGGGAGGTCAACCAGGTTGTCCGTCTCCCAGTGAAGAACGATGTCCCGTGGTGGAAGAGGAAGTGAGCCATGTACATTATCGTCGACGGCAAGTTGAGGGTATCTTGAAACAAGGACTGAATGTACGTGTGCAGATAGGTCGATAAAAACTTCATCCACGCTCGCCTTCTCTATGCGTTGAAGTGGCGCGGGTGGTAGGTGTTTCGTTATAATGTTGATACTTTTCCGCGATTCGATCCGGTATGGATCAAGGGCAGCCTTGTCTTTCTTCATCATGGCTGGATCGGCTGCATCAGACCTATATGCCCAAGACGTCTCGCCTTCTCTCCAAGTGGCAACGTGCTGCATGATGATGTTGGGACAAAGCCGCCTCACCTCTTCCACAGAAGCACCGCGAGAAAAGCCGAAGCCGCGGGCAGCATAATTGAGTGCGATTATTGCATTCCATTGTTGAACTGCCAGCGGCTGTGAGGCGTCCAATTTCAACCGCACCATTTCGCACTGTGCGTAGAAAGCATCATAATCGACGAGTGCGATCACGCGTAAGGGCGACTGTGGTGAGTAGTTGCCAAGGCGGCGGAGATCTCGGTACGTGAATTGGGACCTGGGACCGTCCGTGGAAAGAGATCTCGAAGTTGCATGCAGCATGGCGAAAACAATGTGTGGATCTGGCAAGGTTGACAGGGTTAGCAAAGAGTTTGGGCGTCATATGACGGGTGACGGAGAGTGTCACTTACCTAGCTACCTTAGCTAGCCCTCCCAATAGATGTTTCGATGTGTTCTGGGAGGCTGGATTGGCCTGTCTGAGTGGCTCTAAGCTTTGTCAGTCGTGCAAGTGTTGGAAGAACAGAAAGAGTAGCCAGCCAAGCTTGCGTGAAGTGGGTGTTTCCCTGTGAGCGACTAAAGGCGTCAAAATCGGACAACTACAAAGGAGCCGAGGCGCCGTCAACTCAAAATGGACCAGTCTCTGCTCTGTGCCTGTCACGCCCGATCCGTCAGTGATGTCAAGTTCGACGGCGCTTGACGGCGTGGATTTTGAGCTCTTGCCGGACTCCGGGGAAGGGCATTAAATGCCGCGATATGCACGACCAGGGTTCAACAAAAGGGTGAAGTATCAACGACGCTATCTCGGGAATGAACCCATATATTATAATACTTATTACTTCGTAAATACCTTACCTATTATAGAATAAGTATCATCCAACTAATAATATATTCTATATACTTACTGAACTATAAAACCAATAAGTAATTTAATAATATCTTTAAGTTATCTCTAAGGTTTAATATGGATAAACCTCGCTCAATCCGCTACAAGTTGGAGAAACTAGAGAAATGTACGCATCATGATTTTTGAAAATTGGCCCTTGTTACGAGGTTTGCCGTCTAGATCACGTGGAAGTGCTCTAGGCTCTCGAGGTGGTTTATAACTAGGCGTCAAGCAGGGACTTAAAATAACGACAATAATGCAATTCGTAACTAATAGTAGAGTATACTAAATGATTGATCTTGAGCACGAAGCTCTACACAACGGAAACCATCCTGATTATATAGACCTTCGTCCTCCATTGGATCTCTTGGATCCTGAGAGTTTGTGGACCTTCGATTCGTATGGACCTACGATTTGTATCCTTGAATATGCAGGGTCCATCACGTGACTTGGATCGGACTATATGTCTATGCTTGCTGAAGGTGGGGAGACTCTACGAACCGATTACCATACAATTTTGTATGTGAATCGGTTTGCTTTTCCACGGGGTCTGAGCTCATATGGACAGGTTGACTGTTACTACGTAACACTTCTATATCTCGAGTAGTCTCTACAAGTATAAGAAGAGGTCGTTTCTGGCAGAGGAGATGATCGGCCATCGCAAGCTATTCAGACACACAATTATCCGGCAGAACTTTCCAGACTTCAATTCTTCGATCGGACTCTCTATCCCGAAAATTCCGCAAAATGATGCCGCAAATCAACGTCGCACGAATCGTTGAATTCGGCAAGCCCTTGGAGGCCGGCAAAGCAGACAAGCCAGTGCCCGGATTGAAAGACGTACTTGTCAAGGTCGAGGCGTGTTGCCTCGTGCCAAACTCTTACAATCTTGTCAAAACTGGAGGCGGGGAAGGCTTCGCTCTTCCCCAGCTGCCGTGTGTCTTTGGGCTGGACGCCTCAGGCGTTGTAGAAGCGGTTGGCGACCACGTCCTCGGCCTCAAACCTGGAGATCGCGTCTATGTGGATCCATTGCTAACCTGTGGTACATGTCACTATTGCCGACAAGGTTTGTGATCCCGGTGCCGGTTCCCTTGATTTGTTGTTGATTGTCAGAAAAGCACATCGGCTAAGCTCATCGTGTGTATAGGAAGAAAGGACCTTTGCATCAACTGCTGCCTCCGGGCATACTTCGCTCAGTCTCCAGGTGGAGAGCAGATGCTCACCCACTTCCCCCTCGGCGCCCTGTCTGAATATGTGATCTCGCCAGATACAATCTTGCCTTGCTTCCCGCCAGCATCGATTTCGCCACGGCGTCGCGCTTTGGATACATTGGTACTTCCTTCGGGGGCCTAAAGAAAGCAAACATTGGCCCGGGGAAAGTATTGCTATCAATGGCGTCACGGGAACACTCGGATATGCTGCAGTTGCCATCGCTCTGGGCTTTGGCTGCACAAAAGTCCTGGGTATTGGACGCAACAAGGACCGTCTAAAGGAGCTTGAAGGATTGTCACCTAACGGCCGTGTCCGTACTATCTCATCAGAAGATGCTAGTGAAATTACCGACTGGATTCACAAACAGACGGGCGGCCTCGGGCCAGATGCCCTTTACGATTGTCTGGGTAACGGCGGTGATGCAAATATGACAAGCATTTTAGTCAACACTTTGAAGAAGGGTGGTCGAGCAGTGTTAGCAGCAGGAGGTGCGGAGGGGGAAATAACTCAGGGGTACTTGAGGTTATGAGTCGAGACGTTGCGGTCCTTGGGACATTGTGGTTTAACAGCGCCGAGATCGACGAGCTCATTGCACTCATTGATGCTGGCGTCATCGACTTTTCTTTCCTCCGTCATGAGTTTTTCCCGTTGAGAAAGGTGAATGAGGCATTCAAGTTTGTGGGCGATCGTCCTGGAGGGGCTGTCAATGTGGTTGTCCAGCCTTCGAAGTAGAGAATGAGAGAGGGTAGTTGGGTTGGATGGATGAGAATTAGAGTTAGGATTAGAGTTAGGTCGGGACATAGAACTCACATAGAAACTTTTTTTTACTTTTCGGTGGGCTAGGGTCACTTCTTCTAATTGACAAGCGCGTACGTACTCTATAAGTGAGAAATCCACCACCCAACAGGGAAACATTCTGACTCACAGCCGAGCTGGGAAAAAGATATGCTGAGCGAAGATGTACCGCGTTTGCTGTAATTCTGAAAGAAGCACATACCATACCTCGAGGTCCAAGCTCGTAAGCTCAACAATCCTGCGATTGAAATAACTTCCAAATACATCGCCGCAAAGAGTTGAAATGGCATCTCGCTCGTGGCTTGTCTGGCAGGGGGTCTGGGCTCTGAGCTAATTGAAATTGGCGTGACTCATCCGAGGCTCACCCCCGTGAACCCAGGAGAACTCGCGGCAGGGCTCTCTTCAGACCATCGAAAGAGGCGACAGTCTGCTCAATAGAAAAGGCGCGTATTTTGTCTGCACCCAAACCGCGGACGGCATTCGTAAAAATGCTCTTGTCGGATCGATCACTACTAGACATAGGGAAGATACACGGCTCGATAGCGTTCGGGTAACGCCTTCATAATTTTTGGTCGACATCACGAGGCTGCCTCTCGATGTAACGGGGGAGAAGTCGCTGTACAGAAGGCCACTGACGTCCAGACTTCCACCATAGGCGGCACGGAAGTCTCGCTGTAGGATGTTTGTCGAGTGACCATCCAGATCCGGCCAGCATGGCGTTAGATTCAATCATACAGTACATACTAGTAGCACAATTTTATCATGCTAAAGAATTGAAGAAAAATCTTGAAGGGTTGATTTGATATTATATATTTGTAAGTGTGAAATAACAGGGAATTGTAAAGGTATCGTCACGTCGTCGGAACAACTTCATGTTTCAATCACTGATCAGATTTCATATCCAGATTACTCATTATCCTTCTATTACTCGTTCTGGATCTCCTTCTTATACCCCAATATGAGATCTCTTCCTAACTCTTCCCCTACGTAACCCTACATGAACCCCGTTTTCCGCTGACCCATCTCCGATAAGCTTGTCTTTCGATCCAGCTCTGATATTCAACCCTGACAATTTTGAAGAAGGTGTAAGGTTACCTACGACACTCTTTATCCTAACTATGCTTTCTTACTTCTAATTATCTTTATCACTTTTCTGTAATCTCCATATCTGCCTCTCGTTGCTCAAGCAATAACTTCATTACCTCTTTTCCACTCTTCCAATTCCCCATTACTACCTTTATCACCTCTTCTGTAGTTGCTGGAAGCTTATCTTCAATCAGTATCGAAACTAAATTACAACTACCATGTCTTTTAGCAAACTGGAGAAATTATCTGGTCGTGATTGCTTACTATATCGTATCTGAAGTTTGTCTGAACCTATACAGTTTCCTACAGATCAAAACAAGATACGATAAAAACAGTTATGCCTTTTTCAGTTTCAATATCTCTCAATCTTTCCATTAAATTCCAATTTATAGAATGATCATTAAGGTGCTTCTTGATTCAACTAACATATATCGTAATTGTGGATTTGAATTCAAATCGTTGGAGAGAAAGTGAAAGAGGTCCTTGAGTACACCTGCACTCCTTTGATCCCTTGTCGATTGGCAATACAAAGCCTAGTAGACCGTTGAATACTACTTAGATCATCGAAATAAGTTAAATTTGATAGATCTAATTCATAATTAGAAAGAAGCTTCTTGGTTGCTGGGTAGTTAGTAGCATTAAGGACATTTAAGAGATATATCTCAACTACTGGGGTATTGATTACTATATGAGTATATTCTAGCCGTTTCTTTAATAGTTCTCTTATTGATAGATAAAAAAATCGAAATTTGTCGAACGCTTGATCCTAAACAACCATATTAGAGTACTTGTGGGTTGGTTGACTATACAGCGAGAATTTCTTTATATATTAATCTCCGTTGGACATATAACAACAATCACAATACATATTATCAGCCAATAAAGAGCCCTGATATTAAATCAGTAAATCCAAATGAAGAGAAGGTTTTGTTGTATATTTAAAAAAAAGTACGGACGAATCTTTGTTGAGTGTCAAGAAAGATGATTGGTACTGTATATATCAAGAGCAAGAAGCAGATAAAGAGTGATTAGAAAGAACTCGCTTATGATCAGGTATCATACAACTGGGTTAAGGTTAAGTGAGGTACCTGGGGGCGGAAAACTCCGCATCAAAACTAATTAAGATTTTGTTAATTATAACAAGAACTATAATCAATAAAATCAATATTTATATATATATCAATACAAATCCTTCTCATAAATGTCCTCACACACCTCCCGATACAATTGATCAAGCTGGTAACTGGTAAAATGCAACCTCAAAAGTTTTCGGCTACAAAGATAAGTATTTCCGTTAGTGTATACCATTTCGTAGTAATGATCCAAGCTCTCGATCAATTTTTCGAACAACGAATCGTCAAGAGTATTCCACACTGCTTGTAAACAAGACTCTAACCTTTGCCTAGTATACTCTGTTTGGCTCTTGTCGCTGGCTTCCCTTGGGAACATTTCGTACAGTCATATTTTTAGGTGTTATCAGATATGTAGTTGAACGAGTTAGCTACTTTAAGTACCGGTTTCCTTACTTTGTGAGTCTTATCTAGAGCAATGTTGCGATCTACAACTATGTTTAGCTCAAGAAAGATACTCAGATATCCATGTTCATACCTAAAGTCCTGGTAAAATTTTGTCAAATCATTTTTCCGATGGATTGTTGATCCTTTCTGATATACTCAAGTTGTTATATCGATCTTTAGCACCTTGTCCAATACCGTCAAGGTCGAAGGCTGATTCTGTGCACAATCTTAACGTGATTCTTAAAGTGCTACAAGTGTTTGAGAACAAGACCTTCAGATCGACAAACAAGATGAGTACAGGATAGCTTTTGGAATTTTGGGATATCTTTTAAATGACTATCCATATAATTCATCATTTTATAAGGAGTAGCATAAGTCTGTGTCCGATACTCATAAGTACTTCGATCGTCTCCAACACATATAATATATTAGGTTCTCTTACAAAGAAGAGGAAAAGGATTTTCGTACAAAAGTTGCTTCTCAAAGAACTCCGAAGATGCTCTATTCGAATGGTTGCTATACTTAATTGCTTTTCCTTGTCAGCAGGAAAGTGCTACCATTAAATCAATAGCATAGATCCAACGCTTCACAACCTCATCTTTACTTATGTTTCTCTCAAGATTACATAGCACTTCTTGAACTCGAATTCGTTCTAGAAATTGGTGACAAACAATAGGTTCAACATATTTGTTCATAAGGATCTTCTTTAGTTGCCGTTCCAATTCTTCATCATAGATGCAATCGAAGTAATCTCGTCGGAACTCTATCTTGATTGCCCGATCATATTGTTTCTGTAAAGAATCAATCTGCCGATGGAGTTGTTTACATTATTTGCGGATCTGAGGTAGAGCTCGGCTGTAGTACCCAAATTGCTTCTTGTATTCTTCGCATTCTCTTGTAAGCTCCATTATCTCTGGATCGGGGGGAAATGCTTTCAGAATTTCTTCAGGCACATCGACCAAAGCACACAGATCACAAGTGAGACTTATATATGTAAATGCACAAAGGAATCCGATATTTGTTGGTTAATCTAACATTGTATCTTAAACGATGAACCAGACCTTTTCATTGATATAAGACCCACAAAAGATTCCTGTCTGGGGGTTATACTTTATCATCTGATCACATACAACAGTTGTGGCAGCCCCTACATAACATCAGCAAAAATATAAAGTATTTTCACAATTCTCTTACCATCTACAGCATTCCCAGTACCTCGACGGAAACAATAGCTAGTCAATTTCTGTACAAATCCGGCAGCCCAGCCAAAATGATCGAGGTAATAAGCGAAGGTTGAATAACAAAGCGCTTTGTATTTTGATATTGATAAACCATCAAATATCTATACTGTCTGCTGGAAAATGGGTACCTTGAGCTTTTCTGGCTTCCAATGTATTAGAACCACTTTTGTAGGATCTTATAGATTGTTTGTAAAAAATGATTCCATATAAGTAAATCCATCTACTTTGATTGCGTTATCCCTAATAGTAATGGCTAAAATATAGCTAATAGAACAAAGTATTGGCAAAACTTCTTTGTGGAAAAGGAAAATAGTTCTGCAAACATTATATTCGTTAACAAGACCAAAATACACAAGGCAAAAACATACGGAAAGTATACAATTTGGGTTTTCTATCAGCTCCCTTGTAGTAAACAAGAGTAATCTCTATTCCGAGAAGATTGTATTCGCTAGAGATAGGATTTCGAATGATTCAAAGATAGATATCTTCGTAGCAAAGTGCTTTGTATTCTCGTATAAGAATATCCTCGTGATCCTTGTTATTGTAATCGGAGTTCTTTGGATCGATCCAAGGCTCTGGATTCTCATATGTAGGATCATTATCTTTCGATCCATTCAGGCTCTCGCATCCATTATCCCAATTATCATCTTCATATGTTTGATCGCGATCGGTAGCAACCTTCCCCTTGGCTATATGAACCAGCTCGGTAGATCGACAACCAATATAGATCAAAAGAAGCATGATTATTACAAATGCCAAATGTTGGTCTTCGATCGGAAATATGGATATGTCCCGGGCCCAGTGATAAATAAGAAGGAGGATAAGATCATCTGCTCCCAGCACTAGCTTAACTGTTTTTTCTCGTCTCAAGCTGAATTCTTCCGTCAAGGTAGTAGTAAGATACTATAATGATATAATCAGGAATCTGTATCGAACAAGCAACAACAAAGTATATTATCATACCTTAAAAGCTTTTTTCGTATCATTTGTATCCATGTACTGTCCATTGATTCGATTGTAGAGCTGCTTGAACTGAAGCAGATATTGATGTGTAGAGTTGAATGTGCACACCCTCTAATTCTCACAGATATATCGGAGGAACATCATAATAGTCCCTTAATCGCATTTTCGAAAAGCTGCCCGCCAATATTGTTCGTCTCTGAATTCGCAGAATCTGATATTATATATTAGCTTCGTAGAGCGAAAATCGAGGTAGGCGATTGTTTCTTTACCTTTTCCACTTGCAGCATATGCCAGTGATGTTCTCCTTCGTCGCGTCTGCATCTTTCGATGCAAGAGGACCAGATCCATTCAGCTTTTGAATATTGATTTCATAGTCCTTTAATGTAAGCTTGGGTTTTTTGGTCTGTTGCTGAAGTTTGTTACGCCGTGTAACGAAATTCTGAAGATTTAGATTCTCTGAAGCGATATCACAAAGGCGGCGTTTTCTAGAAGTATTGGCTATAGTCGTTGGCTTCGGTGCTAGGAGAAAGAGGATAAATTAGAAAAGGGTTGAATGAGAATGAAGTATCACGAAGTGTATTGGTTTGAATGAGATGTTGAAGAGAGAAATAGGAAGGCCACGATTTAAATAAAATCAATACAACCGTATGACTGTATCTTCCCACAGCCATTTTGGCTCCCTCTTAATTAGAATGTTGATGCTGAGAATAGGAAACGGAAAATGGTTGATGGATGAGTACCATGATTTTGGTGGGGTGGAGGTTTGCACTGATGCATGTGAACGATGCCGTTAGTGCGTGCTGAAGGTGCGTAAAACAACGACGGAGCCCGCCGAATGCAGCGGCCAAAACACCTCGAACTTGCTTTATTGTATAAAAGATAAAGATTCTTTTGTAATTACTTCTAAGACAATTGATAAATATATAACTATAAGATATCTTTATTCATTTATTTTTTTATTCAATTAAATATCATATCCCAAAACTGGAATTTCTATTGCTGGATATGGTATATAGCCAGAATGATTTATAATTCCTTTTTCTTCTAATCTTACATCGATCTCAGTAAGTCTATTATCCTCCAAATCAACAACGTAACTGGATGGGATTCAACTATGCCTGCAAATATGAGCTCAAATACCGACAAAAGATGATTTAAGCTTTGGGTAACAAACATTATATCTTCAAAACTTATAGCTTCGGATTTGGTAAGAATATTATGCTTGAGTTCTAGTATATTGTTAGAAGGGTATGGTTGTACGCCACGGTCTGCAAGAAATAAGTATGTGATGTAATTACGTGCCCTATTCCACGTACAATGTTCCGTTGGATATAGCATTGGTACGATTCTGGGATTATATGACTATGCTGAGATCTTTGGATGTCAGGCTTAGTAGCTAGGTGATTATTATTACATCTAACGCTGAATTCGAGGTGGTATTTGATCGCTGAAAAGTTTCCAATTCACACACCCAGATCATCTGCCTAGATGAAACAAGCTAAAGATTCGAAGCTAGCATAATCACCAAAAGTTCCAGAACATTCCAACATCTGAGAACCACCCGAAAAATCAGAAATGAAAGTGTTCATGCTAGCCAACCCAGATTCAAAACATTCAAAAGCTAATCAAATGTCTGATATCAGCGGAGATGGCGGTTGCTCTACTAGAGCATCAGGATATCATAAAATAAGCAAACAAACTCACGGCGCCACAAACGCACGCACATCCAACAACAAAAAGAAGCAATAATAAAACCAACAACGGCAACGGACCGAAAACTTTCCGCTGGGAACCACACAACCCCTTTTTACCCCTCATCTCCAAACCAATTCAGTTTCATCACTACTTGCATGTCCCGTAAGAACAAGACAAGAAGCTCCAAATATATCAAAACTCGAGCCGCACATCAGATCGTTTGGAAAGAACAAAACTTTTTGTTTTCAGTAATTAAATGATTGTGTTCTCTAACTCTATGAGAGAAGTTTCAGTGTGGGTGTACGAGAACAGTGAAAGAAGAAGTACAGAAGTCATCCTACATGTTCTCTTTGCATGTCTTGGAACACGTGCCACGGCATCCGACGCCAAAATAATTAAACTTCTTTGATGCATTTGTTGCATTGCAGGTAAGGAATTTATACTGTGCATGCATGTCACGCACGTTTTTCGGTTCCCTCTTTTTTTTGGATGCTTATTTCATCTCAAGCCGGAAGGACTGTAGCGCACGTACCCTTCTTATTGTCGACTTTTAAAATGCTTAGGTAGGTATTTGGAAGTAACCTTTCGAGTTGAAGCTTCTTGAAAGAAGCCGTGGAATTGTAGGTATGAGCAGAAGGAAGAAGTTGTGCGTTGTGATTGGAGGTTATTTGAAGGAGAGGTGTCAGGTTGTGTAAGCGCCGAAGGACAATAGAGTGAGGTTTGTTAACCGCAAAGATTGGTTGGTTTGAACACCACATACGCATGGTGATTGGCGACATGTGGAAAAGGAAATAATGAGCCCATTCTCAAATGAGTGTGATGGAGAGATCTGTAGTTCTTGACCTGCAATTTGAGTTGTTGATATACTATACAAAGTATGATTTATCCCTCGTCAAGCTTTAAAGACCAGGCGGGAACTACGATCGGATGGCTTTCTCGGGAAGATTTGCGAGATAGAGTTTCTAGATGGCAAAAGAGGCGAGGGAGTAAGGTGGATGACATGTGACACAGGCGGTTTGATAACAAGGGGAATTCTGCTAAAGTGGAGATACGGTGAAGATAAAGTTTGGAATCTTGACAGCAGTGGTGGGGACATTATTGAGAACGGACGTTTGATGATGGATGGATTTAAGGGCCAACAATATTCCGAATGAGATCTTTCCAAAGTAGAGTATCATTCTGTTTGAAATGAAGATCCAAAAGACCGGGATTGTGGAGATGTTGTGATGTATGTAGATGTATGTAGATGTAGCTAGATGTAGCTTCGAGGCAACTCAAGTATACCTACCTACCTATCTATGTATCAAAGTTATGCTATATCAAAAAATGGGATTTCTTGGCTGATTAAGGTTAAGTATATCCTTTAATAAAGAATTGGAGACGAAAGTACTCTCCCCAGCCACGTTTGTCGCCAATATCCAATGTTCCATATTCCATATCCAATATCTGGATTTTCTGTAGCTTTTGAAGGAATATTCGGAGTAGGTAATCTTCGGTGTCGGAATTTGATTTGAAACACGTTCTGTTCTCGTGATGGATGGATGATTTCACATCTTTCTCTTTTTATAGAAGCGGTGTAAGCAAATCATGATGATGGAGGGTATTGATAATGATGTTTGGAACTTTGGATTAATCACATGTGGTCGGTTGTTATTTATAATTACTTATTATTTCAAGATTGAGGTTATGCGTTGTCCCAATAAAATGATTTCTGGTTGGTATACAAATACAATGTCTTGGCTTATCTTCCTAGTAAGCATAGGTAACTCTTTCTATCCTATCCTCCATCGTCATATCCTCGATCCTCATATTCTCATGTCCTCATATATAATCCAGCTTCCATCTAATATGGAAAGATGATTCTAGATATAAAAGTGTAAAAGTATAAAAAGTACCTACTTATCTACAGCATCTCGAATATTTCATTGTCTCAACATCAAGGGGAAGAGCGGGATTGTTTAATCTGTACCTACATAGGAATCAGGTAGATACATTTTGCCATATGCAGAGAAATCCCATTGCAGAATCATCCATCATCCACCAAATATATCTTTGCTGCGTAGTCTAGTATCGCCACCAAATCTGTTGCAGCTTAGTAAAAGAGATGATCCGTCTTCTTGCAGAACTTCGCCCCTCTTCTCCCCGAACTTATCAAGGCTCATCTAATAAAATATATAATACTCGGTACGGAGCACCGGGGAGTATATTATCATTTATTACTGTATGTGTACATGATGATAATTCTAGCTTTAGAATCAGCCGCTGTGTTCACTACGGAGTACCTACTCACTCATCACCCCTTGATAGTTCCAAATCTGCTCCCGTACCGTACCGTAGCCTTTGCCTTAGCCTTAGCTAGTGAGTACATAGGACCTCTTTCAGCCATAGCCATAGCAATAGTCTAGCCAGAATGAAAGAAGAGGATCTCATTCTTGAATATCGACGGATTGACTTGGTTGAGCCGATCAAGCAAAGAATTAGCAGAATTAGCAGAATTAGCAAAATACCAAGAGCCAAGAACTTCTCTGGTGTACAAGAAACGAAGCCACCAAAAAACAATCCGAACGTTCAATGCACAAGTGGTTCCATACATAATCAATCTTATTACAACAGCTGTAGAGATTCTAACTACGACAACTCCAAGACAATCCGATATAACGAATTCCTCAACCTCCTCACCACCAGGCAAAACAACACCATTCACAGCAATTGATATACATTGATCCCATACATACATACCTCACTGCCTTTACCTTTTCTGTTTCATGGATATTGAATGGTAAAGCATATAGAAAAGGATTATTATTAGTATTACTATTATGATTATTCTAACCAGCACAATACAATCAATCAATACATACCTTCATACCTCTGACCCATTTTGGTTTTGACTTTGTTTCTTCTTCCAAGTACTCGGTCATCATTCAAACATTCAGCCTTCTTTCCAAACTTCCTCTTACCGTTCGTCTCGGACTTAGCCTCATGAATGGTTAGCATGGTATCGCATAGTGTCGTTTTATATCATCATATCAGCTCCATCTCCATCTGCATCTGTTAGAGCGCGCCTACCTCGCAATTTCGTCCAAACCCACAATTATAACCCGGCCAAAGACCCGTCCATCATAATAATAAGTTTGAAGAGAGGAACCCCCATCATCAACTGTAATCAAAGCACGGTCGTTTTCGTTATAAAGCAATCAATCAATTTAATCAATCAGTCAATCAATCAATCAATCAATAATAATTCGAGTAAAGCAAAAAGTAAATTGATTTGCTACAAGGAATCCATTCTACCTACCTTGCAGGTTTATTCCTGTGTACGGCCGTCTTATCCAAGGAAAACCTCCCAAGAGACAATAATTCCTCAAGGGCCAAAAAGGCAAAAAGGCAAGGGGACCGAAGCAATCCAGAAATTCCCTTCTTTACTACTTGGACCTATTACTCTACTACTCTACGTTTCTAGTAGGTATAGGTATTCATTCACGACTAATTACTTCTCTTCTTCCACATCCTCCTCAACTCTCTTTCGACGACGGACTTAACAACACAATCTGGCGGTACAGTACGACAACACCAAGCTTGACCATTCTTCCAATCCATCATCCATCACTGTTTTGGAGAGAATTGAACAATAATTCTCCAGCTTATCAAGCAATTTGATGTTGGATTAGAATTTAAGTTCTTATTATCAAAAGAAAATAAATATATAAAAAAAGGGGGGAAGAAAAAAAGAGGTTCAATTTCAAAATTATATACAGCGCCCTCGGATTTCTCAGCTACTAGTCTGTCTAGTAGTCAAGCAGAGCGCTTGGATTAGTTAAAATAGACCCGCGACAACGGCCACCAATCTCTCTTTCCTTCTCCTGCTTTCTCATACTCGACCATCTCGATTCGATTCATAACCCAGTTAGCTACCTACCCATTCACAACAAACCACGCACACGAAAGGGAAAATCTTCCATTACACACACACACGCACGCACACACACACACATACGCATCTTCTCATCGCTCATCACTCACTCATCAACTTCATCACTCATCACCCATCGCCCATCAAGAGTAATTCGAGTCGAGTCTCTTGGTCATTTTCAATTCTATACGTAACACATTTTTCCGACGCTTGTACAATACTTTGGATTATCAATGACGATTCAGTGATTACTGTCTCACTTCTGGCTCGCGACATCTTCTTCCCTTTAAGATTTCAGCTTATAGTCCAACTTCACACCATTCATCCATTATACATCAACAAAGAGTCCAAACATTCTCGAATACTTGCATTCGAAAATCCGCAAGTATCCTACTATCACTCAGCTACCCCATCAATCCATCAAACTATATCGTGGTATTACGGTAACATCTTAAATATAATCCCATCTTGTGGCAGGATCGCCTCCGAAATACTTTGATCGAAAGATAATCCCTTTTTTTCCATCAACCGCCGTCTGCGGATCAACTGCAATATGAGAGAAGTCAATTTCAGTATTCCAAATGTCAATAAGGCTTCGGTCGGTATCACGACAGCTTTGTACGATCGTCGAGCCCTTGATTGTACTTCAACACTACCTTTGATCAATTCGCTCAATCATCTTGCCTATCTCACCACTTCATCCGCCAGAATTAGAGATATCCTTACGGTCGATGGTGGTGTCGAAAGATTGGTCTGCCTTCTTAAGGCTGGGAGAAGCAAAGATATGATGGACATGTGGAAATGGAATCTGGCATTCCAATGCGTTGTCAATATTGGTGTACGAGGCTCCGAAAATGTTCGAACCAGGGTCGTCGAAGCGGATATGGTTCCAGTTATCGCAACAATTCTTGATAATTACATCAAAGTGGTTGACAGATGCAGAGAGAAAGCCGAAGAAGCTAAACAGAAAGCTTTGCTTGAACATAGACATCAGACCGGGCGATCAGGAGACCATCGAAGTACACACAAGGGACCTTCATTCGGCAATCGAGCATCGCGATTTGAATCCGAGTTTCGAGCATCAAGACGTCAACCACCTCCACCTTCTATCGATATCCCCTCTAATTTCTCGGGTGCTCCATTGACAGCTGGTTCAGATGCCATGGATATTACACCAACTGGGCCTCAATTCGCTCTTACATCTCCTCCGGAGCGAACCACATTCTCCGCCCACAGACATCATCATAGAAACCAAGATGCGAGGCAGCACTTCTTGTCACCACGCCATAATATCCAACCACTTGCGACTGCAGTTCCTTCTATGGATGCAGCTGATGGATTTAACATCAGACCTGTTAGAGATGTTGACCGTTTACCATCAATGGTACCAGGATTTCAAGGCGGCCTAACATCTCAACCCGAATCTCCAACAACTCCTCTACCTGCACAAATTCGGTCTCCTACTGTTCGAACCACATCAATGTCCGTCGGTACACCTAGATCACGGAGACGTCCATCCATTAGGCATCAAGCTTCGACTGCTGCCGATACAGAAGACATGAACGCTGATAGCATGGCTTCTGATGAATCTGGTGAACCAGATATCACCGGTGTAAGCACAGCAGAAATTCAATCTACAAATGTCAACATTCAGGATGTTAACATGGATGAGAACGATTCTATGCTCACAGCCGTCGAAACACCACTTGGCCTTACCACTCCCACTGTTTCCGAAGCACAGGATGCCGGAACATTCAACATCACCCACCGATCTGCCATTGATGGCAGCATGATTAATGACGCTACAACCCCAACTGGGCCCACAATCGGCCTCTCACCAGCTCAACCCGCAACCGTTAATACACCTCCTACCATGCTTCCTACGACAATCCCTAGATATTTCTTAGATAGACCAACGCCACCACAAGGACAAGTTTTGGCTGCTATGCCAAGAGATGAAGATGTCTTGATGTCTCTTCAACTTTTAGCATACGTTTCCAAATACTGCAACTTGAGATCTTACTTTCAACAATCTCATCTCGTTCCAAAACTTAAGATCGGCTCCGAACTTCACCTACTCGACGTTGAGGAGAATGCCTCCTCTAATGCTAATCCCTCAACCGCATGCTCCTCTCACTCTCACGATGACGAAGAAGAATATTTACTTCCAGACGATTTCAATATTTTCCCATTGGTTGAAAAGTTTACAGTCAGACATCATAGTCAAGATATGCAATACTGGGCAGGAGTTGTTATGAGGAATTTATGCCGAAAGGATGATGCTCGAGGAGGCATCAGACAATGCGCATATTATCAATGCGGGAAGTGGGAAGAATATACCAGGCAATTCGCAAAATGCAGAAGATGTAGAAGAACAAAATACTGCAGCAAAGAATGTCAAAAGAGTGCATGGGTATTTCATCGACATTGGTGTGTTCAAGCATCTCAATGATCATACCACTCACCAAAATTAGCGGATTTTTTTTTCGTAGCTATCAGCTATAAATTAACAGAAGAGGGAGCCCAATTCTATAATGTCTTTATGACACCAGCGAACTCAATCGAGGTTTCTTATGTCAAATCATATCAGCAACATCAGCATATTCCATGGCGTTTCTAATACCATAGGTGGTTTCAATATGATACCTCTGCAGCATGCAAATTCGAAATCAAGATGATTGATTTTCGTCGACAATTTTTTTCATTTTACGCTTGTTTATCACATCCTCCAATAAGATTATCTCGATTCGATTCGCAAGCGGCATAAAAATATGAATATGATAGCATACGATTCGAATGATGAACGAATGGAGCACGAATTTCTTTTGTTATACCTTTTCTGGCATACCTTTTCTTTTTCTTGAGAACTCGACTTACCTCTGAAACCTTTTCATACAACCAGCCAAAAATGGTGGAAAGGCTTGGATGATATGTTATGATTAAATTCATTTCATCACCACCTCTTTGATTAACCTTACGCCACATTTCTATCAATACCTCTTCCATCCTCGATCTAATCTTCTCTTGGGAAAGCTTCAATCGACTTGACTTTAATATTTTTCATTTGGATCTTCATGTGTGATGGGATAGGGAGTTGGACGACTTTGATTACGTCTTTGGGGATCTCTTGAGTGGATGGCAGGGAGCGTTGATGGTTTTGAAGGAATGATTGGGATCGATGCATATGTTGGGGCGAAAGTGAGAGGTGCAGTGGAGTTTTTCTTTTTTTTAAGCATCTTTTACATGGTGCGCAAGAGATATCACATTGGATGGGGGGTTGAATGAGATAAGACGGGAAGAAAAAAGAGTGAATGGGGTTGAAGGTTGGAAATTGGTTGAAGGTTTGAAATGGGATGATAGGGATAGGATGGGATGGAGATAGAGGTGAAGGAAGGGATGAAGGGGTGGAAAGGAAAAGAAAGGACGGAAAAGAAAGGGAAAGGGAAAGGGAAAGGGAGAATGAATACCATACCATATATCGCATAATGCTTTTTTGGCAGGCGTGTAGGCAGAAGATGAAAATGGATACCAGATTAAGTTTATGAAGCGAATAATCAATCATAATGATTGTAAAAAGATATGTGACGATTTATTTAATAGTGAATGTGTATATGAAAGGATGAGTGTATGATAGTATAAGAGATGGGACTCGGATGGGATGAGATGAGATGAGGTGTTTGAGTTGTATAAATACGGAGATGTTATAGTGAATAGGGACGGGGATAGGGATGGAGAGGGATGAAGTATAAGAAATAAGATGGGCGGATATAAGTAGGAATGGATTATTAGTGAGAAGATGAGAAGTATTAAGTGTTAAATAATAAAGAGAGAGCCTTTTTTTGGTAATTGTAAGTGAAGGGGTAGGGGGGCGGAGTAGAGTAAAATAAAATAAAAAGAATATAAATGTAACGATACTGTACTGGAGGCAGCGGCTGCCTGAGGTTTCATCTGGTTGGTAGTTGTAGGTTAAGGCTTTTTCATGTTACCAGGTTTGCCGTCTAGATCACGTGGAAGTGCTCTAGGCTCTCGAGGTGGTTTATAACTAGGCGTCAAGCAGGGACTTCATGTAACGATACTGTACTAAAGGCAGCGGCTGCCTAAGGTTCGTCGGTTGGTAGTTATAGGTTAAGGCTTTATCACTGGTATTCACTTGAAAGTGAATTCGTTACTAGATCAAATAGAATGTAGGTAAACTAATTGATAACTAAGTTGAGCACGAAGCTCCTGGGGCTCCTTATCACGTGATTTCTGATGGTGCGTGCATACACGATCTTCAGGTGACCAAGATCACATACTAATTCGATGAAATCTAATTGTGTTTGCACAAGGCCTAAGCTCTCCTAATTAATCAGTTTGCTACCATCGTAACACCATCAATCCTAATGGTGAATCGTGACACTATCTCTCTAAAAGAGGATACCAAAGAATAATCGAAAGTCCTAGATTTAATCGAAATATTTCGTGAATATCTTGAAAAAGGGAAAACTTATAAAAGCCTCAAATATCATCATTTCACAAATCTCCTATCTAGAAAATGCTATTAAACGGATCGAAAAGCAAGCCAACCATCTTTCAAACCTTCCTAATCATATAATCCCCTCTACAATAAACACCCTTGGAACCAAAGCCAACTACATCATTATCATCAAAACCTCAGGAGTATAGAACCTAATTACAAAGGGAAAACCTACAAAACAGAAAACTATAGAACAAAAGGAAGATGTTGGTACGAGAAGGATACGGAAGACGTAGCACCCACGGATTACGTAGGTCCTGTATATCTAATTGTATTCTGTCTAAAGAGCTAGCTACATATTGAAAGTAGTAAGTCTTATATAGACTTACTAAAAGAGCTAGTCTCTTTCGCGTTCGCTTAGTTCTTTATTACAGTAGTAATTAAATTGAAGTCATTCACTTCGTTCACACAGAAGAAGCCCTAAACAAACGACTAATCCTCATCAAACCCCTTATTTATCAATTATACTCTTTTATACTATTAAATACAAGGAATAAAGTCAACGAAGCCTTCAAGAAAGCAGGAATCAATGGATTAATCATCTCAGTTATCATTACTACAAGAAGCGGCAATTTTATACCAATCATTAACAACCCTTTCAATATACAATTCCTGATGGAAAAGAAGGAAATCTGGGATTGTCTATAATGGTGAGCTCCTAGGAGTTACTAAAGCGATCGAATACGCAAATTCAATAGCCCAACCAGGAAACAAGTTCAAGATATACTCAGATAATCAAGCAGGATTATTCCGATTGAAAACCCCCTCCGATTTACCTGGTCAATCATGCCAAATCAAAGCTATAAAAGCTGCGGAAGCTATTCAAAATAAAGGAGCCGAAATCTCTCTCAATTGGGTCCTCAAATATATATCTGTACAAGGAAATAAACTAGCTGATTTTCTTGTAAAAGAGGCGATTAAAATACCATCCTCATCTTACAAAACCAATTATACCTTTATTAGAATGAATATAAAAAGAATGAAATCCGAGAACTGGATAACCATCCTTAACATTAACAATTTTCATCAACTATCATCAACATATTCAAGAAATTACCCTTGGAAGATCAGCTCAAAAATCAAAATTCCAGGAAACATCAAAAGAAGCACAATCTATATTCTGTTCCAACTCAAAATTGGATACGGATACTTCAAATCTTATTTGAAACGATTCGGAATCTCCTCTAATGATAATTATAAATATGAAGGAAAGGAATCTCTTGATTATTTTCTGCTCAATTGTTCTATATACAAAACAACAAAGAAAACCCTCAAAGATAACTGTGTGAACGAAGTGAATGACTTCAATTTAATTACTACTGTAATAAAGAACTAAGCGAACGCGAAAGAGACTAGCTCTTTTAGTAAGTCTATATAAGACTTACTACTTTCAATATGTAGCTAGCTCTTTAGACAGAATACAATTAGACATACAGGACCTACGTAATCCGTGGGTGCTACGTCTTCCGTATCCTTCTCGTACCAACACCATCCAATACTAATATTCGATATTTGCCCTTTCTTCGTTGACTAGTACGCTTATCGAAGTACTTTAATCATTCTAAACCTATCTCATTATTCGTCCATCTATTAGAAATAGGTTTAATAACCCAATCTGCCGGAAAATCACTCTTTATATACCAATTAGAAAAATGATATTGTCCTTGCACCACTAAAAATGGTGGTATAGTTTCACCCTCTCCATTACCATATATAATCGCTGTAGCCTACTCTCGATTGCCTAATTGTATTGCCTTGCTTCTGCCACTTCGTTCAACACTAATTACAATCATTCCGGAGCATATTATACCCATTATAAAGCCTATTTCATCAAAGTTATAGAAATCGCAATCCTGAATCCCATATTTTGCCTGTATATTCGATACCAATCGAAACCACTCTCTAATAAGCTCTAGATCTTCGCAAAGAGCTTTTTGAAAGTTATAAATATAATTAAAACGCATCTTTAGTTCTGAATATCGTTTTACAAAGCGATGAGCCCAGAGCTTTCCAACCTTTTTTGCACCCTGTGTTTCGAGCATATAATTCGCCATATCTTCCACACTATTTAATTTAGGGGCAAATCCTCTATCGTCCATATCAATAATGTATTGAATAAGTACCTCCTCTTCTAATTAAATCAAATTATGACTTTTTGGTCGACTTTCAGCCATATTACTACAACCTTGAATTCTGTCGAATAATGTAGATCGAGGCACACTATAGTAATTAGCAGCCTTTCGAATCGTCGATCTTTTGTTTGATTCAATAGCCTCAATAGCCAGGATTATTCGTGCTTCTTTTGAATGAATTTCCATTAATAACTATTGAATAAATGCGTTTGTAAAGTTATTAATAGATGAAAATAGTGGTTTTTGATGTAAAAAAATACTTCAAAAGGGGGGGTAGTCCAAAAATAGAATACTAGACTTAACTTAAGAGTATTTCATCGTCTATAATCTGGATACAGTCAGGGGATGTTCCTTCTATTACATCTTACTTGAAAGGATCAGCTTCAGGTATTTCCTCATAACGAAGTTTATCAAAATAATGAAATGCAGAATCCAACGACTAGGTTATCGGACAATTAATACCAAATACAATTGAAAGCTATGCAGCCAAAGAATAGATTTTAATCAACGTCTTCAATACAGAGCTCTATTCACAAAAAGACGTCCTTCCTCGAGGGCGGCCTGGTACCACGTAATCCTATCCTTGAATTTTCGTTCTCTGGTCACGAGCTAATAACCTCCGCTGTAATATTGAACCAGAAGAAATAAAACAAAGTGGAAGCGATTGCAAGTTACAAAGGGAATTCAGATACAAGAACTCGGCTGTAATCTAAAATAAAAGCATGATGGTGGAAATGATCATGAGATAAGCTTTCATGATAGCATGGTGTTGACCTCCTGGGATCTTGGCAGCATATGCATATATAGTACATATGCATATAAGGAGCAAACAAAACTCAACTTTTAATTCATTCTTTCCTTTTTGGTATACTGTTTGTTTGCTTTCAATATTTTGATTTCAAAGCACTTTAATTCCGAAGGCCGAATACCCAACCTATTCCTTCATTTTTTTTGAATAGATGCTCGCAGCTTAACTGCTTAGCTAGAGAATCAATCAATTCAATCTGATGCTCTTTCTAGTCTCAAGTAACCCAACACATGGGCCTTCTATCCGTGGTGGAACAATCGATGATTTCTACTCGGGCTCGAAATCAGGATTTCCTGCGGAAAAGGATTTTGGTTCGAGGATGTGGAAGTAACATGTGGTTCCATGCAAAACACTCTGGCAGGTTAGGGTTCTCGAGCTTGAATTCGTACGAGGTGATGAACTCGGCGAGTATCATTTTGGACGTTACGCTGACGAAGTATCTACCAGTGCTATATGTAAAGACACGATTAATAACGGGCATCGCAAAGGTAAGGGGAAGGAAGAATGTGAATATTTGGTGAATTTACGTTGAGGGATCCTTAGAATATAAAATTGCACTAGGAGTATAGGAAGTATTTAACAAAAGACATGACTGGAATTAAAGTGTCTTACCAAGGTCTCTTGGGTCCGCTCCAATATAGAAAATTGTGGCTTGGCGTCGTGAATTTAGATGCATGCACTTCTTCTACAGATGCCTCTGGGCTAGGAACAAACCTGAAAGGGTCAAATGTATGTGGCGATGAATAATTCGCTTCATCCAGGTTCATAACGTGCTGTGGGGCACATATCCAATTGTTTTTGGGCACATGGGTGCCATCGGCAAAGGTAAAGGGTTTTAGAACTTTTCGTGCCATTGTGACTAGATCAACGTCAGTGCCGAAACGACTTTACGTGAATTGAGAACTGGGGAACTTGAAAGGGACAGGATCTGTGCCGATCAAGCGGGGAAGATATTGGGTTAGATATACATGAGAGTAGTGGCTGAAGTCTTGATGTTTCCTTGAGAAAACTGTCCATGAGAATCATGGAGTCATACTTCGCCTCGTTTTCCGGTTCGTGTTCCAGACGTATTATCTCCTCTTTGAGAGGTTTGAGGTATTCGGGATATTTACACAAATACATGAGCGCAAAGCTGATGAGCTGGAAAATTGTTAAGCGTTAGGTTTGATCTTTCTTGGGACAGATCTTCGCATACCATAGGTGGTGCATTAGCACCAGCAAAGAAAAATAGCATAGTGTGCTGTCCTAGTCGCTCAATCATTTGAGGCGTCTTCCTGCGAGTGGAGTCTAGCATCCACTGCAGCATATCAACCTGTCGAATGAATAAGCTCCAAGATCTTCCGCCTGATAATATTTTCAGACGCTGATTGTACTTACAGGTTTCTCATCGGTTTTTCCATCGTTTGATATGCGCTCCCAAAGTAGTTCCATGATCCTCCCATAAATCATCTCTTTGGCACCGTCCCACTCCATCAAAATTCTACCAATAACTCTATATATTGCAAAATCAGATGAGGTATTACTGAGACTAGAAGATTTCAAACCTTACTCGCCAATTAGAAATGGAGTCCACCGCAAAATTTCTTGTGCAAAGCGTGAGTTACGGATGAACCTCGTCACATTTCTCGAAAATGTTGGGTCATCGGCTGAGTAGGTTTAGCTCGATGAATTTAAAGCTTTAATATATAGTTAATTAGACATACCCAGTTCTTTGCCAACCATGACAACGTTGGTGAGCCTTTCGAATAAATGTTGGGAAAGTGTGAATGGTTGTTTTTTTATCCATCCTGCACTTTGATTAGTGCAAGCTTAAACATGGTCTGATGGTAACCAACCAGAATTATTTGTTGCATTTTCAAACTCCTGTTCAAACACGAGACTAACCTCGCTTTTCAGCAATGGGATAACAGAGTGAATGTTCTTCTTGAATAGCACTCGTAAGCTATGGACAGGAATCGTGTGTCGTGGATCTTTTGGATCAAACTTGAAGCCGTGGAAGATGATGTGTGTGGCTAGTTGCTACAGACAATGGAATTCATAAGTCAATATAGCGGGAAAATCTTGAATTTAGTCCAAACTGACCTGTTCCACAATCGGATTGAATGAAAGCTGGTCCTGGGGGGCACGTTCGACCTCGTCAAGTTGTTGCGCATTTGTGATGAATGTTTTATATTTGCCAATGCCGGGTATAGTAAACGGTTTCCCATCAGCCTAGCCCTCGTTAGTTGTTATACAGATGATTATTCAAAAACAGGTAGGCTCACCTCGGCATAAGCGTGTCTGATATGATCTGAAGCAACGACGTGGTCAAATATGCTGGTGAACCATTGTCCAAGGAAACCAGGTGCCCGAGCCCAAATGAATGAATTCTGGTAAGAATAAGTCAAGCTAATACTCAAATGTTTTTCTTCCAACTTACCGGCCGTCGAAAGAGATAAATCCCCACTATATGGTGGAGTTGGAGGAAGATAAGTAGGAACGCAAGTGTAGCTAACCCGTCCCAATATGAGATGCATATTCCCGAGAATCTCTCATCGCTCAAAGCTTGAGTTATGAGCGCCGCAAGAAAGTTTGTTACTTTGAGCATGTTGAAATTTAAAAGATACGAAAAGTATCAATACAGGATTCTTGATGCTGGAAGACCTGTATGTTGAGGTGAGCGTATGCCCACTATATAGTCGACAAACTCCCATATAAAGGCATAAGGCGAACAGGTGACAGGAATGTTCTATTCTAATATTAGAACCTTCGGTTGTGAGAATTCTTTTTTTAAGAACAGTTTCGTGTGGGTCAGTATAAAGGCTGAAAGGAATGCAAGTTGGAGGCAATTGTGTGCTGTTTAGGAAGGTGACATATGACCGGCTACTAAAAACTTGAAAATCAAGATTGGGGGATTTTTTTAAGTAGCCTTGCACTTAGGTAGCTGCAAGTTGGTAGCACTCGGTCTATATTTGTAATGTTAAAAAACTGTTATGCTGGAAACCACCAGTATAGGATGTTGGCTCTCGTCCAAACAGGTCCACTACCTCTTTTGTGATGTTCTCATTATGCGTCATTTATGCGGTAAGAACGCCAAAATGTGGGGAGAGCTCTTCAGTAGCGGCTGTCGAATCTACATTCGACATTTCAAAAATACCGAGTAAAGCCACAGCTGCTGGGGGTACGTCAAATGGAGGCTGTGTGGCACAAAATTGGAATGTGGTCTGCCATCCCATATATGTGCATGCTGTAACATCCTGCAAGATCAATACCTTCGACAATATCGCAAACACACTATCTTTAGCACTTGCTCAAGATTGATCCGAGAAGATCTAGGAATTTAGGGCTCTATATGGAACCAGGTTAAAGAATGGCGCAGATAACAGGGGTTCTAAAAATACTATATCCATAATTCTACGCTCTTGACTTGGTGACTCATTCTTCTAGAACTCATAAGCTCCCGCCTTAAACTTGAATGTAGAAATTTCGAGAAAGAGCTGTTTCAGGCATGTAACTTGGTCAGAAATCTCAGAAATTTCGAGAGGCACAGCCGGCACACGACACGTTTTAACTGCCAAACCTATTGAGATTGGTAAAACGAATTCTTCAAATCTAGCTATGGATTGGTCCAATTTTATCGTGCTCTGAAGGCATGTATGATGAATACGCTTTGTAAATAACTGCCTGGGTATTTCAAGTAGATTTGAAACCATCTATGACAGCCTGAATCTGAATGTTTTTATAGTATAGAAAACTGTGCTCCCATAATGATACTACAACTGTATCATTAGCAACTATAACAACAATGAGCTCCATATCTAAAAGAATTTTACATAGTAGTAAGAATAGAAACTGGTATTACACCATTCGAATGGTACAGATAACCCTAGATAACCTCGGTCCTTTACTTCTGACGAAGGCTGACAAGAACATCTTCTCCTTTCTTAGGTGGTAGGACACCCAAAGCGAGCATGGTCGTATCAACTTTGGGGAAGGGTTGAGCTTCAGATCCATTTTTAGCACCGTCCAGTTCAACCTCGAAGCGAGAGAGGACGAGAGCTACACAAACAAGAATCTCCTTCATTGCCAGCCAACGACCGGGACAATGAGTAATTCCGCCTCCAAAGGGCCTGAAGCTATTACTCTTATTTAACTTCTTATTTCTTAAAAAGCGTTCTGGATCAAATTGATCGACGTTTGTGCCGAAGGCCAAAGGATCAAAATGCAATTGACGGGTCGGCGCAAACACTTTGGCACCTTTTCGCAAGATGACTTTTCCCATTTTAGTGTCAGCTAAAACATCGCGTACAGTGACAGATGAAGTGTTCATGCGAAGGACTTCTTCATATGTGGCTACAAGACGGGGGCATGCTTCAAGACGGCTATCAAGACCTTCTAATCCGACAGCTACTGCAGGCTCGACCTCGGTGAGAATTGATTTGTGCAGAGCGGAGTCAAATAGAATGTAGGATAAAACCCAAAACAAATGCTTGTAAGCATTTCCGTTTATACTAAATAAGTACTGTTCTTAGCATGCTATTTCGACATTTGATATTTTGCACGGAAATTCAGGGGAGAGCTTTAGCAGGGAAAATCTTACGTCCAGAACGGCCCAAAGAAAAATGAAGCTATGTCTTCCTCACTAATTCCAGCGCCCCTTAATTCGTTCTCCAGAGCGTGAAGTATCCAAGCTGCATCACTTCTGCGCTCACTAGGGAGTTGAATGTAGCGTAGCATCACTGATCGAATTTCATCTTTCGCATCGTAGACGTCCGGCGCCACAAGTCTTGGAAGCTCATAGTTCATCTTCCAGCTGTTATCATCGAACTTTCGATAAATTTCGCTGAGATTAGGCTCGACTTCGTACAGTACGTTGCCAAAAACTGCGGTTGATACAGGTTTCACCAACATCTCGTGGCAGAATGCCAAAAGCGAGACTTTTTTGGTGCTCTGAATCGTCGAGATGACGGCTTTTTGTGATAGTTTGTCCCATTGAATAACTTCGCTAATCTTCATTTGAATTGAGTTGAACAGGGGCTGAAGGTGTCCACCAGGCTGGAGTTGCTGTTTGAAAAAGTCTTCACCGGCGTGTGCAAGAACTTTCTTCTGGCTTTTGGCCTGTTTGGTGAACATGATTTCGATAGCCTCAGGAGTCACACCTTCTTTCTTGAAGAAATCTTTGATGAATCCATCAAATGTAAGTGTTGATGTGCTTTTGTATAAGGTTGGTAAATCTTCCGGGTTCGTGACCACATATATTTGCTGTCCCATGATTGTAATAGCGAATGGCTCGCGGGTATTGCCAAAGTATTCTCTGGAAAGGAGTCAAAGTGTGACACGAAAACACGGAACGTGGTTCTAAATAAACTTACCTTGCCCTCTTGAACAAGCTTTGGCTATCCCTCAGAAACGCGGGAGCTTGACCTTTGGCATTGATTAGCAAGGTGCAGGTTATACACAGCTAATGTAGAGAATCAGAATCACCAAGTACTAGGGCACCTGTTAGTATACCAAGTCCCCCCCAGCTACGTGAGAATGAAAACATACCTGGGATGAAATAAGGGTATTCCTTTGGATCTTCCGGATACAGTGCTGGCTTCAAGGTAAACTTCCAGAATCTCCACGTTGCCCACGTGATTGCGACAGCAAGGAAGGAAGAGGAAAAATGAAAGGGGATCGATGCGAGCTCGAGCTCATTGCCATTGTGACCAAGATAATGGCCCAGAAACTGATTGATTGTCTTGGAAAACATTATTGCGGGAATAAACGATGTTCGATGTGTATCAAAGAGGTTGAGAGTGTAGACTACAATTGACAGCAGAAAGTGGGCGATGAAGTTGTAAAAATTGTAGTTACATCAATGGCACACACCATGCTTCAGGAGGTTTGAAAAAGCGGCGGTGCAAACAAGTAATCCAATTTGGAAATAAGCAAGGATAAGTAAGGATAAGGAGGTGATTGGGTAAGATATGAAGGGTTGGTTCGCGAGTTCAATGCTTACGTGGGGCAATGTAACCTTCTGAGGCCGAGTATCTTGTAATAGCAAATGTTTGATTGTCAATAGGTAAATAGACCGTAGCTAGCACTTGTCCGCTCGTGTGCGGCGAAGCTGGATGCAGTGTTGGTTGCAGTGTTGGTTGTAATATTGAATGCAAATCCTGGGCGCAGGATATGAGAAGATAAGAAGGCTATCCTCAGGCCGGATATTATAGCCGTATGATGTTTTACCGCTGGTGACCATCAGGTGTTTGCTAAAAATCCCAAATTAGCAGTTTTCTGTGCCTAAAGACCGTCAACCCGGAGAAGGGCACGTCATGGTGCATGATGTTTTTTGTTCTTATAGCTGGAATTCATGAAATCTATGAGATGTCAAACTCGGTTTCAATCTCAGTCTTATTCGAACATATACACCATTTCGAATCTCAAACCCAAAGATGATGCCTTCAAGTCCCAGATGTCCGAACCAAACTAGCTTCACCAATCAACCTTTCGACAGTACGCTTTTCTTTGTGACTGACAATGCTCACTGCTACTATAGCCTAGCGACATTTATCTTCGTTGTCCTCTTCCTGCGTCCAAAAATCAAGGCCGCAGTTCTAGCCATCAGAGTAGGGCTTGAAGTATTGAACTATAATGTAATCAGTAAGTGAATAAATTCAAAGATATTTCAAGGGCCACTATTGACGTTAGTAGAAGATATGAGGCACTGAAACACATGATCTCTAAGCCAAGAGTCATTTTGCGCCTCTTGCAAATGAGGTGAGCAGTTTGAGCTGTGGTGCAAGCAATCCTTATGCAGAGCGTATTACTGATCGTAATGGATAGCCTACCAAATAAGGCCCAAAAGAGCATGTAAATTTTCCATATTTGTATTGAGCGTGGCCATTCGTTTGTACACAAGGGGAGGACGTTAACGTTGGGAACGCGGGGACCACGGGTTGAACAACATAAGCTACATGACTAGTTTCGTGGAGGGGTAATTTATGCGGCCCGTACCGAATGAAGGCTTGCAGCTATTACTGTGGAACTATGAAATCAGAATCCATCTAAAGAAAGTGCACCCACCCATTATAGCCAATAAAATCCTTCAACAAAAGAGCTAAGCTCCACAAGCCAAGAAGAATCCACCAATACAAGTAAAAGTTGCTCCACTACCAGTAATAGAATGCACACAAAGACATCGAAGTACCCCAAGTTGAATTGCTATGCTGACTTGCAAACGATGTTACATATAGAATTACCCTACATACCTAGACAGGCAAAAGTTAAAATACGAGATACCACTCCAGCATGCATTCGAGAGAACCACTGTAGTTTTAGTCAGCTTATTCAACAAGGAGAAGTGTAGTGGTGTAGTGGTGTAGTGGTAAGTCACTACCGACTCATTGCCATTTAGGCTAGTTTTCACGAAGGAATGGTGTAGTGGTGTGGCCATATTACATTGTATTGACCTAATTATATACAGGTCGAATTTGACCCGAAAATATTGTACGGTTTGCATTGCCAGGTTAATCATAACATCTGGTTGGTGTGAGCTTAACCTCCTTCCCGAACTGCATGAAGGTATCTGTCCAATCTCAAAGGTTTTGAAGCACCGCCCCAGGGAACTTTTTAATGTACTCTACATGCAAACGTCACCCGACATCCTTCCCTCATCTGTGAAATAGCCCGTTGATGATATCAAGATGCATCTACTGCGCCTTGCCGTGCATTATCACCGTGTACAAACGGGGGAGCGCCTTGATTTTAAAATCTCTACAGCCTTGCGAAGTTCTCTTTTGCAAGAAGTTTTGTATAAATTCTTAGTTTGAATGACAGGATCAGTTTGCACAAATTGACAGCTTGAGAACAAGCATTGTTCTTGATTCTATACATATTTTCTTTTTGGCTTTACCTGCACTGTATCCTATTCAACATGTCTGTCCCTGTTGGAGTTGACCCATGGGAGATCCCCCTCTTTCCTCCTCCTCCAGGCGTTATATCAAATTTTGTCAACCCTCCATCGCGGGCGACATTGGTCATCTCAATATGTTCGATTGCACTTGGTCTGATGTGGCTTATATTTCTGCTGCGAATTTACAGCAAAACTTTCATTAGCCACTCTCTTGGCTGGGACGATGGTGTGTACTTCAAAGATCTCTGGACCTGCAGTTGCTGACTAATGTGACAGTTGTTGGGACTGTTGCTGCTGTTCGTGATACACTCTATTCCAGACAAAAATGATGGTAAAATATACTGAAGCTTGACAGCTTGGAACAACCGTTTACGCGAGCAACACAATCTGGGGTAAGCTCAAGTACAAAACATTTGCATTTCTGTCACACTAAGATTGTTTAGAAATGAATTTTCTTGGACCGCATGGCTGGAACATCCGCGCGCTCTCAATACCGGCGCAATTTGGCAAGGTAAATCGTATCTACTAGCCCCTTCTCAGCTCATGCCATTCTTACCTGACCTCGATATAGAACTCTGCAATTATCAGTGAAGTATTGTATGGTGTCGTGATGTGGTTTTGTAAACTTTCGATATTCATACTTTACTTGCGCGTCTTCGGCCCCTTCGGTGTCAATCGTGTGATGCGTTACCTCGTCTACTTTGGGATTGTGCTATCATTCATAGTCTATGCAGCAACCTCTGTTGTCTTTGCAGTTGCATGCACACCTCGCGGTAGCCAAACCTGGTTGGAGGCATTGACAACTAAACGCTGCAGCACTGGTTCATACGCCCCAGGTTACATCCAAGGGTCGTTTGGGGTTTTCTTCGACATTTACCTTTTCATCTTGCCAATTTGGCCGGTCTGGAACCTGCAGATGAAGAGGAGGAAGAAGATTGCTGTGACCTTTATTTTCGCCACGGGTCTACTGTAAGTTGGCCAAGTAATGGAAGCCATGTGCACTGCTAAAGCCTTTTAGTGCTATCGCGGCTAGTATTATAGGCCTTTATTTTCGGGTATTGATCAATCAGCCGAAGGTCGATGAAAGCTGGGAAAATCCTATCAACCAAATTCTCGCGTAAGTTGTCCCATAGGAGCAAAGCTCTATATCCAAGAAAATCCACACTAAAATCTTCATAAGCAATGTCGAAATGAGCGTAACTGTTATCTGCGGTTCAATGCCTTACCTCACGTCACTCTTCCGCCGCTTAAATGGTGGGGGAAGTAAGCTAGTCGCATCCATTCAGCATATCCTTTCGCGCTCTTACCCCTTTAACCGATCCCACGGCTCTTCAAACAGGAGACATGAATTTATCTCAGACGAACCTTTTCCCGACTCCATGGAACTGTCGCATAATCCACACCTGGAGACAAAAATCCTGGGAACCATGAACGGGTATGCGTTCCCCTAATGAGCACCATTTTACGTCAAAGACTTGCTAACTCGTCGAATTAGAGAGGGCAGATTCTTAAAGACTGTGGACTATCCTCAGCAACAGATGGACGCTGCATCTTCCAAAGATCTATTACGGAAGGAGTCGTCGAAGAGCAATGCCACATCTGATACTTTGAGATGACCGCACATAACGATGTCCATACTGAAGGCATGGGCCATTGGGAAGAGCCCCGAGAGACAGGCTTCACTTGATGGGGGCTTTCGATAGGACACCTCTACTATCTCCTTATTCGGAATCAAGTGCGATGACATTGAATATTCCTTCAAAGCCATGCACAGTAATATATATGGACTCTTTGTAACAGACACTTTCAAAGTAATAATCTTTTGTTGCGACTTAAATCACATCTTGACATCAATCTAATCTTACATCTAACAACATAATTAAGCGATAAATCCAACATTTCCGGACATGACATTATGCTAAACATGCAAAAAACCAAACGTTCTAAACCCAAATGAAACATTGGATTCATATTTCTAGTACATCAACAATTGAGAAACAACTCAAGAGAAGAGAATTATTGAATACTATTGAGGAGAGGCCATATGAAAAAAAAAATGAAAAAAATAAGTACGTATAATGTTCATAGAAACAGGGCATATGTATGTATTTGTTTGCCAACTTCGGCTAGGGAATCTTCACACAATAATCCTTGCTAGATACTCGATGCCCGCTTTCAAAAGCTGATGGAAGTGTAAATGACACCCATAGGCATCAAGAGATGAAAACTATGCTCATCAATAGTATGAATAAAAATGTTATGACAAAGACATTCATGGTATTCTACAACATCCTCTCTTCTCCCTCACTCACAATGTTCCACATCTTCCCGAACAATTGATTATGCTCCCAAAACGCCATTCTCAAATTATCCCATTGATACTTTTCCCCTCATATTAACACACTATCTCTTTCCACCCGCTCTCCTCGCTTTTCCTGGTCTAGACTTTGCGCCACCTTTGGCACCACCTCCCTTCATCTTCTTGACCGAGAATCCACTTAAATCTCCACTACTCATAGCATCACCACTCTTCTTAAACCTCTTCTTACCACCGTGTCCAAACTTCTCATCTTTCTTTTGTCTCTTGTTTGGCCCGCCCTTGCGATCATTTCGACCTCCGGTGGATTTGGTTTCTTCTTCAAGAGCTACATCGAAGAGATCTGCTTCGTTTGTATTTTCGTTGTCGGCGCCTTGACGTTCTGTTGTTCGTTAGTAAAATGTTTATCAAACTACTTTGATAATGAGCTCTAGCATACTTCTCTTCAAAGTCTTAATTTTATCCAAAGTTTGTTTTCTTTCTTTATCTCTCTCTTGTAATTTAGCGACTTGAACTTGCTTTCCGAACTTCTTCAAATCTCTCTGTTTCCTGGCGTCTGCAGATGCCTTCTTTCCAGCAGCTTCATCGATTAACTTCCTCTTGATCTTCTCCATATGTTCGTCGGCCTTGACCATCTCTGCGAAAAAATCGGTAGGTCTAGTAAATGGTACACCTTCCGCCTTCAACAGCAATCGCGCAGACTTCACGGCCTCAAGCGATTGTGAATAAAATGCCAATTCGCGTTTCAAGTCATCAGAGACATCTTCGATTTCCGTGGGTTTATCAGAGGTAATAGATTGATGCTCAGAGAATGGGAGAGTGGCGATGGGAAGAGAGATACGTTTGAGGGCTGCGGTAAGAGCGATTGTGTTGTTTATGGTGAGACGTTGATGAGGGATCATATCTTCTCTTTCTTCGTCATCAAGATCTTCGAGATCGGACATAGGAATATCTTCATCGTCTTCGTCATCGTCCTCTTCATCGTCCTCATCCCCGCCAACCGAAGAATCACTGTCACTTTCGTCGATTGCTGCGAAGTCAATCTGCTTGCTGATTAGTACTGGTAAACACTGATTGCGAAAGCGCAAATACCTCAGTAGGACCATTTCCTTCTTCCTCCTCCTCATCATCATCACTATCACCTTCTTCATCGTCTTCCTCCTCTTCCTCCTCCTCATCCCCACTCTTTTCCTCAACATCTTCCCATTCCTGCTCAACTTTTCCCTTCTTCGAGCTCTTCTCGTCTCCCTTCACGGCCTTTCCCTTCCTCGCAAGCTTAGCTTGTTTCTTCTGATGTAATTTCGAAAAATCGACTTTCTTATCGGCTGCAAGCGCCATCTTCAATTTACTTTTGGTAACCATTTTGACTGTGTTGTGCACTCTCAATTGGGAATTAAGCAGTGTTGGTTTTTGAGCTTCTGAAATTCGAGAATTATTTTTTGATGCGGGATTCTTTTTTTCGAGCTCGGACCATTTTGATTGGCGCTAATGTCTCACCGCCTTGGCATATAATTATGCAAAATTATGCAAGCAAGACCAACATCATTGCAGAGTTGTGCACGTCAGCTTCCCTACAAACTTCATCATTAGATGGATAGATCTAGACTTCGTCTTTGAATAGCTTTGCATTCTGGGCTATATGTATATAACCACATAATAAGATCTTCTCAGCAAATTCAAACATCGAGCGTTATCTCATCATAGATACGAATCCCATTCAAAGATTCGAACTCTACAACTCAACCACCAATATGTCGTAGCTTTTCCCATTCTTCGCCATTCGATTAGTGATACCCTTTTTTCTTCAGCGTTCTCGTCTAAGTCGTATTGAGTGACCATGACCCTTTCATCCTATCTTCCAAATTATGTTACAACGAGCTTGCATCCTCTTCGGCTCTTGGCCGACATACAAGAACAATATTCAAGAGTCTTCATAGTGCGATACATCTCGTCTTAGGCGTAAGCGAAGGAGAGTTCCCTCCTTCTGGGGAACCATCAGTGAATACATCCTTTGCGCCGAAGAAAGACTCCATTCATACGAGTGTAATCACATCAAGACCTCGTGTCCAGGTATGTATATATAGTCTTTGGTCCTTGGGTTTCAGCAAATAAAGAGCCGATCCCAAAACTCGGTGGTAAGCTGGCTTTTCCGTGTATATATAGGGCCAGCCTATGTCCACCAGCGAGTTTACCCACTCCATTGAAGCAGAGCAATGCATAGGATGACTGCGTAGTTTGAGTGATTATGTCAATCATGGTTGATAATGTTGAGTCCTTCAGTTTGTAGAAATCACCTCATTTCTTCTACATTCAGCAGGAGTCCTCGGAAGAAGAAAGCGAAGTAGTGAGTCTGCTCAGTCATCGTTATCGCGTCTCATTGATTGCATGCTGAAAATAGTCATCAATGCTTGTTGACTTGAGAAGTCGATCCTCAAATGACGAAAAATAACCTATAAGACTTTCATAAAACCTTGAAGTGTGACTTCGTTTGTAAATTAACATTATCATTAAATATGGCATTTTCAATCCCCACTAATCTTCGCATGTCGAAAGTATTTCATACCAACCCAAGCAACAACTACCCAAACCCAAGCCATTACTGTCGTCAAAATAATCAATGCAGGATAATAACCCACAATCGGTAATGTTGGATCGTCCTCCAGCTCAGGAGGAGCATAAGGAGTTTCTCCAACATCCCAAGCCCAACTCCACACCCCTAGACACGAACCCATCCCAGTAACGAACACAATCCATGTTACAATGAGTATAACCCAACCCCACCATTCAGTTTCCGAGTAATCCCATTCTGCATCTGGTAGAGGAAGTGGACTTGTGGCCAGTCCACCAATGGATAGTGGGGATTTTTGTCTCTGAGATGGTCGCCGACGAACTACCGAGCCAGCGCCAGGCGGAAAGTATGAATCTGAACTAGACGATGGCGTTGGCATACGAGCTGCAGCTGGTAGGCTGTGTGATGGAATACTGAGCAAGTCTTCCTCATCTGTAGTGGATGCATAGGTTAAAGTAGGACTTGTAGCCGTTGTTGGTGATGTGATGATATGGTCATTAGCCCCCATGGGAAGAGTTTTGATAGGTAGTAGTAAGGTGTTATTACTACGATTGGCCAGACCTTCCATGGAAGGCCGAGGAGTTTCGTCAGATATTCCCAAGCCAAGACCATTGACAGGCCGAATATTTTCGGGTGAAGTAGGACTTAGCAATGCATTGGTGGAGTATTGGGTGTGCTGATTGGTGTCGTGAGGGATTATCTTTGACTCTTTTCGATCTCGTTGTGCCCCTCGACCAAGTAATGCAGCCTTCCTCAATGAACCTTTCCTCCTCCTGGTCTTTTGCTGCTGAACTGCAACAGCCATAGCTCTACTGGTTGATCTCTTTGGTGATATTGGTTCATCACGAGGCGGAGACTGCTGACTGCGAGGCCCCGACAAGAACGATAGTTTGGACATAATGCTTCCAGATAATGTCCTTCTGTGGTTCCCGGACCTGGTTTCGGAGTGAATTTCTTCAGGTTCGTGGACTATTTCTCCAGAATAGTCATGTGAAATACCGTTTGAACCAGCCTCCCTCTCCATGATTTCGTAGTTTTCTTGGAACAGACGTTACGAAGGCGAACTCATGTTCGAGAAGGTGTGTATAGCGCTTGTAATATCAAGCCTGTACGGAAGATGTCAAGGACCAGAAAGCTCGACCACACTTTCCTGATCGTCCAAGGACACGTGTTTTTGCAACTTGGATAATTCAGACTCGTCTTGAAATATTCCAAAGAAACTCTTCAAAGAAGCAACTTGCTCACGCCAAATTCCTTGCTCGTACAACAGTTGTTCAGCGAAGCACTTAAGAAAACTCGATGTTTTGTGTGCAGTGAATGAAAGCCTCAGATGTCGATGATGATCCAAATACCAGGTAAATGATACTTCTGTACGTCTAGTGGTCCTGAATCCAAGAAACTTTTGTGATGAAGGACATTAAGGATGTGTTGAATCAATCCATTTTTGATGGTTTTGATGGAGAAAGATTTGGCTATGGGGTCTGTTGGGTCTAGAGCTTTCTTAATGTCAAATGAGGTTGAAATGAGGTAAAATGTCGCTTACATAATCCAATAAATCGCATAATGCCTGGGCGGTGAAACATTTCCCCTGGTCTAAAGATCCAAAAGGGGAAGTGAGTAAATTACAGATCCATTTATATATCACAACCAACCAATTCTACACAACGAATTACGAAAAGTTTCGTGACAATTGCGCATAATAATAAAAGATTTGAGGATATTCACGATCAATTAATGAACCGTGTTTTCATGAAACCTCAAAATTACTAGATATCACCTAGATATCAAACTATGGCCTCGAGCCTTCCTATTCCAGCACCTCCGAGGACACCCACTCCACCCACTCCTATTCCACAAGAGAACGGCAGATTTGCATGGGATAATCATAATGACACTTCACGAACCGTGCACTCAGAGATCCTTTTGGATCCAAATGCTCTTTCGCCTGCAATTTCAAGCACAGGTCAATTTGGTTCAATGCGTACCCCGATGTCTCCTCCTTCAGGTTTCTCGAGTCCAAACCTGCAACCGGATGGAATGATGAGTGTTCCGCCTACTACCAGAGGAGCTGCGAATCCTTTTAACTTTCAGACTCAAACTATAAAAGATGTGCCAATTGCCAAATCCGTACGCGAATCTCAAATCATCAAATTATACCATAACTAACACAATGCACCAGAATATTGGCCAGCGAAGAGGTCATAGATACAAACACAGTAGTGTCTCGACTCAGCATCAAATCTTCCTTGAACCACCTCCTCGAGCACCTCTCGCCCTCCCAGCTTCCCTACCCATTCCCACATTCAAAGAAGCATGGAAAAGCATGTCCAAAGAACAAACTACTCGAATAGCCTGGTGTCTCTGCCACGCCCTGATATCCGCTTTCGTTCTTTACAGCGCGCAAGGCTCTCTTGCCCTCACAGCACTATCCCATCTTATATTCTTCGATGCCGTATCAGCAACAATTTGCGTCGTGGTGGATGTATTCTGCAATTTCGAAGTATGGAAACGCTCCTCCATCCGTCATCCATTCGGACTCGAACGCGCAGAAGTACTAGCAGGATTTGCCATGTCTGTTTTCCTCCTCTTCATGGGGTTTGATCTCATATCCCACAACTTAAAACACGTTTTGGAAGGACTAGGCGACCATGCTCCTCATCATCCCCATTCCCATCAACGAGTTAGCCCCGGCTCTGTTGATTCCGCTGCGTTACTCTCAATAGTAGCAACTCTTGTCTCAGCAATCGGACTTAAAAACCACGCACGAATAGGAAAAGCAATGCGTTTTGCCTACATCTCATTTCTCCCCTCCGTCCTCTCCAATCCCTCGCATTTCCTAACTCTGAGCTGCAGCACCATCATGCTTCTCCTTCCTCTTTTAACAATCTCCCTCTACATCTGGCTCGACCGTCTCCTCTGTACTGCTATTGCTCTTTCTATGTTCCTGCTCGGAATCCGTTTAGCTACCGCTCAGGGCCTCATGCTTTTGATGTCCTATTCCGGCGCTGGAGTTTCAGAGGTCATGAAGGAGATCGAATCTGAGCCATCAGTATCTACGGTTGAAGAAGCGAGGTTCTGGCAAGTACACTATGGATTATGTATGGCGAATCTGAAACTAAGAGTCAGGGGAGACGAGGGAAGTGTATTGAAATTAAGAGAGAGAATCAAGACATTAGTTAGAAATAGACTGGGTGGAGGATATGGAAAAGGTGCAGGGATGAAATGGGAAGTCACGACACAATTGATTGTTGATGGGAAATGAGGTTATTGATTCGGGCACTGATATGTTGTATATTTCTTGTACGATTCTATGGTTATGGGTATTGGTCGGGCGGGAAATCTTGCGGGCGTCAATGCCTATGTATTCATTTTCGCGAACATAGGCTAGCAAGGCGCATTGGGGGACTACTATGAAAGAGAAAAATCAATCGATTTACAGTGCATATAGCATATGATATGCACATCACATATACTCCCCCACGAACTCATCCTCATCTCACATGAATCTGGATCATAAAACTGCTACCCAACCTTATCTTCTATGCCAAATGTATCCGACATAAAAATTCACGTAGACCCAAATACGGACCATAATATCTATCACAAAAAGAAAATCGTGCATTCATCATGTAGAGTGTGTTAGAATAATATCTCCTCAACACTACCACCACGGTGTGACCAACCAAAAAGAAAAAGGATATACAATATTTTCGTACTATTCCTCTTCAATCATTCCCTAACGCCGAAATCATAATGGTTTGTTCTCGCTCGCTCGCTTGCTTGCTTATAATTGTTCAACAATCAATCCAACCTCCCGCTCCATTTAGCCCCAAAAGTTTCTACCGACTAAAACAAACTCCATCCACCCCTTCCATTTTCCTTTCCGCCCGGTCCTCTTACCCCTTCTTTTCCATGACTGCCTCTACCGTTCTTCGCTCCTCTCTGTGGCCTCCTCGCTTCCCCATTATCTAACTCGCGTAAATCTCTCAGTCCCTCCATCTTTCCTAATACTAACTCCAATAACTCCTTTCTCCTAATAACCTCTAGATGTCTCTCAACCTTCTTATCCTCTCTTGCAAATCTCTCTACTTCTTCTTTGGTTAATCCTCTTCCTAGTCTCTGGTCCAATTCTCTAGGGAATTGATAGAAGAATTCGGAGAGGAGTTCGACGTTTAGGAAGAGAACGGCCGTGGAGGTGAGTTTAGTGGCGACGACGTCAAGGAAGACTTCAGGGCAGTAATATTTGTTTTTGAGGGAGGCGCATTGGCCGGATTTGAGAGCCTTGAGACGCATGGCCAGAAGGGTGGCCCGATCGCGGAGGAAGACTGCTTCACGGCCTGATGGGCCTGTTAGTATCTGATATAAAAACGGGTATAAGAGAAAGATGCGAGCATACCTTTTTGCAATAACGCGGAACTGAATCCACCGGCACCACTGGCATCGCCATCAACGATAATCTCACCCTTTCTAGCTTTGTCCACAAAGCCCATGACATCTCTCAGCTTCTTTCTTCCACCAACATGTTGCTCCAAGTTCTTCGATGCATCTTCACAGGCTTTGAGCTCATTTTTTAACACAGAGGTGACGTTCTCTCGCCCTCGTGACCATTCGCTATCTTCAACATCAATCTCGAACTTATATGGTTTGATACAATTTTCAACTTGATCACTTGTACTGTAGAACCTTTCATTCAAGATACCAGCCGCAGCATCAGTGATAGCTTGACGAGCGAATGGATGGGTTGCAAACGTTGATTGAGATATGAGACGGTCAATATGGGCTTGGATCGCATTGGCCACTACTTGAGTTGCAAGACGACCGATACCAAGTTTGGTAAGGGCGGAAGTAGAGGCATCAAGTTTACGGTGCCAGAAGAGGGAATCAGGGTCAGCGGTTGGGAGCTCAGCAAGTGTGTTGGGTTCTGGAGGTGAGGGCGAAAGATCCTGGATAGGCCTGTTCCAGTAACGTGCTGCTAAGAGATCTAATACTCGTTGATCAAGCTCTTCTTTTAGCATCTCACGGACTTGTGGTCTCCCAAAAGTTTCAGCAAATTCTTTAAAAGAATGTTTAAATGCATCAAGACTTTCGGCGAGATAAGATTCTGCAGACAGAGGGCGGTCGTTATATTGGACCTTAAACTCATAAGTAGCCTCTTCAAGGTCCTGGTGGATAGCGTCACTAGTAGTTTGAAGGCTCGCCGCCATGGTTTGTTCGAGTACATGCATAAGTTTCTTACGGAGGGTCGTCGTGCCAACATTTAATCCGGCGTCAGGCCCATACTCCATTGGATGAGACGAGAAGAATGCGTGTTCATTTTTTATGATAGCTTCCGAGATGCTTTCGCTTCCTGCTTTGAACAATGATCTAGTTTGTGATTGCTGTGGTGCTCGTGATACAACACCAACATAACCGAGCCTCAAGGGGTATTTCCTGTCATTGAGGATGGCGGCTCCTCTAGCAGGATCGACAAGGTCCATCTTTGTAACAACACCGATTGTTCGTTCACCTCGTGGGTCAACTCTTCGGCTCGCCCGCAAAGCTGTGGAATTGGCTAGATCCACGTCTGCAGCAGAAATTGCAAGAATGACATTAGGAGGCTGAATATACTTATCGCACAAATCGGAGATTTTTTGCTTCAATTCCAAAGGCTGATTTTCACCAACAACTTGGATATATCCCGGGAGATCGATGAGGGACAAGTCGGGAACATGAGGCGACGAGATGGTCAATTGGATTGGATCATCTGAAACACATTCCGTATCAGGAACAGCCAAGTTCAATTCCGTCAACGTCCTCTGGATGTGTGAGAAATCGGTAATCTTTCCCAGACCAAGGGCAGGAAACTCTCCATATTCCGCTTGTGAATCAGGGGTATTGACGAGAGTCAACTCTATGGGCCGTCGTGTAACCATATTCGAACCCTTGGGCAGGAATTCATGTCCAACGATTGCCTCTAGTACAGAGCTTTTTCCCGATGATTGTGAACCGATAACAACGATTGAGGGCAAAGTAAGGGCGTTCGACTGCCCCACAGTTTGCAATATGCTTCTGATTTCAATCATTTTCTTAGTCAAAACCATCATTTGGTCATCCCGGGCAGCAACTGCTGGAGTCCTGTCATCTTCCGCATATTGGTCGTATCCATAGGCGGCAGCACTTCCTCCTGCAGCTGCAGCTCCTACTCTGCTTTGTTTAGGCGGTTCCCCTCCAGGGCCCCCACCCCCGCCTCCACCATTTCTTTCCCCAATCTCCTCATGGATCCGTAATACTTTTTGCATCCACTCTGGTAACTCAACAGACTCCTTTGTTTTTTCCCACCCTTGTCGTGTTTGACTCGCAATATCTTTTGCGCTGCCGAACAAACCTCCTGCTACGCCAGACACAGTATTCGTCGTTTGACTGAAGATGTCTGCAACGTAATTACCAGCCTCTGCAGATATGTAAAATTAGTGCTATCTCTAGATAAGGGAACGAGTAAACTAACGAGTAGCCTGGTATTGAATATATGCTAGACCACCAACAGTCACTCCAGCGAAAAGTGCAGGTATTCTTGCAAACTTTAATAATATGTTTGGCAAAATGCGAACAAATGAAGCATTTCGAACGACTACGGCATTCGAGAATCTTGTATGTCCAGCTGGCCATATCCTTCCTCTTGCAATACGAACGGCGGATTCTGATCTGAGAAGACCGCCAGCGGTTGATACCGCCTTGTGATGGAAATGTCTGGCAGACTGTGAGCTGATACGTTGGGCCGCGGGCAGAAGCCTCGCCGATAAGAGCCTCCCACTCATACTGGGCAGACTTAAGGTTGTATTAATCCTTTAAAAGATAGTAAAATCATGAAGCAATGAATTTCATTCTGCTGGTTTTGTTGTCCACTAAAGTATTTGGGTGATTTGAATTCCACATGTCTTGCATGAATAAAGGTCGAATCAGAAGTGGCGTGCATTGTCTGTGGCTAGTGGATTGTGGATTGTGGCTTGATAACAGACTTCATTTTGCGGGCGGCTGAAGACAATCTGGTGGAGGTATGGTGGAGGACCCTTGAAGTGAGGTAAAAGAAAACCACCAAAATATCCATAATATCCAGCCTTGACCATGAGGCTATCCAGACCGTCTGACGATAACAACTCCACAATAAATACATCATTTTGTTTGCCCTTTCCCCTTGTATATGCATACATATACCATACATATAGGTATTCTGATCATAAATTCTCCTGAGTCTACTATATCAATAACCCAAATACTTTCTCTTCAACATTTTCCAACCTATCGAATTTGTTTTATCCGTTGGGCTTTGATCTTTAATTTATGTCTCAGCACCCAACAAATTACGCCATACCGTTAATTTACCTTCAGCCTCGCGGCTTCTCCCTTGAAATAGCAAACGAGCTTCAACTCTCTCTCAAGCTGTTAGCTATAAGTACGAATCAGTGAATATAATTCACATACATTCAATTTCGAGGGGAACTTTCAGTAGCAGTCAAGCCTAGAATTGTGAATTTCAGCAGAGGACAAGATGTGCCGCTTTCTGGTGAGTCAAACCGCTTCGAGTCCTGATTTGCAACAGAATACTAATGATAGTAAGGTTTATAAAGGCTCAGATGCCATTTTACTGTCCAAAATCATCTTGGATCCTACTCACTCAATTCTCAATCAATCTTTCGACTCTCGTCTTCGATTAGATATGAGAAGACCTCACAATGGTCAGTAGTCTCTGGCATTCCTACATCTGAGGACACGGTGACTAATACTGGTTTGCAGGTGATGGATTTGGCATTGGTTATTACACGGAACCTGAACTTGGACCAGAGCCATGTATCTTCACATCTACCATTCCTGCATGGAATTGTATCAACCTTCAACGAATTGCCTCAAAGACCGCTTCACCGCTCATATTTGCACATGTGCGAGCTACAACCGAGGGCTCCCTTAGCGACGACAACTGTCATCCCTTCTCTCATGGAAGTTTACTGTGGATGCACAATGGTGGACTAGGTGGTTGGAAGCATATAAAAAGACGTTTGGGCGAAAGACTGGCCGATAAATGGTATCTTGGTGTTCATGGAGGTACCGACAGTGAATGGGCATTCGCTTTATATCTGGACACACTTGAGAGAATGGGTCACAATCCTAGTGCTCCACCGGCTCAAGGATTTGGCCCAACTGTTCTGAGGCATGCCATGCTTGCTACCATCAAGCAGATCAACGATTTTATTGCAGCGATCCCGGAGAAGACAATCGAGGAAGAAAATCTGGACATTCGAAGTTTGTTGAATTTTGCAATCGCCGATGGCCATAGTGTTGTCTGTACTCGTTATGTCAGTAGCAAGACCGATGAGGCAGCCAGTCTCTATTACTCTTCCGGTACTACATGGGAGGACAAAGGTAATAAGGGCGAGTACCAAATGGATCGTCGAGACAAGGGCGCTGATATCGTTCTCGTTGCAAGCGAACCTTTAACATTTGAGAGAGGTAATTATTTCCCCTTATTTCTTACCTTTGTGCATTCCATTCCCCGTCCCTTCATCTTGCCAAGGGCCGAGACAATAGACGCTAGATATTCCCGCGAGTCCCATGAAAATTCTTAAACGAGAACCTAGAACTGGAAAATCTTCTTTATGTTGCACGTCAGCAGATAGGCGAAACTCAGGCGAGGTTCAAGGCCCCCATGTGTTGTTGCATGTCGATAGATTCGCGAGGTGGCTAGCGTTTTTAGCTCTCCATACTTTTCTCGCTTGTTTCGAGAGAGCCCCTCTTCGAAGTTCAGCACATTCCTCATTTACTCGCTTGTTTGGCAGCATTATTCTTGCATGCCACGTGGGCAAAACATTGCTAATAATACATTTACAGAAAGCTGGGTGACGGTTCCGACTAATTCCATTTTGACAATTCACAAGCAGACTGTTATGGTACATCCGATCATCGATGAATACTATAACCACAATCCGTATCATTCACGATCCTCCCAATTTGTCACCGACAAGGGCCTCATCACGAACGAAAAATCGACGCCAGCTACAACATCAACTCCCACCACACCTATGTCACTACATCAGTCACTCGCCAAATCACTTAATCCATTGTCAGCTGTGCTGTCGCCGAGAGAAAACTATAATCCCAACATACTGAACAACACATCGTATACACCAGCAATCTCGGACATTCGGCATGCCTCCCCAGCACCCTCCCGTCCTGCCATAACTTCCTACAAATCTGGGGAGCTGGGCAACACGAAGAAAAAACGTACCACTGCGCCTATCCCCTCGCTGGTACAGATCCCAGCCGATAGCGTGAATTCCATGGTATCAAATGGAACTTCAGGGGTTGATTACATAGACACACCTGATACACCAGAGCTCACGAGAAATTCTGACAGTAGAAATAAGCTAGCGCAGTATTTTCCGGAGTTGGATAGTATCAATCGGAACTGAGCCAAGGGCTAGCATGGAATATTTCGCATTAATGATTTCACTGTGTTAATTGTATTTATGGACTGGAAACTGAGCGCTATGGGTTCGGATTGGCGTCAAAATTAGAATGGTTGGTGCATCGCTTGCAAATTATTTAGATGAGGCTGTTCATGGCATGATGTAAGATTCCCCTTTAGCAGTCGAAATTCACGTTGTTTTTACATATGAGCCATTATTATCGCTTGTAACTTTGTCTATGCCTTATTGGTTCAAGTAGTCGAATAATAGGTGAAATAGGATGATTAGACGGCATGAAAGCAAAAGTACTTTTACGAAAACGACGACCATTGAATTTCGAGGCGGGACAAAATGCAATGAATGATTGAAGAAACCTAGAAACCTATTGATTGACTTTTCATGCAACTCTAATTGTTTTCCATGCAAGTGCATGAATTAAATACACCAACTACAATCCAATTCGAACGACAAATCAAAATCACATCGCTCATCAGTATTTGAACTCGACCAGCCATCATCCCCAAAACCTCTAATCAAGCCTTTCCTTCCCGGTCAATATCCATCATCAACGAACTGCTTCATGTGCGTATTCCTTTCATCCCTCAGCTTTCCCAAATTCTCCATAATCGTCTGTATATGTTCTTTATACTCTTTGTACTCTTTATCCTCTTCCCCATCCTCATCTGCATTTCCTACATCTCCGTTTTGGATACTCATATCAGTATCTCCAAGTTCTTGATGAAGCGCTGATAATAATTGTGCTGTTGCTGCCAAATCGTCGTTTTCATCGGGAGAGTCCTCGGATTGTTCGATTTCGGATTGGATGGCTAGTTGTGCGGCTGATAGCTGTGCGTCTTCGTTTGAGTTTTCATCTGAGTTTGTCCTTGAATATTTGTGCTTCTTTCTCGTTTTTGTCACTTTGTATTGTGTTTCCCCATCCTTATCATAAATTTCTCCCTCCCCATTTCCATCTCCACCATCCTCACACTCCAAACGTATCTCCTCTACCCTCTCCACCTCCTCATCCCTATTTCCGTCTCCATTCTCAACCTCTCTCTCCTCACGACTACCCATTCCTTCCTCACCCATCCTCATCCACGCTCTACTAGCCTTCTTCGCAAAATTCACATTCCTCTCCTCAGCCGCTAGCAAACAATCATCACAATCTGCATAGACATATATATGTTTCTTCTTTAAATGTGGTGGAGGACAAACGAGACGACCGAGCGGATAATTGAAAGCGCAGGAATGAACGACTAGAGCGATGCAGAAACAGGCGTAATGCGTGTGTGTTGTATTGCACATGTTTTGTGGTAGGTCGTTTGGTTGGAGCGTTTGGTTTGGAATGTTGATGCTTGGTCGTATGGATGTTGTGGCTAAGGTGATTTGAGAGGTCGGGAAGTATGTTTTATTTATTTATTTGTTCTGGGTGTTAAAATGTCTTTTCTATTCGAAGTCGAAGCAGAAGCAGGGGAGAAAATTAAAGGTAAAATTGCAGGAATTAAAGATTAAAGATTTGTTTTTGTTCTTGAGATTGAAAGTTCAATATGTGACTGAAGAGGGCGATAAACAAAGCGAATTTATATGAGAGGATACGATTTTAACTATGGTCATGGAAGAAAATTGAATGAATCATTTACCGTTCAAAAGTCGATGAGTGGTAGTGTGTAGGGAAAAGTGAATTCAGATGGAGGTATCTCAGATGAATACTTGGGATGATAATTAATCGTTGGATCATTGGACGGTTTTGTTGCTATGGGAGACATGGATTTTTTGCTCTGACTTCACTTTAAACTTCAAATGAAGCTTGAAGTTCGGTTGAAAAATTGAACCTCATTTTAAAGGGGTGATTGAGATGTTCGCTTGCCAATGGCTAGAGCTCTCGGATATACTTCACAATGTGTTTTGTCTTTGGACGTATTTCTTATATTCTACATTTTGATCGATTAACAACATTGAAGCTGGCTGTTGCTATGTCTTTTCACGATGAAAGTCGTACATTGATGTAAGAGAAATGTCTTTGGAGAGGAGAAATATTATTGGATGTAAGACGGCAGGGCTTGTCCTTCCCCTAAATTAGTGCAATGGTGTGTATTTCGGTATTAGCATCGTAACTACCACTGGCACGAAAAGAACAATGCCAAAACTGGTTCTGAACAACTGCTCAATGCTATTTAAGATATGGCTCACCAATCAGATTACAACTAGAGTTTGGGTAGTTACGAGAAACAACGTTGTTCAGAGGTTGTGGGGGAATGTCTTCACTGGTTTAACAAAGAAGCAGATGAGTTTCCTCTATCTTTTGAACAAAAAGATTGACACGACAGAGAAAGTACAATGCTATTGTTATTGCTATAAGTGTAGAAAAGTTGGCTCAGATCGAGCCCCCCCCTTTTTTTCTCGTTGAAGTAAGCACACACACAAACAGCTTCTTTAGATTACAACATTACAGGTTTAGAAGCCAGACTTTCAACTCTGTCAGCAAAAAACAATCACTCAAGATGTGTTTCGCAAACCGAACAGTTTGCAAGAAATGTCGGGTTGAGATCATCAAGTACGTTTCCAAATGCGACCAATTCCCCGAGGTCTTCAGAGAAACTGACACGCACGCCATTCGAGGGCGACATCGTCGAATTAGTGCTTGCAAGGATTGCAAGCGTAAGGAAAGACGACGACTCGAGGAAGAATCACGAAACATCGTCGTTCATCATGAACAAGCCAAGGCTATCCTTGAATGGATGCGATTGGAACGTCCACTTCCATTCACTGATGAGGTAATTGCTGTTAAGTACAATGAACTCTACAATAACCATGAGAGGCTTCATCGTTATTGTATCGATTTTACCAACATGCACGAAAGCTTGATTGCCGAACGCAGACAGTATTTATTGCACCGTGCCGACATAATTAGGAAAGAAGGCATGAAAGTCACAAGAGAATTGAGTGAAGCAGCCAATAAAGCAGCAACGATGATTCTTTTGGAGGAAAGAATAATGGATGAAGCTTTCAGGCGACAAGCCGAAATTGATTCTGGTGTCAGAACTATGACCGAAGATGACAAAATATATTCCCTCCACGGAATTGGCAAGATATATCACCTTGAAAATGCCATACAATTAATCGCAGGGGCACAAGGACCAGTCGCTCTGACATTTGAAGAGTGGGCTGTAGCCATTCCGGATCGGTTTATTACCGAAGACGGAGTTCGTGCAGAGATCAGGGGATATCTCGACGATATAACACATGGAGGATTTGATAAGTTGATTGATGAATTCCGCGGCGAGGTCATCCGTCTCAACGTTCTCGATGAAGAGACCTTCGACTTCGACCCTAACGCCCACGTCTTGCAAGGTGATTCTCCCGCTGAGGCCACACCAAACATGCGCGAACACATCACTTTCCGCCAGTGGGTGGTCCAGTACGAGGACGCTATGCAAACAACCGGGCCAATTTTTCAACGCTGGTATACTCTTCTTGATGGTTATCGAGCCTACTTGGCACAGATATCCCCAGTACACCACACGCTCTTCATGGTCACACGGAACAGCGCCGCCGCACGCACGTTCCGGGCTCTCGCAGGCAGACCCGAAACACCCCCAATCCCAACACCCCTACCATTCCCAGCACCCCCAACACCACCTCCAACCCCGAGAAGGGAATCGATGCAATTCTCCAACGACGGAGACTGGTCGGTACCAGAAGTATCTGACGATGAAGGATCCGAGGATACGGGCTCTGATGAATCTTCTCTCAATATCGAACTCCACGACGAAGATCACCACAACACATCCATCCGAGAATGTCTCCAGCAATCCCTCGCAGGATTCGATCAATTGCTTGAATTATCCAATACCCTCATGCGCGATGTTCCCAATCAAGAGTCTTCCGCAACAGCGTTCCTTGTCCCGGCAATCCGCTACTTAAATAATCAATTAGAGCGGAATGCCTGGCCTACTGAATTCGGATGGACGCAGGTTCAACTAAGCGCCGAAAACGCTATTGAGCAATTGCGCGAATTGAATGATCTAGTGAATGGGAATAGAGCATCCGCGGAGGAATCGGAACGGGAACGCGAACAGCAACAGCAACAGCATGAACCAGAGGCAGAAAATGAACACTTTTTCGCTGATATCACACCTATGCGCGTTGTGATGGAGGAGGGTGAACAGGATAATATAGCCTATGCTCGACGCACCATCATAGGAATTTCACCAGAATCTAGAACACGTGAATGGGAAGAAGAAGGTGAAGTGATCGAAGATGCAGAATATTATGATAATAATCTGCTTTGAACTTCTTTCTTTTTGTCATTTTCTTTCACTCTTGTTATTGTTATTGTTATTATTTTTCTTGTCTCTCTCTTGGAAGGTCCAACGTTGGAAATGAACGAGCTATGAGATATGAGAAATTGCTAAGAGTTCTTGGTTCTTTTGTTCTTTGTTTATTTTTGGTAAGTCTTACGGTAATATCTATTCTGTTATACATCTTTTTCGGGATATTAAAAAGGATTGCGGAATTACTTTGTTAGTATGGTTTTTGCCTTTTGCCTTTTAGGTTGATTGGATCTTGGAACCATGGATAACCCCCTACTTGGAATATAGAATAAATAATACAAAAAAATAAAAATATTAATATATATAAAAGAGATTAATCACTATGCTAAATGAGATGTGAAATGAGACATAAAATAAATACCAAACTTTGATGATGAACCAACCCCATGAATGAACCATTTACCTACTTACTTACTATAACCATCTAATATAAACACAACCTCCCACCCCCTATCTCCCTCAAAATAAACAAACAAATACCAAATACCAAATACCAAAATCCTAAAAATTCACAGAAATTATTGTTAAATCCAACTAAATCACAAAAATTTTATTGTACACGATGGACAAATATCAAAAATCAAAGTATATCATCAAGAAAAAATTGCTATCATCAAGGTAGAGCTATATAGGGAATCCAAAGAGAACTATCTATCTCTTTGTTCCGTTCAGATCTCGATGATATTATATTATTATATTATATCCGGAATCGGGAATTGGGAATCGGGAATCAGGAATAAGATGATGATATAAGGATATTGTTGGGTTTCTTGAGACTAGAAAGAGCATCAGATTGAATTGATTGATTCTCTAGCTAAGCAGTTAAGCTGCGAGCATATATTCAAAAAATGAAGGAATAGGTTGGGTATTCAGCCTTCGGAATTAAAGTGCTTTGAAATCAAAATATTGAAAGCAAACAAACAGTATACCAAAAAGGAAAGAATGAATTAAAAGTTGAGTTTTGTTTGCTCCTTATATGCATATGCACTATATATGCATATGCTGCCAAGATCCCAGGAGGTCAACAGATATCTAGACTAGATAATCATAGGATATAACTATGGAATAGCATTATAGCGATGAAAAAGTTTCCTGATAGGTATAAGATAATCTTACAAAAAAATATATATATACATATATATAAACTTAAAATTGACTAAACTGGGTATAAGAGTTGTTAAAACGCTAAATATCACGCACGATGTTGAAATGGCAATGATTAAAATAAGATAAAAATATCCACCTCCCTCTTCTTCTTCCTCTCCCTTCCCTTCCAATTTCCCACCTCACAATAACCAATCCAAAAACCTTCCCCACGCCGTCGTAGGAACCGGTTCTACAGGCGCACAACTGGCATCGAATCTCCCAGAGAAAAGATCCACATCTTTCGACCTCGAAACACTTGTTCTCTTGAAAATTTTCCAAAAAATATACGGAGCGATGTATATAACGATACCGATATAACTCGCTATGAAATTAGCCGTGTTCCAATTTCCCTTAACGAAGACGCCGAAGCCGGAGAATATTACTATGATGCCTGAGCCGATGGCACCGACATATGCAGCGAGGGGTTGACAGCGTCCTTTAAAGGGGAGATTGTCGCGGTTGACACCTTGTGCGAGACAAGCGTGGTGGTAGCGGATGTAGCAAATACAGAGGGTCATCCAGGCGAGGAGACCAGCGACAGTGCTGAGATTTAATAACCAGGTGAATGCTTGGGCTGCTCCTCCTGAGCCAAGACTTAGATAGGCGAGAGGACCGAAGGCGAAAGAGACGAGGACTGCATAGTATGGTACACCCCAGCGATTTACCTTTGCGAAACACTGAGGGGCTTGTCGGTCGACGGCCATGGCTACAATCATTCTTGCTCCAATGTAGCAGTAGCTGTTTCCGGCGGACCAGGCAGAGGTAAGGATACAAGCGTTGATTATGGATGGGAGGACGGAGATACCGGAGTTCTTGATTGCGATGACGAAGGGTGAGGAATTGGCGTTACCGGATCCACTGACAAGACCGGGATCGTTGGATGGAATGATCATTCCAATGAGGAGCGTACCGAGGACGTAGAAAAATAGGATTCGATAGGTAACACGCTTGACTGCTTTTGGGATGGATTTATGTGGATTGACAGTTTCCGCGGCGGCGACAACGACCGTCTCAACACCAATATATGAGAAACTGGCATTGATAAACGCACTAAAAAATGCGAGGAAGTTACCAGTATTCCCTGTAATACCATCAAAGGGAACAAATGGACCTGGGTCCTTCCAATATCTAAATCCGATCGTCTCGTGATTGGGTGCTCCTCCAGCCGTGATAACCAGTGAAACAATAATCAAGACCAGGAAACAAAGGATCTTAATAGATGCAGTGATGACTTCGGCTTCACCATAGAATTTGACGTTGGCCATGTTGATGAGGAAGATGGCAACTAGTCCTATGGTAATTACGACGGCGGGTGTGATATCCGTCCAATAAGATACTATGATAGCGGCGGCTGAAACTTCCGAGGCGATTGCAATGGTGTAACAATAACCATAAGAAATAGCGAGAGTAAAACCGAGAGCAGGATCAACGAATCGAGTAGCGAAATGAGGGAAAGATCCAGCGGTTGGGAACTGTGAATGTAAGTTTAAGTCTAGTGATATCATGTGATTAATTTCAACTTACCAAAGTGGCCAATTCTCCAATTGACTCCATCACACACCAGAGAAGAAAACCGACGACACTGTAAGCCCTGCAATTTGTTAATACCAGCTATAAAAAATTTAATGAGCAAGCCTCGAACTTACAAAAGCAGACCCAAAGGTCCAGCGTTGGCTAAAGCTGCACCAGTACCGATAAAAAGACCCGTACCAATCCCACCACCAAAACCAATAAAGGTAACATGTCTCGCCTTCAACCTACGCTGAGTATGTCCCACACCACCAACACCATAAACGGCATCGAGATGGCCAGAAGCCGAATGAACGACCTCTCCATTAGCAATATCTGGTTTCCCGGGGCCATCCAAAGACGACTGCGAAGGCGATCCATGGATGGCCAAATCTTGTGAAGTGTGCGTCTTGTTCGACATGGTGGATACTTCGAATGCAGCTAAGATTCAATTCTCTATTCACCAATACGATATAGACAAGCCCAGAATGGGTGTTGTTGTGGAATAATGAAGAAAAAGTGAAGAAAGGCCATTCATTGCGTCTGGATTACTTGACATTTTATTCCATGCTGAATAAAATTTCTCCATCCCTGGAAGAGCACGCCATCAGTAAGATAGTTGTCGAATGTGAAAGAGAAATCCCCAGTTATAACCTAGACATCGGGGAACATCCTGTTCTTTTGTTAGTTGCCACAAAAAATTGAAATTCTCATGTAATTTTTTCATGTTAGGTTAAAAGCACAGAGGAAAAAGTCAACGGTAAGCATTCAGGGGTTTAGCTTGGCCAAGCTTAATACTGGAGGTTCGCTCGCTCAAAAGATGGATTTTATGAATGGGAAATCTTCGGCATTCGAAAGAAAATTGGGTCGAATTAATTATTAGTGATCTTTTTTTCTTGCTCAATGCTTACCCGTTGAACCCTTGCCACTTGTCTATCGGTGCGCTCTGATTCCGGATTCCTGGAGGACCATCCAAATCATCATTTCAAATCCTCTTATTCGTTCACACGAGCCACTTTATCCCACCAAAATCCACATTGAGTCCCTCTACGCGTCTTGCGGTGGAGTCATGGACACATGGTGGGCTGTCATAAAGAAGCATCCTCAGAGTACAATAAGCTTTTCGTTCGTGAGAATCTTCATTCACTGTGACGTGAGCAGCGTTGCAAAATTGAAAGATGTTCAAAAACCAAAAGGCTATCAGTTGAGGTGAACCTCAACTCGCAGAATGCGGCTTCTGTGGATCGAACACAGTGCCTCCAGATAAACAGATTAATTTGTTAAGGATCTGAAGTTAACTTCAGTCTGGCGCTCTCCCAAGTGAGCTAAAGCCGCTGTGAGATTTGTGTTGTTTGATGAACGGTCGAGGACAATGATTGAATATAGTGAACGTTATTCATTCAGCATTCAAGCTTCAATATCAGTTTCCAAGAGAGTGTTTGACTCTTCTCATGATCAATTAATGGCTGCTGTTCCTTTCCATTTCAAGCACTGAACACACAACCATGGGTAAAATTTATAAAGGTATCGATCAATATCAAGAACATATCATGATGCAACGATGCCACTTGGGTTGAAGAATAAGAACCGGTTGACCTTGCAACCCTCTAAGTAATTTAGATTCAACCAGATAGCTAACCTTAAAACCCAACGCTAATTCCCACATCTATTTATTATCATCCAATCGCTAGATATCTGTAATGACATGAAGAAATGCGTCTTGTCTAATCAATTCTCTGCTCCCTATCCGGCGCAAGCAGAGGGTCTTCTTCATTGAATGGTTTTTCACGCCCATTCCCTCTGTACAAAACATAATGCTGAACAATGAAGATAATATCAAAGAAGATGCTCACATTGCCCAGCATTAGTTTCACTGGGTTGCCTGCTACTCCTGACCAATCTCCTTGTAGATAACTATCAATTCCTAATTGTAAAATCGACAAAACTCCTCCTGAAAAGTCGAGTAATATTCCTCCTATTGCCCAACCAGTCGTGGATCGATTGCGATAATTTGTGAGAACTTGAGGCATATATTTAACCGTCGTGATGATGAGCTTGACGTATGATATGACATAAACCTGTGAAAACGGTGTCAGCACAAATGTAACAAGATTATGCAGTCTGAATCCAACGTACCACGTCGATCCATGCCCACCCTGTTACAACATCTTCATCCTTTCGCGCAATGACAATAACCACCGAAGTCGCAACCCCAGCAATACATGCTACAGCCAAACCCAAGATCGATTTGCTAATTCTAGAGCCAGGACCTCTTTTACCACGTTTATCAAATTTCCAGATGGATAGGTGATATTGCGACATTATGATACAGCACACAAAGAGGGCGTGGACAGCGAAAGCGAGATCATTGAACTGAACAGTTGGAGTATGTCCATTATTTCGTAGAGCATATTCGCGTCTGATCTCCGGCGAATAGAGGAATGAGACTGTAGATACAAAGTATGCAGCGAAGCCTATAACGTTGAGGAAGGGGAAATCGATTGCTGCCCCTGATGTAGATTTGCGCTTGTAGTTCAAGATTGGTTGGGGATAGAAAGAAAAAGACCAACATGTTGTGTATATCCAGCCGAACAAATATGAAAGAAACTGAAGGAATGAAGTTGCCATTGTGAAGACGATGTCATGAATAGTAGTGATATATCAAAGAGAAGGAAGGGATTAATAATAGAGAAAGCTGTTGGTAAAGGAGTGAGATATCGATATCAATTGCAACTAGGACCTGGACCATCACATGCGAGCACGTCCTACATGGATTTTCAGGGTGAGCTGGCGCGCTTTGGAGGCAGGAACGAGTCATTTATGATTACATAATCCCATAATCCTATCAGAGCCAGCCATATAAATAGTTGTTTCAGGTAGGTAGTAAGCTTTTCCATCCCCTTGAACGCCAAAATCAGACAAATAACAAATGCAAGGAGGAAAAAGCAGACACATGATGTGATGATGTGATGATGTGATGCTGTTGATGCTGTGAGATATGATTATGTGTGGTGCTGTGATGATGTGATGATGTTGTTCTTTTAACCGGCAGAAGAAGAAGAGGATCTTATTTGCAGCCTCTGAAACATTTCGAGGTTACACATGCGACAATAGGCAGATTTCCCTATCAGTACTCTAATTGATAACCTATCTTATCAGATGGCCGAGATAAGATCCTGTACCTAGGTAAGTAGATAATGTACTCTGTGCTCCGTAATGTAGGTACGGAGTGGCGGTACCAGTAATACGTACGTACTTCACATCACAACCCCACCTCATCTCAATGCTCGTAACATAATTCCAACGAGATCTCCTGTCAATTAACTCTCTACTTCTACTCTACAAAATCACAACAGCATATCACAAATCCTACTTCAAACATATCAAAAGAACTCCATCAAAACAATGCCGTCACTTACATTTCTTGATCTCCCAGGAGAGATTCGTAATCAAATCTACCATATACTCCTCGTCATCCAACCCATCTCAATTCCCCGTCCTTTCTTAACCGACCCACCTATATATCCACAAATATTATCCGTATGCCGAAAAATCCACGATGAAGCCGAACAAATCCTTTACGGCTGCAATGTTTTTATAGCCGACGCCAATCTCCTAACAGGCCTGCCGCGCCTCCGTTGGCATTATGATCCGATCAGCTCGCCGAGAGTGATCTCGATTATCAAAAAATACTACATCGTTGTGCGGTTGAATCGCGATCCGAATTTCTCTGCGGGAAAGGCAAAGGATGCCTTTAGTGGGATGGAAGAATTAACAATCAAGGTTGAGCAATCTGCATACAAAGGCTCGGACTCGGATTACAGGGCGTTGAGGCTCTTTGAGAATGTCAGAGGCGTGAAGGAAACAAACGTTTCTGGGAGTGTGACTGGCTTCCCTGTGTATGTTGAATGGTTGGAGGATGTGATGAAGATGCCAGAAGATGCTCATATTCTTCCGTTTGAGGGTAGAAAGATGGAATCATTGAACTTCTCTGCACTGGGAATTTAAGAAATTGTGTTCAGTTTGTATTCACTAGATGTGAATCTGCAAAGGACTTGATCTGATGGTAGATTGCAAATGATCAAACGCAAAATACGGTACCTTCATCAAGTATCTGAGCTGTTAGCGCTTCATTGGGTAGTTTTTGCTCATTTCCGCGAAAACTTGCATATGGGGACTTGGCGACTTGCATACTATCAACACGTCAAGCAGCAAACAATCATTGAGTCCCAGTCAAACCATGAAGTTTGTTTGGCATCAGTGTGTTGAATCTTCTTCCATCGAGTAAACCACATCCAAGATGTATTTATATGAAATATTTATGTTTTTGAGCTTGTTCCAAGTTTATGTAATGGAATGATCATATTGATTGATATCACTTAATTGACTCTATGGCGTCTAGTATGGGATTTCCAATAGATTTTTGAGGATCAAGGATTTATATTTAGAGACTTTTGAATCTTTCAAACACATTGAAACTTTCAAATATTCATTGTTGGAAGCAGAACAGCAGCAAGATATGTGTATACAGACTTAATCAAGTTTCTCCGCTCAAAATAAAGTCAATCTTTCAACTGTATTCAGATCTCTAGATGAGTGTATTTTACAGCTTTTGGTTGGATAAGATTATCAAGACGAGTTGAATGGTTAAAAAAGAACGGAATCTCTCAATTCCATTGAAACTTCCTGATTCTATAGGGTTTGACCCTTGAGCGGTTGAGCACCTTGGACCGAATCCCCGACATATTGGACCTGCCAAATGATTTAAATCATTCAAATAAATTGGAACAATTTGAATTTGAATCATCTATATAAATCCAATCTTGGAGAGCTTCAGTGTCCAAATGTCCAAATCTTCAAATAAGACTTAATACAATTCATTATTAAATTAATAAATTATTCGTCCAAATACGACCCACACGGCCTGCCATGAATACCTTCCATTCATCATACAAAATACAATATCAATTTAGTTTACTCCTCAGATTACAATTGGGTCGGAGATCACCAGTGATGAGATGGAAAGGACTCTCTGAATCGTTTCCTTTTGCTCTTTCTTCGAAATTTAGAGAAGTTCCTTCCTTCTTTTGGAATCACCTTGGTTCTTTCCTGTGAATTCTCAGAACTCTGTTTTTTAATTATTTCTTCGGTTGGTTTGAACGGTTTTCTTGATTCCTTCCTAGGAGCTATCTCTCTATTTGATCATCTTCTTGACTCTTTTCTGTAAACCTCAATCTCTATTTGAATCCCTCTTTGATTCCTTTCTGCAGGGCTCTTTCAAAAGGTTTCTTGCATAATTACAAACACTACTACTACAATCAAACTCCTTTCAATCCACAAACATCATTCAAGGAATCATTCTTCTATCATTCTTCAAAATAAAACTAGAGGTTAAAAACGGTGCTTCAATGTCAGCTCTTTAGTCGCAGCTTATTTCAAATATACTAACTGTGACTTAGAAATCACCAGAAGATGGATGCGGTCATCAACAAGTCGTGTCCCTTTTTGGATGTATTTCCTCCAGAAATAAGGTTCAAAGTCTACGAATGCTTGCTGGTCAAGGATATATTGGGCACGGCACAGTCTGTGACTCAAATATCGCGTTTTGGAGCGGACTTAAGATATGATTTATGTCCAGAGGTACTGAGACTCTGCCGACAAATTTATAACGAAGCTTTACCTATTTTGTACGGAAAGAATACGTTCTATATCGCGTGCTTTCGAGTGGATAATCACCCTGTGTTCGATCAATTATTTGAAAGCGATTATCGACAGTTTTATGAAAGTGATCGTGTGCCGGGCTACGAAACTATCGTTGACGGGCCTCAAGTGGAGTTGTGTCCTCTCACAAGATACGAAAACTGCGAAAGAGTGGTGCCCTATCCAGTTCCAGACCTCTGTAATTATGCTACTGTGCCCAGGGTCCGAAATTGGCGCGTGGTAATTAGCAGAATCAGAGATCCTGGTGGTCACTGGGATCCAGTATGGTGCTTGATCGACTTTTGTCTTTCTATTAGTGTCCAACCTCCAATCTCTATAGAAGTATTGATTCTCCCTTTTGGTCTGGACTATAGTCAAAACGACAATTATGCCTTCTCGGAGTATAATGATATTTTAGCCCCTCTGAGACTGCTCCGCAATCTCCGAGAATGTGTCATCAAAGAAGCCTGTGCAACCGATGTTCCTGATATCATTCGACTGGCTGATGATGAGATAAGAAAGATTATAAGAGCCGCAGTTATTGCTTGTAGAATTCCTAAAACTTTCAAAAGCGAAATACAAACACTGGTGACGAGTCAAGAACCTATCGACCTTCGTCACATGATGCATAAATCTCTCACTACCTATGCACAAGCGTTCGAGCGATATCGACCATATAAGATACAAATGGGTTTGAGGCGAGAAAGTATCGAACAAATTGGCTATATGGATAGAGAGTATGCCGAATTCCTTCACGCAGGAGCCTTCAACCCGTTCATTAATCCAACCCTGCACCCAGTTGAATATAATCTCCAAATCTGCAAAGAGGCATCAGTTGAATTCGAGGAAGAAGACGACACTTTTAAACCGCACCGTCGAAATGTCCTTACATATCTAGAAGGTCAATGGACACGAATCGAGAATGCAAATCGTACAATAACAGAATTTATCAAAGAAGAAAAAGTTCCCAATGGATTATTCGACGTAGTCGAAAGAGCAAAAGAACAATCAGGATCCTCAACCAACATACCCCAAACCTACGATTTCGAGAAACTGCAAAAAATCTCCCTGGCAATGGTTTACCTAGAAGACTACGCAGCTTCCTTCAAAAGAGACCTCCCCCATACAATCCGCGCGCAAATTCTCCCCAACCGTCCTCTCTTCGAAAGCCACTATTATCTCCCTCGCGAATGTCTCATCGCTCGATTGGCAGAGGAAGTCGAAACGGGTAGAATTTCTAACTTTATTACGAAATTTAGCATGGCGGTTGATATGTGTGATGATCAATATCTGGAGATTCTGGCGGCGAGGAAAAGACTTTTTGATTTTGATGGGTTGGGTCGCTTTGAATGTGGGGATTTTGATAGGAAATTGGGTTATTCATTGGATTGGATTGATTGGTGTCTATATGAACCGGTTCTTACGCCATTTTATCCTGTCTGGCTGGATGAGTATGACGAGGTGGAGGTGGATGAGGTTGAGGAGATGGAGGTGGATGATGAGGTTTGAGGTTTGAGGTTGAGGATTAGGTTCATGTGATGTGATGGGGTTGTGGTTATGGTTATGGTTATGGTTTAGGGGTTAAGGTTATGGTTATGGCACATGGTTGCTTTAGCGTAGATGCATGCTTGTGGATTGTATATTATACTGCCCTGGCTTATTAGTAGCGTTAAAATAAGAATAAGAATAAGTATACAAAGCTGATCTTGCTACTTTTATACTCTGCTCTACTCTGCCCTTACCTGCTCTGCTCAACGCCATTATATATATACTTTATAATCTTACCTAGTATTTATCGAAACTATAATTTAATTACTCGAATAAATATTTCAAAATCACATTAATATTTACCCATACTTTTCGTCCAGATTCTATAGAATTCTATGAGTAGGAAAAAAGGATATATAGGGAGGTGTATAACTAAATACTTAGTAATTAACTTTTTGATATAAAATTACAAGATTAAGATTAAGATTACTAAAGAATTTATAGTTTTAGATACCTATGATATAACACAATATCTTGCGAAATTCTTCTTCAAATGATGAATAGGAATAAACCTATAGAAAATGATGTTGATATTGAAGTCAGTCGAGAAGTACGCTAAAATTCATCCTTCATCTTCTTCTGTCTTCAGATGTGCAAAATAAAAGTTGACAGAATAACACGTGATATGTGGCCGCTTCTGGCAAAATTATGGGCACTAAGATGGTTTACATAAGCACGGATTTCCTCGTTTCCCTCCAACCCCTTTTGTTTCTACCATAACACCAGATCTGATCACACTACCGTCTCAATATCACTCAAGATCCTTCAACTTTCCAAGCAATCAAATTAACCTTGCCCGGGCAAAGGCTTCCATCATTGGAAATATCGCAAAGCTGCGAACAATGAGAACCTCAAAACCACCTTTCCGTTTTCGGACTCTTCACGCAGGAAGCCCTGTGACTGGTTCCGGAGGTTTGTTTCTTTGTCTGCAAACATGCTTATCGCTGACTCTCCTGTTATATATCATTGGTATAGGCGCTCGATCTTAGATGAAGCGTCTATTTGTTTGTGTGTACCCTGTCTGATTAGTATTTGTTGACCTCCTGGGATCTTGGCAGCATATGCATATATAGTGCATATGCATATAAGGAGCAAACAAAACTCAACTTTTAATTCATTCTTTCCTTTTTGGTATACTGTTTGTTTGCTTTCAATATTTTGATTTCAAAGCACTTTAATTCCGAAGGCTGAATACCCAACCTATTCCTTCATTTTTTGAATATATGCTCGCAGCTTAACTGCTTAGCTAGAGAATCAATCAATTCAATCTGATGCTCTTTCTAGTCTCAAGAAACCCAACAGTATTTCAAGCTTCTCATCTCACGCGACGAATTTCTCATTCTATGATCTGTGGAAAAATTATCATATATTGTCAGGATTTGCTACGAGAGTCTAAGATATCTTGATATTGTAATGCTACATCATATGCGATAATTACATCTTTCACCAGAAGCTTCATTTAATAGCAAACATCCCATGATAAACTGCCTCCACCCTGAAACCCTCTACGAAGTTTCCTCTATCTCAACCCGCAGCCCCATCCACATAAATATTGATCTCCGCTTGTCCCAAACCCCTACGCAAACTCCCAACTCCATAACCACCATGCTCAGCAAAATCATTTACCTCCCCCTCGAAACTCTAGCCCACACACTAATTCAACTCGTTGCCATCATCCTCTTCCTCGCTTTAATCATCGTAACCTATCTCATCTACACCATTCGATTCATCTCTAATCTCACGGGTCTAGCATTCATCCTCTATTATCTCTGGAACCGACTAACCACCATCATAAAAATCAAAGCCACGATAGTCTACAGAGAACAACGAGAACTCCGACGACAAAATGCCGAAGCTAGAACCGAGAGACTCCGCGAAAGAAATGAAGTGGGTGAGCGCGAAAAAGCACAAATACGTGATGCGATGCGACGAGTCGCATGGAAAAGAGGAGTAGGGAAGATGGATTATGGGACTGATTTAGCTGAAGAGGCTAAGAAGTTTAAGTCACGAGGCGAATCTAAATTGAAATCAGGGGAGGCAGACATGAAAAATATCGAAGAATGGATAGAAGATGAATTATTCATACAGAGCCCGCAGGAACTACAAGAAGAGCTTGAAAAATTGGAAAATCGAGCGGACTATGGGGAAAAAGCGGGATATTTGGATGAAGAGGAACAGACGAAAGCTAGAGAGGCGGCGAAGATTTTGTTGAGAAACGGAGAGGTGGAGGCATTTCCTAGGTTTGAGGACATGGATACTAGGATGTGAGCGAGGGGGTTAGGGGGCATATTTGAGATTGAGGATATGCATACAATGTTATCGGATTTAGCAGAACTCAACATCGCGAAGAACAAATTGAGTCCTCTAATTTTAGCATAATAGTATCAAACTTCATTCTATCTCCAAATCTAGCTATTCCTATTCTTATAATTATTCTTATCCTTCTACCTTCTACTCAAAAAATTTTGTTGCACATCTACCTAACCCTTGGCAACCCTAGAAGAATCTAGAAGTACAGCCATTTTCAACAGCAATGACATGCAACACATGCACATCAGCCCATTCCAAGCTTCATAATATCCTAGCACAATTATTACAGGAAGAAATATAGATTAATCACCTTACCTACTATTTCAAACACTGAAAGAACCCGCATTATATTCCAACAACACTTTCGTTTCTTTGTTCTCAGATTTTATGCTCTCCTTTGCCTACCGGATTGAGATTCATCATCTAGCTCGCTCTTGTCTTGATTTCTGTTCTCTTTGAGATGATGTTCTGAGTACATGCTGTGATTCATTATCTCTAAATATTGATTTTACTCAAGTTCTTTGCCTCTTGAGATGCGGAATCGACTCGGCTTAATAAAGTAACTATACCTAAGAATCGAACAGTTTCATCTAACCCAAATAAACCCAACAATACCAATCAGAAGCGAAACATCCAACCCACGAAGCCACCAAAAATTCTAGCGTCGAAATGTCTTCCTCCGCCTTTTCATCTTGTGTCTCTTCCTCCCCCTTTTCAACCTCCGCCTCTTCCTCCTCCTCCTCCTCCTCCTCCTCCTCAATCGCAAATCCCTCCCCAACCTCAATCTCAATCTCAACCTCAACACCTATCCCAACCCCCACAATTCGCCACACAGCCTCTCAATCTCTCTCCCCCTCCCACATCCCGGCAGACACACCCTCAACCCCCATCATACAAAAAGCGACTTCAATCCCCGGTATCCCACCACCATCACCTACCAGTATTTCCGGTACATATACCGATTTCCTCTTTTTGTAATCCTTCCTGTCTGCGTCTCTCCCTCCTGCTCCATAACTCATCCCGAAAAACCTTACCCCCAATTCTATCTCATCTACTAATCTCCGACTTTCATCCCATAGTATTCACCCAACTCCAAAACCTCCTCGACATAACCTCCACACTCCTGGGTCTTTTCTTCGTCTCCCTCCTCACTATTCTCTTCATCTACTGGTCATCAATCTATATCCTGCACAAAACACTCGGCATAAAACCATCCCATTCCAATCAACACAAAAAAGACAAAGACAAAGACTTCCACGAAACCGAAACCAAGAAAAAAGAAGTATCATTCCAAAATCCCGCCGACTCATCATCTCCCCACCCAGAATCCAAATACGATAAAAAAGCCCAAGAAATCAAACAGAGAATTTCAAGTGTTCAATCTTCATCTCCCTCCCAAGCTCAATCACAATTACAAACATCCACAAAAAATCAAGAATCAACACCCATAGCAGGTCTAGGTGGAAAACTCCTCTCGGAAATAGAAACAATTGCGAAAATAGCAACGAGTACTGATTTTGAAGAGATGGGAGAGGCGACGGGGAGAGATCCAGAGGATATTAGGGCGGATGTGGATTTGGAGTTTCAGAGGGGAGTGGCGGATGTGAGGGGAGATGTGGATGTGAATACGGTGGGGAAGGGGGATGGGGGGAGTGTTGGAATTTTGTGATGGATGGATATGGGTGGGAAAGGAGGGAGTGAGGTGGGAGGTGGATATTGGGGTTGGGGGTTGAAAGGAAGAAGGAGGGATTGTAGAATAGGTTATTAATTTGATATGGTTACTATTTCTGTATTGTGATATCGGAAGGCGCAGGGCTGGATGTAATTGGAAGTCTGAAATAATGGTATATAGTACCTGTGTAATGCAATACTTATCATCAATCATATCAATATCTCCTATAACCACTTCCATTGTCCAGGAACTATAAACATACTATTTAAAAATCCTGCAGCTCGCCTGACCGAAACCTTTGCTCTCTCTCCTTTGCCTTTCCCATCACCAAAGAACCTTCTAAACACCCTCAACTTTGCATTCAAAAGTAACAGTCCAAATCCATCCCTTAACCCATTATCCTCTTTCAGGATCACATTATCCGACTACCACCGCAATTACAAGTACAATACTCTATATACATACATTTCAGAACCGACACAAGGAAAAGAGGAATTGAATCTCAGGATCAAAAATACATGACAAAAGTACTGATTAATTACTCTAATTGATATCTTTATTTGTCTTTGAGAAGTATATGAAATAATATAATACAATATAATATAATATAATATAATATAATATAATATAATATAATATAATATAATATAATATAATATAATATAATATAATATAATATAATATAATATAATATAATATAATATAATATAATATAATATAATATAATATAATATAATATAATATAATATAATATAATATAATGCAAGACAATACTATACAATTAATAAAACGCAGTGTGACCAAAAGGGTGTTTATAGACCAGCAATTGTATTTAACTTAGAATCTACAGGTGAAGAGCACCTGTAGATGGGGATAGCTACTCTATATATACACAAATGAATGGCCTAGCCGCAATGGCTAGGCAAAAAGAAGTCATATTTATCCCTCCAATGATCTTACTTTACCGATAACCATTGATACCTAGTACTTGTCCGGATCTGATCCTCAGGTCACCTAAATCGTATACTAATCTCGAGTAATCGTATCATGTGTGGACATGGTTAATGTACCTGAGGTTTCTTATATAATAAGGGTGGGAGGAAAGCAGGGATTTCCGTCACACGCAGTAAAATGAGAGAAAATTAGATTAAATCTATGCCCATATCAAACAGAATTAGAAAAACTTTACAAAAGAACTAAATTCGAGAAGAACAGATACTATCCATTCATGTAAAAATCCAAATATGAACAATCCATTCATTATCCATAACTTATTAAAATTTATGAGCCAATATTATATCAAAAAAATTGCAAATCTCCGCGCTTAAAAGAAGTTGCTTCCGTTCCTTCACCCGAAAAGAGTAAAGTTAGCAGGTCGAGACCGGACCATCTAGCCAGTGATCCAACTATAGTGCCTCAGCAAGCAGACTTTGCTAGCATTACAGCAATAAATGAAATATACGATATATCTTTCCCTTTCCAATCATACAAAGTGATTCTAAATTTCACAATTTAAATACCAACAAATTCCTACGCACCCTCAAGCACACCCCTCCCAGCACAGCCATCTCTCTCTTCTCCAAAACCACCTCCTTTATAAAAGGACTACGACCTCTAATTTCCTTTCCCATCTAAAAACCGCAAAAGGTATCGCCACCAAAGCCAAACTAAAAAATGCCAGTAGCGAACTCGCCCATTGACACTTTAGATCAGTATACATACTTGAACTCGCTAGTGGAATAAAAGCCAAAGCTGCATTTTCCACCGGGCAACAGCACCTAATGCGCTGGCTGCATATTTGATATAGGCATCTACGAGATAATTTGCATTAGTGATGATGATAGCCGAGGTACCAAGGCCTACGAGAGAGGGACCGAGAGTGAGAATTATCCAGTGGATGGTAGATATGGATGTCCAACCATACAGGAACATTCCGTCTGTAGCAACTAGAAAGCCGCCAACAGACGGATATAAACGTGCTTCAGGAATGGGAGTACCGGGCACTTATGTATTTCGCGCGGCGGAATCGTAATACCAGGAATTTGTATACATGCAAAGTGCACAACCTATACATTCGCCAATAGCGATTGCGAGCTGAACGTAACCTGCTTGGAGACTGATCCAACTGTAACGTGGGAGTAGCACCCTCCTCCGACGGATTGTGTGAAGAGGTAAATTGTTCCGAGCGCTGCACACTGTGCAGTATGCAGTCCAGAGAGTGGCGATGAAAATGACGGATTCGAGACGCTAGTTGATGTATGGGATGAGAGGTCTTTGGACACT